TTTGCTTTGTGTAGAATCTGCTTCACGACAAGTCCTCCCATACTACAAGATGAACGTTCCTTGATCAAAAAAATTATTGTATTGATGTTCTATGAGACAACATGTCAATTCAATGCCGTAATTTTGTTACTGAGAAAAGCACCAAGATATATAATAAACCTTAGCTGATAACAGATCAGCATCCATATAAGTTTGCATTAGGAAATATCTTTAGACAGGCCCCATAAGAGATCTCAGACCTGTGAGTCACAAAAACAACAGGACGGTCTCCAATGCCTGCAGAGACGAGCTTTTCCAATATCATAGCGCTAACTTCCTGCAAATTAGCAAAATTCCATCATCAACAAAACAACTGCAGGCTTAGTGATAGAGATGAAGTACACACACAGAATGCTGTATATACTCAATAATCACTCATCCAGCTCTCGACCACTTTTCCAGGGAAAAACAGCAACGTCTAACAAAGCCATACTATTGGCAAATAATTCTTAACCTCAGCAGTAGATTCAAAATTTTGCCCTTCAGTGTCAATTACTGTAAACTCAGACCAAGACCCTTCAAAATATTCTAGTGCGATTATTTTGATAATCCTCTGGTCATATAGCCTGTTAGGTCTTATAACTGCAGAAAGCTTATATCTGAATAAGATTTTAACAGATTTTAAGTGCTTTCATGTACAAAAAGACTTATTGCAAAATACTACTCACAAAAATAAATTAAAAAGGTATAACTTCCTAAAATAACTAGTAATGCATAACGTACTTGAAGAGGCAAGCTAGCTCCAGACCATTCCGTGAGATTTGTCTGTATCAAATATATCAACGAGAATCAAATTGGCAACCACAAATGCACCAGGGAACAGATAAGTACACAACATATAGATCTGTTACAAAGATCCGCATTAAGTAGGTATGTGCATAAAACTCAGACATACCTTGTATTTAAGGGTAAACAAACGAGCTTGAGGGAAATCATTTGAGAGCCACTCACTTGGCCAAAAAGTTCCCAGCTTTCCTGCTTCCTGGTCAATCTTCTCCACTAGGCCAGATTTGGTAGAGGATTTATCCTCAGCTATCCGCCAAGTTTTAAAGGGTCCACCACGCAATCCATGAAGAAAGATGACATCAAATTCAGGATCATGCACACGTGAACCACTGCTGGAATGATCCATGGAACTAGACAGATCGCTAATATCGACACGATCGCTGGCTTTATAAGCAGCATCTGTTGGTTCACCTTCACTTGATTCGATTTTCTTACCATTTTGATGTTCCTTTTCAGGACATTTCCAATGTGCTAGTCCGGGATTAATTAGAAATATCATGTCTCCATAGCGAGGACAGTTACTGTTTATGTTTGAGATGTCTGGCTTGGAACTGCCAATGTTTCTAGATCCACGATCATCTTGCTGATTGCAATACACATTTAACAGAGAAGCCCTCGCATAGCTTTGTGTCTTAGGGTCACTGCAACCGGAAATTTCTCCTTTTGCACAATCATCAAGCCATTTGCACCATGCTTCATCAGCTAAAATGACCTTCTGGACTTGCGGAAGAAGCGAAAGAATAGTTAGCAATCTAGCTGCATGCCTTCGGATGTGTGCACTAGCTGGGACTCTGACACTAGATGGATCTTGCGGATCTGTGATTGAAGATTCACCAAGACTATCTGGAGCTCGCCCTCGAGCCTCAAGGGCTCTGGATGCATCATAAGCTTCCATTGCACCTAGCTTCTCATAATCATCACATAATAGAAAGCGCCTTAGCAAACAAAGAACACCAAAATCAACTATTTTGTTCTGGCATACAGTATCTTCAGCGCAAACATCAGTCAGTGACTTAATAGCCTTGAGGGTTGCCAATGCAGACTCAGCAGCATTAAATTTAGGGGGGCTGTCCTTCTTTAAGTTCTTAATCGGTACCGCAAAAGGCTCGGAAAGGAGCAGATCTGCCAGTGGAACATTATGGACAGAATCTGGGACTGCACCCAGTTGAGCCATGGCAAGACTAACAACAGCCCCTGCTAGCTGGTTGGTTGACTGAGTAGCAGAAGAAACTTTTGACAGATCTACCTGTATATTCCAAGTAATAGCTGTTATTTACAAAATTTAAAACCGAAAGATGTAACCAAATAAAAGTAGTCATAATTTTCAACTATTCTATGTTCAGATAATAAATTCAATGACCATAAAGCTTCATGCACCTTTGGTTTTTCAGTTTTAGGTAGGCTAGCTCCTTTAGCTGACAACGACTTGCTGTACATCAAAATTTCATTCATTATAAGGGTTAACCATCCCTGAGAAATCGGGATAGACTGTGGTCCATAGTCCTCAAAAGTGCGTGAAAGGATTCTTCTTGCTGAAGATTGAACAGTGTCCGATGCAACCTTTCCAAGAACCCATGAGAGTAGTATGCCAGACCACTTCTGACTCTCTTCAAGAGATAAATGCATCTCACCAACACAGAGTAATTCTAGAGCCTTTGACAAACCTTCTTGCACTGCTTTGTGTTTTCTCGTTTTCCTAGCACTCTCTCTCATCAGATGAAGACCCTTCTCCATTACCATCTTCTGTGCTTTGTCACTTCTGTCAACAGAAACTAAAAAGGCGGACAACGCAACTTGAGCCAAAGAGATATCGTCAGTTTTACTGGCATGTGAAACAGTGGCAAGCAAACTCGAACTCCAGTCGGAAACAGAATCGCTTAACGGGAGATTGAGATCCTCCAACAACAGCCGAGCCACCAAACTCCCATGCCATTTCACAGTCCTCTCGGGTGCCATTAAGGCTGTCATGACGACTTGCCCATCCCGATCAAGTTCTTGAATATGAAATCTATTTGTATCAGAAGCCATTGCCCAGTTTGCCAATGCCCACGCAGCAAACGGCACTGCTACATGTTGACAATGTAAATCATCCCAAAGGCCAGGAATGACGGCAGATGACAAATTTGCTTGCGAAGAATTGTCATGTTTACTTAGCAATGCAAATGTTTTAGGAGTATCCTCTCCCGCATTAGCATTAAGGTCACCCAACGGCGCAAGCCCACTGGTTCTTGACAGCCCAAGAACCGTGGTTCCTTCAAGGATTTTAATTCCAATTCCCTTAATCCCACTTCTTCCATCGTCACTGTCATCATCTTTTTCTGGTTCATCAAAATACATCCCACCTTCCTCAATTACTTGAATTGCTGAAGCAATATCTCTCATCGTAGCATTCCCTGGCAATGATGATTTAAAAGGTGTCTTTTCTATTGTGTCACAGTTGGAAGTGACGATATCCATTATGGCAGCCACAAGCATGCTCCTACCTTTCAAAGAATCAGAAATATCGAATGAACTACGTCTTGGATGCTGCTCCCAAAGAAAAGCTAGATATCAATGGCAAAACACAACCAGAAGCATCACATAATCAAGACTCATATGCTTCGAAAAGTTTTTCATATCTTAATGAGAATGACAAATCTCCAGCTTGACACTTGATCAACAACCCTAGAGATACACAAAACTCATTGTTCTTGCCTATCATAGAAATGCCTTTGGATTCTTCTAAATCCTAAAATGCCATCTAGATTTATAACAGCTGGCTCGTCACAGTTTCCATTACATCTAACCTGAACAATACTACAATCACCTCCTGAACTATTACCAGGCTATAGCATCTACTTCTTTTTTTCGCTATTCAATCAGTACAAACAGCTAGTGGAAACAAGACGCACCTTTTTGTTTTTTGGTTGACAAGAGAATACGAACTTGAGCAACTTAGGCACTGCATCAGGTCTTCCCAGAGCGTCTTTACGCACAGTTGGATCAGCAATAAGGTAAGCCAGAGCCCTAGCGGCTTCGTCCTGGGCCCCAATTCTATCTCCGGGAAGGGCCACCGTCTCCAGCAACCAATCAACCACCGCACCACTGCCAGCTCCAACGAGAGCGGCTCTGCGAGCAGCATTCGCGGAGGCTATATCGGCTAGAAGAGCAGCCACCCGCAGCTCGAATCCGGCACGCACCTCGTGATTGGCTGAAGAGAGAACCGACCTGAGCGACTGCCACAGAACCGAGGCCGCAACACCGGTTTGTCTAGCATGGTGAACCACTCTCCTCAATGAATTTCCAGATTTCTGAACCGCGTGCTCGATTGAGTCGAAGATACGGCTGTTTCTGCTAGGAGTACGATCTGATTGGTCAAGATCGGGAGGGAAAACAGCAGCGTATGCAATCGCGGTGGATAAAGCGGCGGCGGAGAGAGCAAAAACGGATTTCTTAGAGAAGGGAGAAGATGGAGAGACGGTGTAAATCGAGGGAATAGGACTTTGTGATTGGTGTGGCGGCGGAGACGGTGTGAGGTGAGGTTCATTGTGATTCAAGGAAGAGCCTGAAGGACCGGTGGATGGCGGAGAAGAGGAGGAGAAAGGTCGCGGAAGACGGTGGAAGTGACGGCGGTTATAAGATCGGAGAAAATTGTAACGGAGACGAAGCATTCTCTTGTTTAATTTTTTTTATTTTCTTGCGTCCTTTTCGGAATTAAAATTTGTTTTCACGTTTCTAGAATTAAAGATGTAACTTGGAATATTTGGATATGCGATAACGAAGGGAAGATTCTGGCGTTGTGTGTGCCCGTAAGAAAAAGAAATTGGTATGGCGGTTTAAACAATTCTGGTTTATTTATAATTTTGTGAGAAAGATTATGGCGCTGTCTGTGCTTGTGCGTTATAAACTGGTTTAAACCTGCGGGTAATTTGTATTAAAGAGATGTCATTAGATTTGAACTTATTATTTCAAGAAAGACTCGGGAAGCATCAGAGGCTTTCTCTATCCCCAACGCAATGAAAAAATAAAAATATAAAAACTATGCGTATTGAATCTATTCTTGAAAAAAAAAAAAATCTGAATCCATCGTTGCCTTAAAGCAGAAGAAACAAAAAAAAAGGAGAGCAAACCAAACCGAACCTAAAAACGTCAAACTAAAAGCTTAAAGAAAAAGAAAACAAGGAGTGAAATTGGAATTAGGGTTTAGTATGTGGAGAAGGGCGGGGAACAGGGGAAACAGAGAACTTCATGTTGTGGTTGCAGTCCTTGTGGTTCCCACTGGCCAAGTAGTAAGTCTGAGTCTTGCGGAGAAGCAACTTGAACCCTAATGAGGATGTTGATGATCCTCGTGCGACTAGCTTCTTGCCTCTCCTCACATCGCATCTCTTGTAGCTCCTCAAGTCTGGGAGCAAATAGACATCGTTCTTGTGGCTGTGCTTGGTCTTGGATTTGGTTCGATCATTATTGTTGTTGGTGTACTTGACAACAAGAACATCGTTGACGTAGAAAGGCGCATGCTTTGAAGCCCATTCTTGGTAATCGAATCCGCTTTTCCACACAGTAACCTCAATCTTTCTTCTATGCGATATTAGAGCGGCCGTGTGGTTGTGGTGGCTGTTGTTGCTCGTAGAGCCAGTCCCGCCTGAGTGATTTGATGGGGCCGTGTGGTTGTTGTGTGTAGAACCAGCACCACTTGAGTGGTTTGATGGGGTCGTGTGGTTGTTGTGTGTAGAACCAGCACCGCTTGAGTGGTTTGATGGGGTCGTGTGGTTGTTGTGTGTAGAACCAGTACCGCTTGAGTGGTTTGATGGAGCCGAGTGGTTGTGGTGGATGTTGCTTGTAGAACCAGTGCCGCAGGAGTGGTTTGATGGGGCCGTGTGGTTGTGGTGGCTGTTGTTGTGTGTAGAACCAGTGCCGCTTGAGTGGTTTGATGGGGCCGTGTGGTTGTTGTGTGTAGAAGTGGCCGTGTGATTGTGGTGGCCGTTGTCGTGTGCAGAACCAGTGCCGCTTGAGTGGTTTGATGGGGCCGTGTGATTGTGGTGGCCGTTGTTGTGTGCAGAACCAGTGCCGCTTGAGTGGTTTGATGGAGCCGTGTGGTTGTTGTGTGTAGAGCCAGTGCCGCATGAGTGGTTTGATGGGGCCGTGTGGTTGTGGTGGATGTTGCTTGTAGAACCAGTACCAACTGAGTGGTTTGATGGTGCCGTGTGGTTGTTGTGTGTAGAACCAGTGCTGCTTGAGTGGTTTGATGGGGCCGTATGGTTGTGTGTAGAGCCAGTGCCACCTGAGTGGTTTGGGGCCGTGTGGTTGTTGTGGCTTTTGTGTGTAGAGCCAGTGCCGCTCGAATGGTTTGAGCCAGAGCTGCTTCCCCAACCCCAGTGTGTATCCGTTCCGTTCGAGCTCCAACCCCATCCCCAACTTGAACCACCACCCGAGTTCGAGTCTGAACCACCTGAACTCGAGCCAGAAGAACCGCTACCAGAGCTGTCGGAGCCCCAGCCCCAGCCCCAGTTAGAACCGGACTGGCCGGAACCCCAACTCCAGCTCCATGCCTCAGCACTTCCGGAGAAGACGCATGCAGTGATCACGAGGATTAAGAGCACCTTGCGTGCACCAGAGAGACCCATCGTTTCTTCTTCTTCTTTCTTGCTTTTGTGAGCTCTTTGGAGTCCAGAGGTTCTCTATTTATATAGCCAAGGGAGAGGATGGTTGAGAGTCGGTTCCCAAATTGGATAGGGAATATGAATAACAGTTAACAACTATCGAGTATCGTCGCAAATCGATCAGGAAAAGGATTTCTTTTTGTTTAAACATTAACGTATTACTCGTCTTTCCTTTTTTTTTTCCTTCTTTTGCAACTTTAGATATAAAAACAAGTGGATAAATCTATTAGGATTATTATTCATGAACCTTCCTAATTAGTATTATTTTTTATTTAGTTATGTTGAACAAATATAAGACCGCCCGTGTGTTAACGAGTTCCAATTCAATATTGACTTTCCTTTCTTTCATAAAAAAAGAAAAAAGTCTTTATGTTCCTCTAGTCGTCAACTAAATTTCTCAAAAAAAACTATATTTCTCTAACAGGACTTCTCTAAGTTATGAGATTCATGTCTCAAGTGTTAGTTAGAAAACGCTTTTGACATTTTCTTCTTTTCTAAATCTCGCGAAATTTCATCCAAAGAAAGAAAAAAAGTTGTTTTATTCTCTTATTATTGTAACTTGTGATGAATTGGTATTCCATAAGATTAATTTTGTCTAGATTTTGGCAGACAAGTAGAGAAAGTTCTAATCAGTGCATTTGCTGTTTAGTAGTGATGCCTTCACATGCTTCGATAGAAAATTACTGTTATTTTTACCCCCAAATTCATCTGTAAAACTTTGGTCATCGTGGTGATTGGTGAATGTTACAGAAATGGGATTTAGGTCATATTTGTGTTCAGATATTATGGCAATATGAAGAAAGTAAAAACTAAAAAATTTGAAATGAAAAAGTTAAAAAAACAAGGGAAGTAATATGAAGAAACGGATGCATAAAAGAGGTGTTCAAGTCATAAGACAAAACGCATACTTTAACTGCAATGGGAAGCAAGTGTACACATAACTGACAAAAGATATCCTCAAAAGCTTTAACTACTTCGTTGCATAAAACATCTTAAAACCTAATTTCACTAATCTGTAGTCCGATCATTCATGGCCTCTAATAGCTCAGCAAAAAACATACGCCAATGATTGTCTTGTCTCAGCCACCACATTCATTCAGAGAAAGTGAGGACCGATGAGCTTCGCAATCTCCAAGAACCCGACGCGGTCTTTTCCTTCAAATATCTTCTTCAGCTTCTCGTCGCAGATTATCACCTTCTTGTTTTGTGGATCCTGGAGAACAATGTTACTCATTTTAGTCACCAAAGTTCACACAAGTAGATGCCTATATCAATATTGAACTCTGTTCATTCTGCTGAAAAAGTATCTCTAAATGTGAAGGAGCTCTTAAGAATCTAAGACCAAACAACAGAAAGAGATGAAAACACCAGAAAACACACAAGCTAACGTCTTAAGGTGAGCTGAATCAGCCTCTCCAAGTCTTACTTTTGTTACAATCAGACAGAGCTTAAAGAGTCATTAGACCAGTCAAGGAAATCATATATTTTTCCAAGAAACGATTTAGGAATTTTTGTCAATGACAAGGAAAAACCAGTCACATCAAAAAAGAAGTGTACAACCAAAAATTGAAGCCCAGAATCCGCTTAATCCTTCAATTCAATAATCACAACATCAAAAGAAACTGTTTCAGATTCCTAAACTAAACAGTAAACAACTCCAAGAGATTCAACTATGCAAACAAAGACAACAAGAAAACCTTATCCAATTCTTAAAAGATGTCTCTTTGAACTCATAAGCTATTAGAAAGAAAATGTTCGGGATTAGTCTACAAGAAACCCTCGAATTCCAACCACTCTGAAACACCAAAAACGCAAATCCGAAAAGCAAGTTAAAAATCAGAGCGTTTGCTTCAAATCAAGACGTTATGCATTTCATAGAGAGGGAGATGAAATAAGAATATATACTTGAAGGTCGTGTTCCTTGATGTAGGCCCAAATGCGTTTGAGAGCCTGTGTGCGAGGTATCACCGACTCGCCGACGACGTCCTGCATTTCGGGGGACACTGGGCGAGGCTTCATGATGCCACGTGGCTCCCGGGTCTTGGTGGCTGAGGGCTCGGAGGATGCCGTCGCGGAGGTCACGGCTCGCACCATGCGCAGGTTAGCCGGATGAGGCGCAAGACGGAGGGACGAGAGAGACGGTGAGCTGCGGAACGGCGCCGTTTCGACGCAGAGAAAGGTAGAGAAGATTCCAGAAGAAAGAGCCATTGTCGTCGTCGTCGTTGTGCTTGTCTGTGTGGTGGATTTTGGAAGACGAGAGGTTTTGTGTTATCCTTTCCTTTCCTTCCTTTTTTGTTTCTTCTCCAGTTCTAGAAATTAAAGAGGGCACATTCGACCTAAACTATGTATTTAAAGGAAAATGTAAAACACCTTCTTTTTTTTTGAAGAATTATTATTAAATCTATATTAGTATTTTTTCTTTATCAGAGAATCGATCATGCAAGAATCGAATTCGGATCCATTTATTTTTGGATATTTCTACATCTCCTTGTCGATTATTATTATCCTACACTACACAAGTACACATCTCTTTAGGATAGTAATACTTCAAACATGCCTCTCTACAAAAATCATACAGTTTCCAAGCTTTTTGATAAGCAACAACAAAGCCTCTCCTTTTTTTTTTTTTTTGTCTTTTAGCCTCCCATGCTATTTGAGGGATAACAACGAAGACCATGAGATTGTTCTTCTATAGAATCTCTTGATGCTAACAAATTCACCTGCAAAACATAGTTTGTCATAGTTTCTGTATTACAAGAGGTTTACTTATAAATTCGGGAACTTTCTTCGATCAATCAATAGCAGTGTGTTTCAATGTACCTTGACTATCTCAGACACTGAGCTCGGTCGCGTGTACGCAGCCAAAACACTCATGTTAAAATCCTGCAAGATATAAACATTACACAAGTCTTGAAAATGCCATCAACATTCTTATAACTGGAAATTCCACCGGTAAACTTATATTTTACTGATCAAAAAACATATGTCAACTCACCCTGAAGGGGTCACCGCGTAGAGACTGAACAAACATCATGGAGAAGTCTGAACCGTTTCCCTGCAAGACAAACCGAATCACATAGTTAGGTCACATGCTCTCTACACATAGCAGCTCACATTCATGCCGCTATATATATATATATATATATATTACCTCTAGAGATACATCCCTGAGGCGTCTTCCCGTTTGAGCACAACAAACACGGACCATACTCTCATCGCAGCTTCCACTGATGATGTAGTCATTACCATTCATGTAATACGATCGAGTATAGTTCATAGAGCTTCCTGTTGGGACTATCTCAAAATTCAGATGAAGCCTTCCATCAACTGTCAAAAGCTGCCGCACCTGAGAAAAATGCTCAATTGATTGCTAAAAATCATTAGAAGATTGTCACACACATATAAAAAAAGCGAATATTGTATATGCAGAAAGCTTCATGAGTAAAAACTAAAAGGTCGATGAGAGTACCTCATTGTCCACGGCTGATGTTAGAAGATAACGATCATCTGGAGAGAAGCAAACCATCACGTTTCCTTTGGTACTAGAGGCAGTGTAGCATGGTTGAGATGGCTCTTGTCTCAAATCCCATAGCTTAACATCTCTGTCAAAAGAAGAAGTCGCGAAAAGAGACGGGGAGTGGTTGGAGAATTTCACCACGTTAATGTGCTCTTGATGCATGTTAGCGAAAACTTGTAGGCGTGTTCCGCTACCAATGTCATACAAAGCCACGTCCTTTGAGTATCCGCTTGCAAGAAATAGTTTGTCCGTCGAATTAACATGAACCGAGGTTAACTGGTCAAAGTCATCAAAAGTAACAGAACCAGAAGTTGTGTGACTGCTACTACTAGTAACTGTGGATGACGCTTTTTGGATGTCGTACAACTTCAGTGAGCCGCTGGCTGAGCCAGCTATAACCTTGGAAAACCAAAAAAAATTTGAAATGTATTCGTTAGCTAACAACTAACATAATCAAATCAAACAAAGGCAGCTTTCAAAAGTACCATAGATGGATACATCTTGAGCCAACAAAGTCCCAAGATACTACTTTGAGCTCCATGAGATGGGATGTAGCGTACAATTTTCCCGCTTTCGTGATTGAGAACAACCACCTCACCATCCAAAGTTCCAAATACCATTAGGCTAGGATCCAACGGATGATATTCAAACTGCCTTGGACATAATCTCCTGTTTTCATCTTCCCGGTGAATCCTACTAAAAGGAAGCGAATGCAAGAGAGGCCAAGAAGAAGATCCCATCCTAGCCGCACAAAGAGACCTTATATATGAATTCTGAGATTTCCATTTGCTTGATCTCGTTTCACGCTTCTCCAGGACTCTAACTACACTTTCCTTGTTCTTTCTCCTGTACGGTAAGTACTCAAAGTTTGCGGAGTATGTCTCAATGGCCCTATCTCTATCACTCTTTCTGATTGCCAAATTGTCCAGGACTTTTAATTTGGGTAAAGAGTTTATCATGTACATCCTATAATGCTTTTTGAAACATATCGGTGATGCGTGAGACGATATATATTTCAACCCAACATTACCAAGTTGTGTTTCGAATGAACCATCATAGGTTTTGCACGGCATTTTCCCTTTCCTAACCTGCCAAAATGGTACAAGGAAGCTTTAACCATCCCATGCTTACATGTCTCATCGGTTAACTTTACAAGCAAGAAAAAATGGTAATGTGTTTTCACCTTTTCCCTCAAAAATACTTCTCCATTCAGATCTGTAGACACGGAGATACGTGAATCCATATCATCTTGCTCAGGAATTTTATACGAGAAATCCATGCCATGAAAAGTCTCTTCATCAGGATCCAACTGTTCGAAAACCTCTGAAAAATCTGCTCCAATGGACGAGTTTGAAGATGACTGCGAATCACTACAACAAATCCAAATTTGGAACCGGAGCTCCTTAAGAGAAGGGAGTTTCAAGAGAGCAGCACTTGTTGTCCAAAGATCCGACACTAGACTGTCGCAAATCGAAAGATATGTCAATTTGGGCATGCAAGAAAAACAGTCTTCCCCAAAACCATGTATACGGTTGTTATCGAGTATAAGGGTGTGCAGCTGTGCGAACTCTCCTACGATGTTAAGCTTATTTAAATGCAACGACCTCACATTCAATACTTGGCAGCTCAAACCTCTAAAGAAAACGTCCCTGATATTAAAAAAAACAATCACCAAATGAAAATAGAAAGCTGAAGAAAGAAATAATGCAAACAAAAAAAAAAAACCATTGCTTACAGCCAGAAGGTTTTTCCGAAAGAATCATGAAGATGAACAAGTCGCAGTTTTTGACTGACAGAACGGATTAAGGACAATGCATAATGATCTTCCAAAGAACAAGAGGATCTCACAAAGAGATCGATTCCTTCTATTAAATCGGATGTGTTGATCTCATTGCATAACTCGAGAAGCGGGTGAAAGTCATCGTAATTCACTCTGTCCACTAAAAGATTCATGATGCATCTTTGATTTCTTGACTTTCTATCCTCCGCCTGAAAATTCATTTGATCTTGGTTCAATTGTAAATTTAACTCAGAATAACACTAAGATCAAGCTAATCAGAAGCAATATATAGATCTTATGGACATGGAAAAAGGTAACCATACCTCAAGGAAGGTAGATAAAATAGAAGTGTTGGGTAGGATTCCATGCTTCTTGCATAATTCAACGTACCTGAAACCAAAGATGAATCACTTGACACATTGTAACTTATCAAGAACCCTACTTATCTAGAGATCTGATCCAAGACTAACGAAATTACCCAGAATTTACAAATCATCCGACCCAGAAAGCACCCTGACGCACAAATGTTTACCCCCAAGGAAAAAAGAAGAAGACCTAACAAAAAAACTTCCCTTCTTTGATTCCTTAGACCAAAAACGATAGAACAGAGTCAAAACAAATCCTTAACCAGAGAAGAGCAGAAATTCAGACAAATTATCAGGAAAACCACCAGCAAAAAAACACAGAATCAAAACTCAATTTAGATTAACTGGAAGAAAAAAAGCTAGTGAATTCGTTATTCCAAACAAAAATACGGAGATAAAGGAAGAACTCATAGTTTCTAAAAAAGATAGTAGCAGGATTCAGACAAAACCCAAACGTACGATCACATCTCAACTTTTTCTGTCTTAATACAAACGCTTAGATACACGAAAGAGGTGCAAAAAAAACAAACAATCACAAAACTCACTTCTCCTCAAGGGTGGCGATTTCAGTAAGCATAGCCATTCAATCAAATCTTAAGAATGAACTCCAACTACTCCTTTCCGATGTTATCAGGAACTTTTCTACACGAAAGCAAGTTTTTGAGGAAGTTTTAACATATCAAAAGACTTTACACCTAAACCTGCCACCTGGTATAGAAGCTTGAGCAATTTTGTGCTCTTTTTTTTTTTTGGTCGTCAAGCAATTTTGTGCTTTAAAAAGTGAGTGAGTGGTGCTAATAAATTAATGGGTCCAACTTTTAAAATAAAAAAGATAAAGTGTCTAATTCTATCGATTCACATTGACGCACACACATGCGTAAATAAAATAGAGATCATATTATTCGGTCAGATGTGTCTCTATATACGTACGTTTTTGCCTTAGGGGTTTCAGAAGTTTCATATACGACATACTGCAATAAATTTTGCTTTTATTCTTATTTTGGGTCTAAGAATCTTATTAAATAATTACTTCTAACCCAAACACCTAAATATTGTCTCTCCCAAATCTATTGATAGTGGTCCTATACACTCCTAGTGGAAAATTGCAGAAAACTCTACAATACCAAAAACCTGGTTTCTATGGTTCAGCGGTTCGGACTGGTTCACCGGTTTTATAGCGGGTTTAAGGATTTCTTCATGGAACGACATCGTTTAGTAGAACCCCAGAACCCGAGATCTATTTTGTGCATCTTCTCTCGCTCTCTCTCCCTCCGTTCTTCATCCTTCGTCTCCTAAAATTGAATCTCTCTTTTGAATTCAAGTAAACGAAGATCCGTCCAACAGATCTCACCTGACTTTCACAATGGATAATCCTATTCAAGAGGTACCATTTTGCATTTTACACTTTTGATGTGGCTTTGAATTGCGATGGAAGATGGTTTTCTCAACTATATTGGATTTTAAACTTTTTGCGCGATTGGATTTTTGATATGTTTTCATGGCAGATTCTGGAGAAGCAACTTTTGACGGTGGCGAAAGCAATGGAGGACAAGCTTGACGAGGAGATCGCGTCCCTGGAAAAGCCTGACGAGGACGATCTAGAGGTGCTGAGGGAGAGAAGGTTGCAGCAGATGAAGAAAATGGCGGAGAAAAGGAAACGTTGGATGAGTCATGGACACGGCGAATACTCCGAGATCCCCTCCGAGAAAGATTTCTTCGCCGTCGTCAAGGCCAGCGAACGCGTCGTCTGCCACTTCTACCGCGAGAATTGGCCCTGTAAAGTATGGATTCACAACATTCTTTGTTTTCAATTGGATTTGGTTGAGAATCGATACATACTTTCCCCGACTTCTCGTTGTCTTTTATGTTTTGATAAGAGACTTGAGCTGCATTTGCATTTTGGGATTTCAGTTTCTTTAGATTTCTCAGGTTTCAATTGAGTAGTTCAATTTCCAGGAGATTTTGCTGGGTTTTAGCATTTTCTTTGAAAAAATATCTCCTTTTGGTTTTAGCTGTCTCTGTTGTTGTGTTAAGTCCATGTATGATAGAGATGTTGGAGCAGAGATTTGTTTCTCCAAAATGATGGTGCGTCTTGTCCATAAGATTCAAGAGCGTATTTGTAATCAAGAATTGTTTTTTTTGCAGGTGATGGATAAACACATGAGTATATTAGCAAAGCAGCACATTGAGACACGTTTTGTGAAGATCCAAGCTGAGAAAAGTCCATTCTTGGCTGAGAGGCTCAAGATTGTCGTTCTTCCCACTCTTGCCCTCATAAAGAACACTAAAGTCGATGATTATGTGGTATAGTAATAACTGCTGAAAACAAGTGTAGGAAATAAAACCCAGTCTTGGTATCTGTTCGAATATATGATGATCTCAATGTTGTTTGATAGGTTGGGTTCAATGAGCTGGGAGGGAAAGACGATTTCAGCACCGAGGACCTGGAAGAGAGATTAGCTAGAGCCCAAGTGATCCACTACGAAGGAGAATCATCTCATAAACCAAAGTCTACAACACAAACCAGGAGGAGCGTAAGGCAGAGTGCTAATTCAGATTCTGACTCGGAATAAATCCCAAGTTTTGACAACGGTTCGCTCGTCGTCTCATGATCCACACTATCTTTACCCTTGTTTTTTGTGTGTGAGTGTTGCAATGCAAAAGAGGAATATGGCGAGCTTCTTGGTGAGTTGTATCGAACGAATTAAGTTATGATTTGTAATTCAAAGCAATTCAGTCGTCTTTTTAATGATCTAATATGGATGTTTAACCTCATTAAATGTCTTCACTTTCGAATGACAAAAACAAAAACAAAATGTCTCGACTTTCGAACATAACAACATACTCTTAGCAAATGTAAAAAAATATATGATTAATCAACTAAGTAACAGAGAGCAGTCCAGAACCCAAAGTAAGGCCCACATTTCCAACTTAAAGCCCATCAAGCTCTTAAGTCAATGTCTTGGATAGTTTGTTTCACCGGTTGGTCGCAAAAGTTTAATCGGCGAAGAAAAGGAAGTGCCGATATTTCACCGGCGATTAAGATGGAGATAGAGGTCGATAAGGGGATTCTTAAGTCTTCTGGGGCAGAGCTTCTTCCCAACGGACGTCGAGGTTTGCGCATCCATGACTGGGAGATCGAAACCCTCCGTGGCACGATTCTTACTTCTCTCGCTCTCCAAGAGTACTCAATCTCTATCTCTCACCTTACGTCTCCATAAGATACAATCATCTACGAATTTGGTTGTTTCTGTGCATTTCGGTTACTAGTTGTGTTTCGAGGTTTTGTATCTTTGCGTCGTCAATTCGATTCGGTCTGATTGATTGAGAACTGAGAATAGCCCAAATTGCTTCTTCTGAGATGCACATGTCTTTTAATGTCAGCAGAATAACGAAATGTATTGTGTGATTGTAACTCAGCTGGGAAGAAAAGCTTCATACATCTCACTTACCTGAAATGGTATTTGGCGAGAATGCATTAGTCCTTAGACACCTAAGTAGCCACGCTAAGATTCATTTCAATGCATTTGACGCACTAGCGGGTTGGAAGCAAGAAGGGCTTCCACCTGTTGAAGTTCCTGCTGCAGAAAAATGGAAATTCAGGAGGTCAGTTTATGACCGGTTTTATCTGATTAGATCAACCTTTTTAAAACTCTGCACGTACATGGTTTTATCTGAGACAGTTCTTATGTGCTTGCAGCAAGCCGTCCCAGCAGGTTATACTAGATTATGATTACACTTTTACAACGCCATACCGTGGAAGTGAAGTCGTTGAGAAAGACCAAGAAGAGGTTCGCCTTGCTCTCTTGTTCACCTAGTTCTGCCAGTTAATTTAAGGGTAACCTTCTTGCTCATTGATGTATGCTGTTGTTTTCATGTGAAGCACGTTAAGGAAAAAGCAAATACTGAGGTTGAAGCTAGTCTTCAGTGGGAGAACTGTGATGAGCAGATTGATTTGGCCGCTCTCTCACTTAAAGAACCTATTCTATTCTATGATGAGGTTGGTCCTCTAATCGATACAAACACAAAACATTTAATTTTTGTCTTCTGCGCCAAGTACTTATTCTCTACTCCTTCAGGTAGTTTTGTATGAAGATGAACTGGCTGACAATGGAGTGTCACTTTTGACTGTGAAAGTGGTAAGATATCACAAGCCTTTTTTTCCAGTCACATTCTGTCATAATTCCGTGGATTTGATCTAAACACTAACCCGTGTGTGCCGTTCTGTTTGTTTTCTTTAGAGAGTCATGCCAAGTTCATGGTTCCTCCTCTTACGATTTTGGGTGAGTCATCAGGAAAAGCCGTAGTCATTATAGAAAATCGTTATGCACCAGTATATGAATTCTCATTGACTCACTCCTCTGATGCTTTGGTTTTCATCATCCACTCGGTTGCCTTTTTACAGCTTAGAGTTGATGGTGTGCTTATGAGACTGAGAGAGACGAGAATGCATTGTGTGTTTGGCAAAGGTGAGACACCCACTGTTCTTCGTGAAAGCTGTTGGAGAGAAGCAACATTTCAGTCTCTATCTGCGGTTAGTTTTTCTTCACTTTTAGGACAGATTACTAATAATTTTTTCCGTCTCCAATCTTTGTTTTGTTGACATCCATATTTTTCCCATTAAGCCTAGAACGTCTGGCTGATTATAGTCCTAACCAGTAACCATTTCCCATAAATCATCAAACAATCACTATCCTTTTGTTACAAGACGAGAACATACTGCAATGTTTCTATGGTTAGTGAATATGGAAGGTCCTATGATGATAACTCTTTGATTATATATATGCAGAAAGGGTATCCCGTTGACTTAGCAGTCTATAGCGACCCGAGCTCCATCAGTCAGAGGCTACCGGTTATTAAGCAGATGACACAGAAACTGAAGATCCCTCGGAAAGTGTAAGCTGTTGTTAAACCAAGAAGAAGGTGTCGCATGAGCAGTAAAAAAAAATACTTAATATTTACGATTGAGTTTGTTGATGTAAGGAGTTACTTAACTGATTCATTGTGGCGGATTTCGTTTTCATGCAAGCACTGAAACCCTTTCATGTTATTACACTGTTATTGTTCCCAGAATACTTTCCTCCTCACTATTCAAAGTCTATGATTTGTATCACACAAATAAGAGTTATTTCAATTCTGTATAATGTAATCACATCAAAATTTGTTAACAAGGCTAGTAATTCAACTGCATTTATTAGCACCATTGCCATGTCTGAATAGTGAAAACAAAATTTACTCTCCGGAATTATATTGTAAAGAAACTTTTCTTTTACGTATTTTCCTTACAGTAAATAATAACCCTGAGAAAGTTACTAACATCAGGTACAAGATGGTTATTGAAAATTATACTGAAATATAAACCGAGCCTACACTGAAGTGTTAAAAGCCATTGGGCTTAAAAACAAGAAATATGAAGAGAACTCCAGATATTATGGAACTGGAAATTGTCAAAAGTGAAGAAAGACCAAATAATGTATGTAAGTTTTTGGTTCCAGATGGAACACAACACAACACGACCAATGAGTTCTTCTTAGGGCACCCCTTTTTTAAAGTCTCCATCTGTTTCAAGATGATTGATGCACACACTTCGGCATTCAAGTACCTGCCATCATTCAAGTCAGAGTCAAAGTTTTGAATCAGAATCAGATCTTCAGACCAAACTTAAATCAGCCATTCAAATAAATAATGTGTTATACAAGTCCATGTTTGTGCCATGTATGCTTCAATAACAATAAATGAAGTGTTCTCTTTTGGAAGGTACTCATGGATATAAAAGGCAGGATATTTAGGCCAGGCAGAGGTTTGTCATTTCTCAATGCGTTATAACAGAATAACGCATTGAGAAATGAACAAGATGAACAAGATGTTATAACTAGGGTTGAAGCTTAACTGTATTGTTTGATTGCGTACACGAAAACAGTGAAAAGAAATAAAAGCTCTTAAATTTTTTTTAGTTCCTAAACATAAACACACCAAAAGCAAAATGGACAAGAAACCTACAAAGCAGTAGCACCTCTCTTGACAGCGACTGAAAATCCACTTCCATCACCCATCTTTTCCATTCCCTATCAAATCCCAAGCCCAATATGTTCTTAACACACAAACTTAATTACGAGATAAAAAAAAAAGCCATTTTTATTCCACTTCAAGACGAAAAGTGTAGCACACAATTGCTTGTTCCAACAAGAAACATTAAACAAGAAATTCAGAAGAAGGCAAAAGAAAAAACTAGTGTAGTTTGCTCTTTCCAATGGAAATCCTAAAAACAAAGTAACACTCACAAATGGAGAGTAATTAGCGATCTTGACAAGTGCGTGGGAAGGTACCGTTAGGGAGTTCGCAGAAAGCTCGCACATTAACATTCAGGTGAGAAGTGAGTCGAGCTGAAGCCACGACATTGTGCAGAGGCAACAAAGAGGCTGTGCATCCGAGCTCTCCCAAATTCCTATGCAATTAAAAAAAAATAACACAAATTTTACAAAACGTCAATGCTAAAACACACAAAAAAATCATATCTCAATCTGATAAATCAACATTTCAATTCTTCTCAAATAGGGATTTACACGGTAATCATCTACAAAAAGTGTTCAAGCTTTGCAAATATGGCTTAGTTCATTTACAGAAAAGGGACAAACAACAATCTCCAACCTTTCAAACATGAAATGGTAATTAGGAGCATAATCCCAGAAATTATATACCGAAAAGTATTCAAAGGCTTAAGAAATGAGAGGGAAAAGAAAGGGTGGAACCTGGGATTTGTGAAGGAGGCAAATCGGCGGCGGGGCAAAGAGGATTGGGAAGGACGGAGGCGCGGAAGCGTTGCCGGCGGAGATCGGAGAGACGGAGCTCTAGCGGTAGCGGAAACGAAAGAGCGAGCAGCAGATCCTGCACTGCGCCAAGCCATTGTTATCTACTTCAACTAAATAATCAGCTCGATCGAAGAAGAAGAAGAAGATAGTGGACTCGGAAGATGAAGACGGAACTAAAATAGACTACTAAACCAGAAAACACAGAAGCCCTACACGTGAGGGAGAGTGAGCTATTGAAAAACTAATTGGGCCACAAAATAGAATGGATACTCGGTTTGGTTCGGTTTATTTTTTTCACTTTTTGAGAATTCATTAAGATCAACATTATCGGTTTGGTTCAGATCGATTTAATTTCGTTTATATTCATATTCAACTTATTTTGATGACTTAGATAATTTTGACCTGAACCTGTTGTTCACTTATTCAGGGTGAAGTAGCAGGAGCCTGTGTAGATGCTGGATAATAAGTTGAATATGAACATTTCTCATCTGAATCATGTTAATATTGATACAGCATGAAGCCATATGAATTATTAAAAGTAATGATACAAAGGGGATACATTATTATCAACCTTTTGGATACATCATACATGTGTGTTATACTTGCACATATACTGTAACTCGTGGAACGATGGACAAACAATACTCTTCCTCTATTCAATGAGCAAAAAAAACAGATGAGAATCAAGAATCTCGTCTCTTACATCTATAAATTGTCTGTCCGAATGCATCTCAAATCTTTGTCAAAAGTAAAGACTTTCCCTGGCGACAATGTGGTAGCCGCAGAGATTCCTCTGTACACTATTCTGGTGGACACAATCTGTTCCGACCAAAGACCAAACTCTACAAGTTTCCCTTCCATCCACCTTATACTAACCGTCACACCACCACGTGCCCTTAGCCCTTTCACATAACCATTAGGCCATTTATCCTCTGGAAGTGCAGGCAACAAATATAGATCCTTGGTCGTGCTCTGCACTAACATTTCCGCTACCGCTGCTGAAAATCTGCTCAAGAACAAAATAAATAATCATGTGTAAGTATTAATCATGGTTTAAGTATTTAAGTGTTTGCAATATATTGTCGTTACTTACCCAAAATTGGCATCGATCTGGAACGGCGGGTGTGCTGTGAACAAGTTACTATAGAGTCCTCCTTCATAGTTACGTTCGTGTAAAGGATCCACCAGGTCAAATATATGTGTAACCATCCGATACGCGTGCTCGCTATTGTGAAGCCTTGCCCACAACGCAGCTTTCCAAGTGGTGGACCACCCTGGCCCTTCCTCTCCTGCAACAATCAGTTCAACATTACATATTTCTCCAACCACGTCGATGACATTGCAGAATGTGAAAGAAGAATAGAATAACACCGACCTCTTTTCTTAAGTGTTACTTCCACAGCTTTGGCAAGTTCTGGAGACTTTTCAAGTGTGATTGTGTGACCTGGGAAGAGACCAAAGAGATGTGAAACATGTCTATGATGTACCTCTGGGTCCTCAAAATCTTCTACCCATTCCATTACAGAACCATCCTTTGATATTCTAGTGGGCGGAAGATTTGCTTGAGCAGCAACGACTTTTCCAACAAGAGTATCATTTGTTTTTCCCAAAACCTGTTGATAAAACCAGAAGACACAGAAGCTCAGTATCGATGAGGTGATGTGAATTTCTTTTCGTTGTTTTTGTTGCTTCATCGGTCTTTTTACCTCTGACGCAGAAACAATAGCAGAGAAGACTTCCTTTACGATGGCAATGTCCATGGTTGATGAGTAGCTAACACTGGCAGGTTTGCCATCCGGAGCAGTAAACATATGCTCAGGTGATGTTGATGGATTGGTCTGGAGATATCCGTCTTTACCTTTGATCAGCCAGTCCAAAAGAAAGGCCGTACATCCTTCCAACAATGGATATCCTTTCTTTTTGAGAAATTCCTATTAAATGAATAAACAAGTAAAGGTTGAAAAAACAGAGTACCAGTTGAAGAAACTGATGTGAAATCAGCAAATTTGAGGACCTTACCTTGTCCATTGTGTAGGTGTAATGCTCCCATGCATGAGTGCATAGCCAAGCTCCTCCCATGGGCCAGAGGGCCCACACTGCCTCACCTCTATCCGGTGAAGTTTTAGCCCATATGTCTGATACTTGATGTGCCACCCAACCACTTGCTCCGTAGTTCACCTATATGATTGATTATTAGACTAATGACTATATAAAGCGGTTACTGATCTTGATATACTGAACAAGTTTCACACATTGATATTGACATTGTAACGGTCATCAATACAAAAAAAAGGATAGAGACTTACTTGTGCTGTCTTGCGGCCATTGATTGCTAAAGCAGACATATAATCAAACAAAGGTTCTTGACATTCCCGGATGTTACCAGGAAGAGAATGCCAATAGTTCATCTGCAGATTAATGTTCAGGTGAGGAGCACCACTGCAAATACCAGCATAAGAAGAGTTAGTGACACATCAACAAAGTGATGAAATCCCAAAGAGAAATGAAGAAAAAAGAAAACGCACTCCCATGGCGGCTGAGTGTCCTTGTTCCATATCCCCTGCAAGTTAGCCACCTGAGTTCCGGGTCTTGAAGAGGATATAAGAAGGTACCGACCATACTGGAATAAAAGTTCCACCAATGAAGGGTCTTCATCGGTTTTAAATGATCGCACCCTTTCAGCAGTTGAAACTGCTTGTTTCACAGATTTACTAGCCGAGCTGCCGGAGAGTTGCAAAGAGACCCGGTTGAAAAGTTTCTGATAATCTCCCAAATGACGAGCATAAAGATCAGAGTATGAATGTTTCTGGATTGAGCTGATTCTGCTAACGCATTCCTTTGCAGGGTCTCTCTTAGAATGAGCAGGCATCGTAAATGGCCCGTCAAAGTTAGATGAAGCCGCCAGAAGCAGAACCGCCCAGTCCGCCTTTTCAACACTTAGTTTCTTGCCACCTAAGGAAGTCACAGAGCCACCATTGCTTACCCTAACTTCAAGAATGGCTGCAAACTGCAATCCTTTGTGATCATCATACGGTATATTCGTAGCGTTGATGCTTTTGTTTAAGTTCACAGGAAGACGCTTTGGGCGACAACTTCCCTGCATCAGAATCTGATTGGCCTTGGAATTTGTCTCGGAATGATGGTGCAAATCGCTGTCCAAAGACACCTTAAAAGACAGAGAACCCGGTTTGCTTGCAGAGATCTTGGCTACAATTACTTGATCCGGATTAGAAGCGAAAAACTCCCTTGAGAACTCCACAGACCCAACCGAGTAGCTTACTTTAGCTACTGCTGTCTCCAAATCGAGTTCACGTCGATAAGAGTCTTGAGTGTACTTACGATGTGAACTGTCAAAGTCTATATTCAAATCTCCCACTAGCTGGTAAACCTTTAGAGAAACCCAAGAACAAAGGATTATTCTTTACACAAACTAAGAAAATATCAAGAACTCAACAAAAGAAAAAAAATTTCAAACAAAAGAATCAAAACATACATCAGAAGGATGGCCTGATAATTTGACAGCTTCTGAAGTAGCTTCAGCATATTTTCTGTCATCAACAAGCTTCCTAACTTGTGCTAATGCTTCTGGCGCATTCGGGTTCGTGTAATCTGCTGGAACTCCAGTCCAAATTGTGTCCTCTATCAATCAAAACACATTGACTTTTTTTAACACTTCAGATCCATAACTATTCAAAGAACACAACAGAGCAGCATTAAACAAGAAACAAGATCTTTTTTTTTAGCAAAAGGGTTTGCCTTTTTTACGCATTTTCTACTCACAAGTCAAAAAATAAGAATACGTCTCAAGAATAATCCCCTGTTCTATTGCTTACAATGTCGAAAGCATTTATGTCAATAAATGATTCCGAGAAACAATACTAATGATCAGAATCTGATATAGCAGAGTAACTACAGAAACGCATTTATTACCTAAATCCCAAATAAATAAAAAACGAGAATGGAGACAACACAAGAATGGAGAGAAAACAAAAACAAGAAACAAAAACGACGCGGTTTTCACATTTACCATTGAGGTTGAGAGTCTCGGAGGAGACGCCGCCCCAGATCGTAGCACCGAAGCGGCCATTGCCGATGGGAATGGCGTCAGTCCAATTCCGTGAAGGCCCACCAAACGTCAGCTTCAGAGGCCTCGGGAGATCCTGGCCGTCCATCAGTGTCCTCTCCGATGAACGCCGCACTCCCTCGCAACATGTTATAATACTCAGGAGGAGAAGCAGAAGAAAGCTGAAATGGACGAAGAAGAAGCTCGACTTCTCCGCCATTGCTGTGCTGCTGCTCCGACAAAGAGAGTTGCTTTCACTACAGAGAGAGAGGTTTGGTCTTGAAATAGAGTGGGCGAGAGATTTGATATCGCACTCTGTCCTCGAGAGACGGGAATCAATTATTTTACGCGTTTTTCCCTATCAAATTATCCATTTATTTGATCACGTACTCTTTTATTATTACTAAACCAGAAAAAAAAAATAAGCAAATCTAATGTTTTAAAATAAAAATATACTTTTTTGCCACACAAAATTCTTTTTGAAAAAGTAGATTTTTAATAAATTTTCGATTGATTGACCAAAAAAAAAAAAAAAAAATTTCGATTATGTCATTACAAAATAAAATTGATGCTTGAAATTTTAATATACGCTACAAATTAATTTAAAGTGGATAAAGTAATAATAAAAGAAACCAAATTTTAAGGCCAACATAACTCATTTGATAGTAATGGATCCCAACCAAAATAACGAGACCACAAGTGCAGAGAAAGAATCAAACGTGTTGAATGTACCAAATAAGCCCATAACTAGGATCCAAGAAAGGAGTTTGTCCAATACATACCATTCTTGGAGGAGATAAAGAGGACGAAATACATACTACTATACTAGTATACTAGCTCAACCCAGTATTTAACCATCACAATAAGTATTCATGAGAAAGACCAAACTAACCATAATTTTAATATTTTTTTAACCACCGACTTTCATTTTCTAACTTAATTACTTATAAAGGTTTCAATAGTCAGACACATCACACATGATGTTTAAATAGAAGAAGATATAGGAAGATCTCTAGCCATCTCATCTAAGACCGTATATATTACGATCATGTATTGGTTGTCGAAGATATTCATCTCTCATGTGGTAGTATGACTTTCTTTAATGATATGGAATAATATATAATAAAACCAAACAGGTCTCTTAAACGCGACCGATGATTTACAACATGAAAACCGACCCGAAGATTTGAGGACGATTCAGTCCCAAAAAAAAAGTTTCCATTAAAATTCAACGCAGCATTTATATGTATTTTTTTCCAATTGATTTATATCAAATATTTTGATAAGTTAAGGTATTATGATTTCAGGTTTTTTAAGGTTTTTGTAATATAAGTTGGATATTTACTTTAACCAAAAAGTAATATAAGTTGGATATTTAGGTTTTAGAGTTTACAAAAAAAAATCAATATAGATTGACTAATAAGGAGTTCAGTAACTTTTTTTATGTTATCGTCTTGGTTACATTTGAAAACAAAAACAAAACAAGAAAACTCGGTCTCAAAAAAAAAAAAAAAAAAAAAAAAAAAAAGAAAAAGAAAAGTCGGTCTCGTCTTGTACATTGGTTACGTTGTATTATCAAGTTAACAATACAAAATGAGCCGGTCATTCGTGTTAAGCTTCTCTTCTTCTTCACTTTACATCAAAGAGACAACAACACATTACTTTTTTTCTACTAGGCTTATTATGAATTGCAACGTAATTGTTTTCGACGTTGAGCCGAAGCAGAATATCTCGATGCTTGATTATTTTTGCAACTTTTGATATATATTTGACACATTGTTGGGCTTAACAAGTTGTTGAAGTATTTGGCCATTTGGGTGTTAATGTATCTCCTCCAGCTTTTTTTGTTTGAAGAACCAAACAAAGGTAAGAAAATTGATTGCTACACCGTAACGTGGAGTTTAATGATGGTCTTCTCAAGTTGCTTCATGTAAAGACAAATATTCAGATAGCTGATGCTGTCACGAAAGTATTGTACCGAGAACACTTTCGTCATCTAACACGCAAGATTGATTTTCTAAATATCGTCTCCCCCATTTTATAAGGGATATCTTAACATGCTTATGGCATTATTGCATTTTCTGAACATTTGAGTTTGTTAGAATGTCTATGTTCCATTTTATGTTATTCATATTACATATACTTACGTTTTGATAAATTTTACTCTTTATCCTAATATAATTTGATTATATATACATATATGAGAAATGCCTTAAACACAACCCAAAAAACTTTAGATAACTCTTCCTAATCCTAATATTTGTGGTACTTTAAAATATTGGTGATGTTTTTTTAAAAAACATAAAATTTGATTTTTTGAGAAATGCCATATATATATATATATTACTATTTTATAAAATAAAATAAAAACTTTTTTTTGTAAAAGAGGAAGCATCAATCAACGCATTAAAAACAAAAACTTCTGAAGAGAGCTTTTAGTTACAGAGGTCAAAAGGAAGAAGACGAAGATTGTAAAAGTTTGTTATTCTCGTTAATGGAAAGATTACATGTAATGCTCTTTATATAGAGCTTCTAATATGTGGTTTACACTTAACCAAAGACTAAACCGACTAAAACCGTATATATATATTGATATTCCCCTCAAGATGAGCCAAATATTGAAATAAGACTCATCTTGCCAATAAGATCTTGGAACAGAGTAGGGTATAGAGGTTTAGTTAGAACATCTGCGATCTGATGATGAGTCCTGACATGCATCGTCTTGAGTAAACCACTTTCAATTCTTTCCCGAGTAGTATGACAGTCGTTTTCCACATGTTTGGTTCGTTCGTGGAAGACTGAATTATTAGCGATCTGGATTGCAGCTGTGGAGTCACAAAACAGAGGAACAGGGCTTGTCTGAGGAACTTGTAACTCTGTGAGTAGTTTTACCAGCCAATCGATTTCACAACTAGCCAATGCCATAGCTCTGTATTCGGATTCTGCCGATGAACGAGATACCACATCTTGTTTCTTGGATTTCCAAGATAAGAGAGAATTACCAAGAAACATACATAATTCAGTTGTAGAACGTCTAGTATCTGGACAAGATGACCAATCAGCATCGCAAAAGGCTTTTAGTTGTAGTTCAGTGTTTGATGGATAGAATAAACCCAAACCAATTGTTCCTTTGATGTAGTGAACCACCTTATAAGCTGCATTTAGATGTGATCGTTTCGGAGCTGAAGAAAACTGGCAAAGTTTGTTGACAGCATAGGATATATCCGGTCTGGTAATTGTTAGATACATCAATTTACCAACCAATCGACGATAGACTTCTGGATTCTCCAATGCTGGTTCATCATTATGCAGACTCAGCTTGAGACTTGGTTCCATTGGAATGCTTGAAGGTCGACATCCCAATAGACCAGTTTCTTCCAATAGCTTAAGGCATATTTTCGTTGGCAAATAGAGATTCCTTTACTCGAACGAGCAATTTCAAGACCAAGAAAATACTTGAGAGGACCTAAATCCCTGAGTTTAAACATCTTTGCCAAATCCAGTTTTAACTGAGTTACGGCTTCCTCATCACTGCTTGCAATTACTATATCATCGACATAAACCAGCAATGCAACATAATTCTCAGCTGTATGTCGAATGAATAATGCATGATCTGAGTGAGACTTACGAAAACCCAATGTTGTGAGAGCTGAACTGAACTTTAAGAACCATTGCCGTGAGGCTTGTTTGAGTCCATAAAGTGATTTCTGCAGCTTGAGTACAGCATTTTCAGGAAGAGATTCCCCCTTTCTTGATGCATATCCTGGAGGCAAAGTCATATAAATTTCTTCATCTAAATCTCCATTTAGAAATGCATTTGAGATGTCCAACTGATGTAGAACCCAGTTCTTAGCCGATGAAACAGCAAGTAGAGTCTTTACAGTTGTCATTTTAGCAACCGGAGAGAAAGTATCTACGAAGTCAATGCCTTCTTGTTGTGTGTATCCCTTGGCGACCAAACGAGCTTTGAATCGTTCTAGGGATCCATCAGCATTCAGTTTGACTTTGTAGATCCATTTGCATCCGATAGGTGTTTTGCCTTCAGGTAAAGAGCAAACTACCCAAGTGTTGGTTGCTTCCAAAGCATCTTCCTCTATTCCCATAGCATCACACCATTCTTTGATCTTCCTAGCTTGAGTATAGCAGCTTGGTTCTGCATATTTGTCCACTGTACATACAAAAGCTTGATGATGATCAGAAATTTTGGTTAGATTGATGTAAGCATTGATGGGATAACGAGCATCTGAGATTGTGTTGCAGTAGTAATCTCGAAGATGTGCAGGAAGCTTGCTTTGTCGTTTTGAAGAAAGATCATGAAGAGAAATGGGATCCGGTTTGATGATATCCTTTTCTCTTGTTGGATCATAGTCTTCATGTTTCTCTGGATCTGGATCATGTGTCATTTCTTGTTCTGGTATCTCTGTAGGTAATACCGGATGTATGTCATCAAATAATCCATCCTTGTGATCTGTATTCTTCGGAAAGGGAAATATATGTTCAAAGAATACCACATGTCTTGATATTGAAATCTGATTAGACTCCAAATCAAGCAGTTTATAACCTTTGTATCCTGCAGGGTACCCCAGAAAAACACATGCTCGAGATCTTGGTTCAAACTTGTGTCGTTGATTAGTTGATGTTGACTTGTAACAAAGACATCCGAAGACTTTCAGCATGGAATAGTCTGGAGACTTGTTGTAAAGCATTTCAAATGGAGACTTATTCTTCAGTAAAGGAGAAGGTAGTCTATTGATCAAGAAGACAGCAGATAGTACACAATCTGACCAATATTCCAATGGAACATTCGCTTGAAACATCAAAGATCTAGCAATATTTAAAATGTGCTGATGTTTCCTTTCCACAACAGAATTTTGTTGTGGTGTTTCTGGACAAGAATGGTAAGCGATGATACCTCTTTGTTTGAATAGATTTACAAACTTCAGTTCATGAGCATTGTCTGATCTCAGTGATTTGACTTTCTTTTGAAACTGAGTCTCGGCCATTTGTAAGAACTCTGGAACTACTTGAAGAGCATCATACTTCATTTTCATCATGAATACCCAAGTAGCTCTGCTGTGGTCATCGACTATTGTCAAAAAATATCTGTATCCTTCAGTAGATGATACAGAAAACGGTCCCCAAGTGTCCATATGTATAAGATCAAAAGGAGCATGAGACATATTGTTGTGTGATACGAAAGGTAGGTGTTTCTGCTTTGCTAATTGACACGTTTGGCAATGAATAGGATCTTCTTTATTTCTTTTCTGCAATCCAAGTACATTATTCAGAAGATCAAGCTTTGTGTAGGAAGGATGTCCTAACCTACTGTGCCATAAAGCAGTATCAATAACAACAGATGAACAGAAAGATTGATTGACATTAATGGGAGAATTCAGAAGAGAAGAGCTGTCCAGAACATATAGTCCTCCGATTTGTTTACCCTGTCCAATCATCCACGCCTTGGTATGATCCTGTATCACACATGAGTTGTCATCAAAATAAACTCTCGACTTTAAATCCCTTGTCAGTTGACTGATGCTCAGAAGATTTAGACGAAAGTCAGGAATGAATAACACATTATTGAGGGTAATGTGATCATTCAGTTTGATAACTCCAACTCCTGCAATCTTGACATTAATACCCGTAGGAAGAGTGACTGAGGATCCCAAATCAAAAGAAAGAGCGGTGAATAGATCTCTATCATGAGAAACATGATGAATTGCACCACTATCGATGATCCATGTTTGAGGTCTCAGAACGTTTTTAGAGGTTGTCAAAATTCCAATAAAACATAATGTAGAGAAGGAGAAAGATATACCAGTCGCTGCAGAATCATTAATATCACTAGTTGATGTAGAGGCAACTGTGATTGATTGAGCTGTTGGATTTTGAAGTTGTGTGCTAAAATAAGCAATCACATCTTGTATCTGAGTCTTGGACATTCCTCCAACCAAGGTAGCAATATCAGTAGGTCCAATGGGAACATCTTTTGTTTCCAAAGATAGATTTGCCACTACTGGTTTCGCCGGTTGAGAAGATTTGTCTTGTGTACTCGCCAGTTTGTGTTTGAATCCTGGTGGATAGCCATGTATTTTGTAGCATTTATCCACTGTGTGTCCTGTATATCCACAATGAGAACACTTGACTTTTGGTTTGTTGTTGTATGATGATTGAGTTGCATTGACAGAGACAGATGTAGAAGCTGAGACATTGAATGCAGATCCAGTTGCAGGGGAGATGTTGCGTTGATTATAATCCTGATCCAAGAGGTTATAAATCTCTGCAAGTTCCGGAATGTTTTTCTTCGTAATGATTTGGCTTCTGGCATTTGCATATGAATCATTTAGACCAGCAAGAAACTTGATAATCTTGACATTCTCAGCTCTTTTGTCCATTGTTTTGCAACATTGACAATTATGGCAAGTACTAACACCTTCTGATCCATCTAAATCATCCCAAAGAGTCTTTAAGGTAGTATAGTATTCTGAAAGATCCATCGAACCTTGTTGCAGAGACCAGATCTGTTGAGTAAGTTGATAAGAACGGGGAAGATTTGTGATGTGAAATCGAGTGAGCAAATCTTTCCAAATCTCTGCAGCATCGTTGAATCGAAGGATGCTTTTGTAGATCTGTTTCGTGACTGAATTCAGAATCCACGATTTTACCATGCTATTGCAGCGAGACCAAATCCTGAAAATAGGTTGCGATTCGTGTGGTCTTGGTAAAGATCCATCAACGAAAGCTAATTTGTTCTTCGCATCTAACGCAATAGTCATAGCTATGTTCCAGGAGGAGTAATTTGTTCCATCAAGAATCTCAGGTATGATTACATTACCCGGATTATCTCCATTTGTGAGATTATATGGAGAATAGATGTCCGTGTAATCAATCTGAGGAAGAAGAACATTTGTATTTTGATTCGGGAAGTTTGATGGAGGGATTTGGTGATTTGGTGATGGAATCGGTAGATTTGGGGTTGGGATTGGGGAATCTGGAGAAGAATCACGATTCTGAGATGTTGAAGCAGCTCAGGATCGAGTATTCACCGTGCGACGCCGCAAATTCTTGACGGAAACCATCGCATTAATCGGAAAATCCAATCGGAGCCGAAGAAAGAAGAATGCCGAACGGAAGACGGAGATTAATCGGATCAAAACGCCGATGAATCGAAGTCATGAATCGGTTGAGCTTTGAAGCTCAACGCTCTGATACCATTTTAGTTACAGAGGTCAAAAGGAAGAAGACGAAGGTTGTAAAAGTTTGTTATTCTCGTTAATGGGAAAGATTACATGTAATGTTCTTTATATATAGAGCTTCTAATATGTGGTTTACACTTAACCAACGACTAAACCGACTAAAACCGTATATATATTGATAAGAGCAATACATACATTAATACATAGAGAGAAAGGAGACATTATTAGTTTTACAAATTTGGAGTGACCAAGTACGCGATATAAAACCAGTCTATTTATATCTCTATTTTCGTAATTAAATTTATAACGATGAATTGAACACTCTCTTCAATCATATATCGATCTCAACCGGATATTTGTGCAGACAGTCTTCCCAAGGATTATTAGGAGAAGGCTTGACGTTACGAAGAGCCACCCAAACAGAACTATTACACTTAAAACCTGACCCCAACGCAATCTGCCAAATCCTGTCTCCTTTCTTCATCCTTCCTTTGGCTTCTGTGTAAGCCAACTCGTACCAGATAGAGCTCGAAGAGGTATTACCAAACCTGTGCAAAGTCATTCTTGATGCTTCAACGTGTAACGGAGAGAGATGAAGATTCTTCTCTAGCTCATCTATAAGTGCTCTACCACCCGCATGGATACAGAAATGCTCGAAAGCGAGCTTGAAATCCGGCATGTAATGCTTGATCTTGGGGTCGAAAAACTTCTTTCTAACGAACGTCACAAAGAAGAGAAGCTTCTCGCTTATGGGAAGAACAAGTGGACCCAAAGTTGCGATATTGATCTTTAGGGTTCTTGCAGCTACCGTAGGTAGATCCTTCGACAAGGAAACTCCTACTACGCCATCTTCATCTTCTTCTTGTGTTGCGCATCCATAGGATCGGTCATCTGCTCCGGTATGGACCCTTACCGTATGAACAAGCTCGTATTTCGCACGTTTTCGGTCTTTAGACAGGTTAGAAAGCAAAACCGCAGCCCCACCTACCCGGAACAAACAGTTTGTAACCAACATTGATTTGTTGTTACCTAAGTACAAGTTTTGAGTTATGTTCTCAGTACTAACCACAAGAGCATAAGTGTTTCTATGTACTTGTAACAAACTCTTGGCGACATCAATAGCAATAACTCCTGCACTACACCCCATCCCACCAAGATTCAAGCTCTTTATATCATCCCTAAGTTTATACTTGTTCACTATGATTGTTGCTAACGATGGAGTTGGATTGAAGGTGCTTGAATTCACCACCAATATACCTATATCACTAGGGCTAATTTGGGTGTTGCGAAACAGATTATCGACCGCTCCTAATATAACTTCTTCAGTCTCTTTGCGAGCCGCAGCCATCGTTTGTTCTAGCGGCAGACAATGAAGACCTTCCGGTATGTAGGTCTCTTGGCCGAGACCGGAACGTTCTAGAATCTTCTCGACGAAGTCCATCAAGTAATCGTTCTCATTGTTCTCCAACCACATGCCTGATTCTCGTATAACTCGTACGTGGTGCATGATCTTCTGGATGCTGACTTTGAGATGAGACGGTGGGAGATAGCAGCTGAAGTCGACAAGGTAAACGGGTTTGGGTCGGGTCATGATGTAGAGGGTCAACGCGAGAGCGAGAGGGAGGGAGAATATGGTAAGAGATGTGAGGTTGTTCTGTAAGTAGAGGTACAAGTTGTGGAGATCTTGTGTAGAAAGACGAGAGGCTTTCATGGCCATAGCAGCCAATAATGAGAGGAAACAGAGCTTGGAGAGATGGGTTATGAGGTAGTTGAAAAACATTTTTACGTTCTTCATTGGGGAATACATTTTAGTGATATATCCTCTGTTTTGTCTTTAAACTCTTGGTGTGGTCTTTGTTCGTTCTGACTCGTTATTACATTTATAGAGGCTGATTGAGTAAGAAGAGTGATAGAGTGGTGAGAGTTCTCATGCAATAAATATATATCATACCCTAAATAATTAAAATATAAGTAAGTACATGAAATTTTTGTTTCCTTGTGATTTTGTGTTGTTTAGATAACGACGTGAACACACATTTCAAGTTCTTTTTTTTTCGCCTCAAACGGTAGTGTATGCGTTGACGCGTTATATAGCTACTTTAGTGAGTTATAAAAAGGTGAAAATTTTAGGTGCGTAATTCGTTAAATATTAGTCGAATACTCACATAGTCACATGTTGTTAGTTACAAAGGAGACTGAATAACTTATAACTTAACTTTATTAAACAAGAAAACCAAGAAAAAAAAATTCAATGTTAAATATGGAGTCAAATGAAAACCGAAATCAATATTAAGGATGAGGCAAACCAAGGATGTATGCACAGGCAAGGCAGTCACCTAACTGAATAGAAACGGCTTAGTTAGGGGCTAAATAACCTCAGACTAGGCTAAGATTCTCGAGCCATGTAAAAGGCTATATTTGAGTTTTGAATTTAATTACTCGATCCGACTAGATATTTAATTAACTCTATAATCACGCTTCAAATTTTTGCTCAACACTCAAGGTAGTAAATGCGAGTAAACAAACAACAACCTATTTTTCTTACTCATGTCCGTAAAACTCGCATCTTTTTGCTTCAGAGTTCAGAAAAACTGACTTTGTCAGGTAACAAGGGTCTTTACCTTTTTTTTAGTTACATAGTGAAAGAAATCTCATCACCTTACCAAAATCTATCAGTTTTGGTAAATATTTGTAAGTAGAGAAACAAAAGAATTCAAGCAAAAGATTTCCTTGATGAACATAAATATTTCCTTCATGTGATAATAGACATTAAATCCAAATTCATCTATATAAGGTAAAGAATTAAATTGAACCGAATGGAGGAGTAGATACAAGTCATTTATGGGCATAATAACTGTATTCAGATAACTGGACTCTCGTCATTTAAAGCGGAGGAATGGTGCGCGTAGATCTCAATGTAGAAGAAAATATGGTTGGGCCAAACCATATTTACGAGTGTATGTTCATCACGAAACAAAATAAATTAAAATTAATGTTTGATAATGACTTGGAGTGTGACGTGTGAGACAAAAGCATCGTACGATTTGACATTATGGATTGTTATATATATTTGTTTATGTTGTTTAGTTATTATACTCACCAATACTCACCAATTTTATATTTTCCTTATTTGTTTATAGCATTTATGAAATCAACATTTCAAAGCTCCACCTTATCTGGAATTCCACCAAGCTCCATACTACAGTTGTTATAGTTAATGCATTCCAATGTTTACAAATTCGATCAACCCTTAATTGAGTGTTTGAACTAGACTTAGCAACCTAGGTACAGTATAATTAATCAGACTCCAGAGATTAAGTGGGATTACTTTTAGATTTTATCAGGGATTAACTTGAAATTAATTCGGATAGTTCTTTTTTGTGTAATCATATTTAATCAACGTAATTAAAAATATGATCTTAAATATGACAAACACACACAATGCAAATATACAAATTAAGAGCTAAGTATGTAAAGATATGTATATTAATCAACAGGTTTATTATTTTCAAGTACCAGAATCCATTATTTTTAGTGAACAATTCCAGTTCTGTAATCATGAGTCTTGAGAGAAGCCAAAGAAAGCCAAAATGGCAGCAAATATGTTTGAAGAGAGCAAAGCCTTAAGCACCATCTTCTTTTTTGGTGTGTACGGAGGATATCTAAGATCAGAGTCCCCAGCAAAACTCCTGTAAAGAACTCCTTTCTTATGGCTAAAAGTCTCATACGAGAATTTCCCATGGTAAGCCCCAATCCCGCTCTCCCCGACTCCTCCAAATGGTAAATCTTTTACAGTCACCTGCAAAAAGAAAACAGAACATCTTTAATTGAGAGCTAGCAACTAGCCTTTTGGAAAAAACAGAACATCAGTTTTGTAGTTGAAAAGTACGTGTAAGACGGTGTCATTGATGCCAATTCCTCCAGCAGCCACGTCCTGCACAAATTTCTTCTGCAGCTCTTTGTTGTCTGTGAAGAGATACGCCGCTAAAGGCTTTGCCTTTGACCGTATAACCTGAAACCCATCTTCAATCTTCTGTACCGTAATTATAGGAAGTAATGGTCCAAATATCTCTTCCTGCATCATGGAACATGCCTCTGGCACATCCAGTAGTATCGTTGGAGATATTTTCCTGTAACGGAAATTACAGAATACTGTGGTTACTTTGTTTTTATCTCCATGAACAATGTTCATCGAAATGGAAACTTTTTCTCTCACAGCTTATCTTCGCTTGTTTGGCCTCCTTTAACAATCTTATCAGCCATTCCATTCTCTTTTAACATACTCTCCAACCGTTTGAAGTGGAAAGAGTTCACAATCCGTGATAGGTCCTTTGACTCTAATGGATTTTCCCCAAAGAATGTCTTGAGTTCAGTCTTCAAAGCATCTATCTGTACTGCTTGATTTTGCATCAGCAAGCTTGAGAAACAAATAGAGTAATCATCATTGCCTTTTATTTTGTCTAGTCTTTTACCAGTTTTGATGCAAAATCTTTTGTAGTGATCACGTAATCGACTCCAATGCAAGCCTGTCCGTTGTTACAAGCCCATTTCCCTGATATTATCCTCCTAGCTACCACCTTCAATCACAACAACCACCCGATTAGAGTATGCGACCTGAATTCATTTATTTATGCTTTAGAAGCAGAAACTGATCTTAACTTGTAGATTAACATCTGAATCAACCAGAGCCGGGCATTTCCCACCAAGTTCGAGGACCACTGGAGTCAGGTTTCTCGCAGCTGCAGCCATTACAATGCGACCAACTCTTGCTCCACCTAAAAAAAGAAAGACTTTTATTTTTAAAATAATGTTTTCCTGGAGCCTAATCAATTCTTTTATAGATTCTTGAGAGAGACACAGAAAGGGCTAACCAGTGAAGAATATCTTGTCCCATTTCTGATCCAGTAGTGCCGTAGTTTCAGGGACTCCGCCTTCGATAACTCTGATCGTTGATTCGTCCAAGTACTCACTAAACAACTTTGCTAAAAGAGAAGATGTTGCTGGAGCAATTTCTGAAGGTTTTAGCACAACAGCGTTACCAGCTGCAATAGCTCCAATGACTGGCTCAACAGACAATACTGGGAACATAAAAAGACAACAAGGAGGCATATAAAACTTTTGATTGTGATAAATTAGAAAAAATTTCAAAAAACAGTTTTGAGCTTACAGAAAGGGAAATTCCAGGCTGAGATAACCAAAACAACTCCAAGCGGTTCTGAGACTATTTGTGCAGACGAGGGAAATGTTGTCACGGAAGTTTTGACCTGAAAGGTCCACGCATAGATCAGTTTAGTGGTTTAGAATGGAAATATATCGACGAAATTTCAGCAAAGTTTGAACGGTTACCGTTTCTGGAGCCATCCAGTTCTTCAACTCTTTGATTGCAAGCATACAGGATGATTTTGTATTCGAAATCTGAGAAAACAAGATGACGGCAGATTGTTTTAACAACAGATAAAATCGGAATGTAGAGAAGGAAAGGGACATTACAACAATATGTTGAGAAACCTCAGCTAGAAAAGCTTCGAGCTCAGGCTTGGAAAGATCTTGATGCAAAGCTTCAGCGATGGATCTCTCTTTCTCATCAATCATCCTGGAAATGTTTTGAAGCTGAGAAATTCTCCACTCGTAGCTCTTTGTTCTACCGGTGTTGAAGTTGATTCTGAGCTCTTCTACAAGCAAAGCTGCTTCTTTTCCATCAAACGCTGGTGTTTGCTTCGTTACCACAGCAGATAGTGTTGCATAGCAAGTACTGACTCCACAGACCAAAACCGCATTGTGAGAGACTTAAGCAAGACTTTTAAAAAAAAACCTTGGATATAATAGTAGTAGTCAACTATAATTGCATAGCTTTTCAGTACTGTTTTGGGCTGTATACTTAAAACTTAAAATCCACTTGACTACATGAAAATGTAATCATCAAATCAGTACGTAAAAAACCGCTTTTTCTGAATTAGATATGCAAATTATAGGTGAAACAAAAAATTCGCTCACAATTTCAAGCGAGAGGGGACGCAAGCTTTGCTGCGATATCCACCAGATATCAGAGATGGTGAATTAGCAAAGGCAGCGACTTTTAATCTGCAACAAGTGGGCCATTGATTGATTATGAAAACGTGTAAGATGGTTCCAACTACATCTGATTATTTCTAATAATCATATCAAAGTTGTGATCATTGATTGACCCAATCGTTTCCATTCCTCCAATTGGCAATTACTATTGAAAGTACACTCCTTTTTCATTTCTAGACTAACATTTCCGCTAAAAAGGAGAACTTTTTTCTATATAATGAGAAAACTAAAACGCAATTCACATAAGAAAGAAAGAATGGTTTCGAGAAACAGAATTGAACAACTCAATCTCAACCTGATTAAGAAACTAGCTAACACTTGTTTGGTCTTAGATAATAATAAGAAGAGTTGAGAGACAAATGTAAAATTACCTGGAACGATAAAACCCATCGGCAAAACGAAGGGCATTCTTCATCTCCAGGAGGTTCGTCATAACTTGGTTGAGTTGAAATCTTGTGAAAAAAAAAAACAAATTGGAGACATTTAAGAGATTAGATGACGAGGAGAAGTTGAAGGCTGTGGTGGTCGTAAGAGAGACGTGTAGAAGAGAAGAGTTCGTGTAATAAAAGCATTTGGCCCCAATTTACAGCGACAAGTCCGCTCAACAAACCCAGACGGAGAGATTAAACGTGAAACGGCTCATAGTCCAAAGTCCAAACCTTAACATATCAGGCCTGCAACATATTTTGCATATACAGTATATGTGTTTTCTTCTCTTCTAAAATTGGCCCAAACTCTTCTTCAGCTTTGAAATAAACTATTTTGTTAATGGATAATATAAAAACGGAATTCATATTTATATTTCTGTTTCTAACCAATCTTACAATTATAAAAGATTTGAGCTTTATACTTCATATTCTTCTCTATTTTGGAGTAACTCCAAAATGGAATTGTATTTTACTTCAATGTAAGCTTCATTTTTACTCTAAAATGGAGTTATGACCAAAAAAATAGACAAATTTTATTTTGTGCTCTATTTTTTACTTCATTTTCGAGTGAGATTTGGAGTAAGGTTGGAGAGAATTTTGCTCTAAACTATATTTTGCAGTAAAATTTACAGTAAGGTTGGAGATGGTCTTAGAGATCGTTATTTATAACTATCAAATATTGATTAAATTTAAAAATTTATTTTCTCACATATGGTTCTGGGTTTTTTTTTCTCTCAATTTAAAAATGTGTCAATCTACCTTTTACTATTGAATTTATGGTGTTCGAGGTGGGATTTAACTTACCTCTAGGCTCTAGATGGTTCTTTTCTAATCTGATTAATTTTATCGGATGTCCCCTAAGGGACTTCTAATCCGAATAATAATAGGAGTATGATGATGTTCAAAAGAAAAAGAAAAAAAGTGTTATGATTAAAAGAAATAGGATAGAAGATCTCATCTGGACCGTCAAAACTAAGGAATTTGCATGGAGTGGGAAATATTTACAGCTCCTCTGGGCCGTCAAAACTATATAGTTGCATATGAATCAACACGTGGCTTAACGAAATTGTATCATGATTTAAAGTTAAACCTTGCAACATACGATTAGACCCCACATTGTTGGTTCACCAACCCCCGTGGACCCTATAGCTGACAAGTCCACATCACAAAGGGGATTTTCTTCCTTCTAAAGCTGACAATTTCTTCTTCCTTCTTTTTTTTTTTTCTTCTTTTCTCGGTTTAAAAGTGACTAACTTTTTTTTTCTCTTTGAACCTTTACTAATTGTGTGTATTTGGTATCGACTTTCGAGTTGTCAAATGAAGAATTTATCATAAACTGAAAAATCGTACTAAGACTGCGAATAAATTTCATATAATTTCTCGCATAAATTTCTTGTAAAATGGGAACAGTATAAAAAGAAGAAAGGAAATCTTTTCTAGAAGTTATTTTCAGCGACTAAAAATTCTAAAGCTTTGACTAATTTGTCAACAATATACACAAATTCACACTAAATTAGCTACCAAATGTACGCTGTGCAAAAACACCAATTATTTCATCACACATACGCATGCGTTTCGTTCCCAAATTTCTCTATATATATAATAATAGTAGTACACACGCATAATCGGCAATAAGGTGCAAAAAAAGGATCAAGAAGCACTAAGAAACAGAGAGAAACAGAGATGGGGAAAATGGAGGTAGAGAGGAAAACAACAGGCTGGGCTGCGAGAGACCCATCTGGGTTACTCTCTCCTTACACTTACACTCTCAGGTTTGATCTCTCTTCTTTCGATCTTTTGAATCCTTTTTTTTTTTTTGGTTTTTCATTTCCATTAATTGGGTTTTGATTGTACAGAGAGACAGGACCAGATGATGTACACATAAGGATCATATGTTGCGGAATCTGCCACACCGATCTTCATCAGACCAAAAATGATCTGGGCATGTCTAATTACCCCATGGTTCCTGGGTAAATTCTTCTTTCTTCCTCTATAGCCAGATTAATAATAATAATAATCAAGAATCAGAATCTGAAACTGAGTTGATGATGTTATATTCAGGCACGAGGTTGTAGGGGAAGTAGTGGAGGTGGGATCAGGTGTGAGCAAGTTCACCGTAGGGGACATAGTCGGAGTGGGTTGTCTCGTTGGGTGTTGCGGAGGCTGTAGCCCATGCGAGAGAGATCTGGAACAGTATTGTCCTAAGAAGATCTGGAGTTACAACGACGTTTACTTCGATGGTCAGCCCACACAAGGTGGCTTCTCTAAAGCCACCGTCGTCCACCAAAAGTAATCACTTCTTCTTTTAGTTCTTCTTAGTTCTAACATTAACATTTCCTATACTATGATAGAAATCTTCATGATCTTCATAAATACGGATTTGGATAGTATTTGCTTTAGATTATGAAATTCAATCATAACAATCCTGTGTTATTTGATCGATGATTTCAGCCAACAACATCACGTGTTTAATATGATAAAAAAATCTTGGTTTTCTTCAACCAACACTTTTTAATCTACCTAATAAAGAGGAAAACAAGATTAAATTATTCTAAAATCATATAAAAGTGAAAATATATTATAGTTAATAATAATAGATATTCAAAACCCGGTTTTTATGTTTTAGTTTGGGTTTCTTGGAGGCCAGGTTAGGGTATGCATGGCTAAAGTGTCAATTTGTGTTCAGGTTTGTGGTGAAGATCCCAGAAGGAATGGCGGTTGAGCAGGCTGCACCGCTACTGTGCGCCGGTGTGACAGTGTACAGTCCACTGAGCCACTTCGGGCTGAAGCGACCAGGCCTAAGAGGAGGCATACTAGGGTTAGGTGGAGTTGGTCACATGGGTGTGAAAATAGCCAAAGCAATGGGTCACCATGTCACCGTCATAAGCTCGTCAAACAAGAAGAGAGAAGAGGCTTTGCAAGATCTTGGAGCCGACGATTACGTGATTGGATCCGACCAGACGAAGATGAACGAACTGGCGGATTCAATGGATTACATTATCGACACGGTGCCTGTTCATCATGCACTTGAGCCTTATTTGTCTCTGCTTAGGCTTGATGGGAAACTCATTCTCATGGGAGTCATCAGCAAACCCTTGGAGTTTCTCACCCCTATGGTTATGCTTGGTGAGTCAATTATATACCAAAACACAAATTGAATAAACCATCGAGGATTATTAGTTATTAATTGGGGTTATGATGATGATGATGATGATGATGATGATTTGGAATTAGGGAGGAAAGTGATAACGGGGAGCTTCATAGGGAGCATGAAGGAAACAGAGGAGATGTTGGAGTTCTGTAAAGAAAAGGGTTTGAGTTCGATGATCGAAGTTGTGAAGATGGATTATGTGAACACTGCGTTTGAGAGACTCGAGAAGAACGATGTGCGTTATAGGTTCGTGGTTGATGTCGAAGGAAGCAAACTCGAGGCTTGAATTACTTGAAACGAAATCATAACCTTTTTCTTTTTTTACAAACCCGATTTAGACCGTTTTCTGTTTGTTTGTGAGCATTTTAAAAATGGTTTGTCACTATTTTCATGTGAAAGTGGTAAAAGATATAGTATATTGGGATAAAAACGTCTTTGTTTGAGCATTATTGTTTTTGTTTATTTAATTATGAGTACTAAATCAAACTAACAGTTACGGCGTAGATAATATTGTATTTTAATTAAGTCGTTAATTAATCATGCGGTAGTTGAGGAACAAGAGGTGAGTGTTTGGTTTGATTACATCTTTGGTGATGTCATGATTATCAAAGCCAGTGGTAGGTTAGGTTAAGGGAATGGGGGGGGACTAATTTGGATAACGCTACTAAATTTCTATGTATTATATAATACGCAAAAGAACGTCGCATTTGAATTAAAAACAAATAATTGACAAATACACGTTTGGTGGTGGAGAGTGGGAGATTAGTCCAAAATGCGTAGTTGGTAGACAAAGACACGCGTCTCAGTGCTACCTGAAAACTTCTTTTGGACCAGGCCAGAGAGCACGGGAGCATATATTTAGAGCTTTTAAAGCTGATAGTTCATTACCCTTTTGGCGTTTTTACATAATTCCCTCTTCCTCTTTACAAATCTCTAAGACAAGTAATTAGATGAATATTTTTATATTTCTAAAATCAGATTGAAAAAGAGATAATTTAAAGGGAATGTACACTAAATAACCCTTACTAGATTTGCAAAATAATTTCATGTGACATCTATTTAGCAAAATAATTTCAGGCCTATGTTAACCAACAACAAAACGTAACATTATCAATTAAGAGTAACAAGGCCTTCGGTTGACCCAAAAAAAGAAAGGAAAAAATAATAAGGCCTTCATTTTGGGCCTGTTATCGGCCCGTTATACTCCTTTCTCCTAACGCATGAGTGATGCATATGTAATTGTTAAGTATAGGCCTCTCTAATCTATGGCCACAAAATTGGATTACATGTGTTAAAAATACTCATCTCTAACTAGACACAACATAAGGTATATACTCTTTCAGATCCGCTTCCGTAGTTTTGAGTTTATCTCTTTAATCTGGGGGTTGCTTTTCGTCTCTGTCGGGATTTCAGGATTCCTATTTAATTATACTTTGGGTTTCTCAAACTATTTTCTTTTTTTTTTCGTTTTGTTTGTAGTGCATATAACATTCAAAAGAAAGAAAGAAAAAAAGTATGCTTCTTTTATTCATGTCGTACGACAATAAATAAATAAAGAAATAGACGAGTATCGTCAAAAGAAACCCACTTATAGCATGCCATGTGTCAACATATAACAAGCGAACTATGTTTATATATAGTAAGAAAGACTTTTACCCTAAATTCCCAAAATTAAACCAACAACCATATGTTCTTTCCTTTTGTGGGCTCTGTTCTGCTCTCCTCTTTCTATTTCTATTTTTCTTTTTTTGGAACTTCTTCCAATTTCTCTCTCTCTTCTCTCTCTTTCGATCAAAATCACATTTCTTTCTCCCCCGAGATCTCGCGCGACCTGTTTTCACTTAGATTTTTTGTTTTGTTTGTTGGATAAGGTAATGTTTAAATTGTTGATTTTTGAGTTATTGAATATCTATCGCCTGGATTTGCGGGAAATGATTTGACGATGTTAAAAAAAAAAAGGCTGCAGAAAATGGGAAGGGGAAAGATCGCGATCAAGAGGATCGATAACTCCACGAGCCGTCAGGTCACTTTCTCGAAGCGAAGGAACGGATTGCTGAAGAAAGCAAAGGAGCTTGCGATTCTGTGCGATGCAGAGGTCGGTGTCATCATCTTCTCCAGCACCGGCAGGCTCTACGATTTCTCCAGCTCCAGGTATACCCTTTTGTTTTCTTCCTTCTTTTTTTGGGTTGACTTTTCCTTTTGGTCCACTCTGATTGATTTGGGATTCCATCGGGTTTTTTTGTTGACCGCAAGGCAAGTTCTGAATATCCAATTTTCTAATCGATTTTTCTCGTTTTTGATATCTGGACATTCATTCACTTGCTGTGTGTACTGTACATCCCTTAAGGTGACATTAAACATCGAATTAGTGTGTTTCATAATTTTATATGGCAATGGGTGGAACTTAGTAGATCACTTGGTTGGTTGACTATATGATCAATGGGCTGAAAAAAACACTGTTTGTTTGAGATTCATGGATTATATAGCTTTTAGTAATGGAATATGAGATTTTGATTTGTGGGTATGTTGTATGTATGTTTCATATGTTATTGAGATGCAGGACAGGACAGGCCTAAATGATGATAGAATTGGATAGGACTAGAAAGATAGAGTTTTTTTGGTGAAGCGTATAGATCTTCAGGGACTTGTTGTGTTTCTCGAAACATACTAAATTTGGTATTTTCAGAGGAAAAAAGGGAGAGGAAGTGGTTAGTGGTTTGTAGGGCAGAAGAAACTCCAACTCTCTCTCTCTCTCTCTCTCTCTCTCTCTCTCTCTCTCTCGCTTTATCTCTCTCGCTTTGTGTCTTCTTTCTTGGTTTGGTTTGAGGTTTTAGAAAAGAATCGTCTTTGTTCGCTAATCTTTTTCTTTATTGGCAACTAGTTGGTGGGTTGATGTACCTAAAATGAGCTTGCATTATTTTATGCTAATTTTATTTATTACCCAAGTGGGGGAATCATTTCTGCTTTCGTTGTCATCCATATTCAACTTTTTCCTATTTAATTATCCAATTAGGAACCCCTAATTTTAATGCTCTACTCTCAACTTGGTCATTATTTAGGAAGATAGTCTTTCTTTTGGAAACATTATTTCATCCATTCCTTCTGATTTCCTACTACAACTTGGATAATTAAAAACATGGAGTTGATGGTTCTCAGAGATTGGGGGCATTAGATAAAAAAAAAAACAAAAAAAAACCATAGATAATAAGCAATGGTGTTAATTGGGTACTTCACACTATCGTCTCACTAGTTCATTTAGAAAAATCTTTACTTGCGAGCTGATAACTATAGTATTTATAATCGGGTTTAGTGAATAAAGTTGGTCATCTACATCAAGATTGTCTAATTTCACTCATTCTCTACTTAAGCTTTATACTTCATCTTACATTTATGATTATGGCGAATCTGTATTTTCGGTGCAGAGAATCCCGTTCCATGTAGGCAAAAGATACTTAGGGTATTATAAATCTATTTAAGTCCAAGTTTTGACACTGAATATGTAAGGAGAAATGTTACTCTCTCTGAACTCCGAAGATTTAAAACTATCTTCTTTTTTTTTTTTTGGCAGCATGAAATCGGTGATAGAGAGATACAGGGATGCCAAAGGGGATTCCAATTTGGAAAGTAGTCCAGCTTCAGAAATCAAGGTACTCCTTTTTATGACTCATCTCTATGGATTTTTCAGAAACTCAATTTTGTAATGAGTAACAAAGAGACCGTTACTTGTTGTTAGCCTAATACAACTCTATATAAGCATATTCTCAAGCTGATCCTGATTTCATATTGGAGTAGGATTTGCTATAAAACACAAGTCATCACACTTGACCATCAGATTACATTCATTATGTTGCATTTTCGTTTGCAAAAAAATCCATTCTAAACTTGATAACATATTAATACCCAAAAGAACTTGATTTCTCAGTTTCAATCACCTGAAAATAACTTCTGCTATATTATAGTTTTGGCAAAAGGAGTCCGCTATTCTAAAGCGACAGCTACATAACTTGCAAGAAAACCACCGGTATGTTTTGCATCCTCTGAGTTTGTCAAACCCTCCCGATAGTAACACCTAGATCAGGGAACGATGTACTAATATTAAAATGGTAACATATATATGTAGTCTAAGGCTTGAACGTTTAGCAGAACCCCAAAACTATCCTAGTATTTTGCATTTTTTTTTTCCAATAGAAATGTTCATATATATAAAGCCAAACCAACAAAGAATGTTATAACCACCTCTTAAGGATTTTACCATGATGCTAGATGTCTTCCCCAAAATCACAATTGTATCTCTACCGCCTCCAGAGTTATACCTCCACACATCTAAGACCATACATACGAAGGGAATTACTAAACACTTCCACATTCCCCCATCATCTTCTTTGTTTTTTTCTTTTTATTAATTTAGACAAGGTATATAATTACTTTGGAAAATTTTGCATATTCAAAAGTGATGGGGAAACAAAGATCTTGTACTTGACAGGCAAATGATGGGGGAAGAGCTCTCTGGACTAAGTGTAGAAGATTTACAGAAATTGGAGAATCAGCTTGAATTGAGCCTTCGTGGCGTACGAATGAAAAAGGTATTTGATGCTGTGACAAATAAGTTCTTTTTTTCCAAGGTGAAAAGTTTGGAAAAAAAAGTAATGGCTGCACTCTATCTAAGCATTTATGTTTATCGACGATTGTAGGATCAAATGTTAGTCGAAGAAATCCAAGAACTGTACCGTGAGGTTGGACTCTGATTACAGGAATATAGGAATCAGACGTTTTCCACAGTGTTGGGTACGTAGAAATGCTAATTCTTATATTTTCGGTTGCAGGGGAATCTCGTGCACCAAGAGAATTTAGACCTCCACAAGAAAGTAAACTTAATGCACCAAAAAAATATAGAATTACAGAAAAAGGTATATATGATTTAGGGACTCTGGATTTTCTTTAAAAGGGAAAGGTACCACATGTTTTTGCATTGAGGAGTAATATAATGTGGCTACTCACCACAGGTTTCAGAGGTTGAGGGTGTGAAAAGCGCAGACAAAAGTTCTCTTCTCACAAATGGTCTAGACATGATCAGAGATAACTCGAGCGAACATGTCCATCTTCAGCTCAGCCAACCGCAGCATGATGAGACACAGGCTAAAGCTATCCAACAAAGCTATTTTTCCTTCATTGCATAATATAGTTCAATCAATTAACTGTATGTAGCAGCTTGCCACTGCATAAGCAAAGAAACAGGAACATGTCTGATAATTTCCATTTCGATCAAACACCAGCTTTGTTTCTTTTCTTAACTCTTCTTTCTCTTTGCATAGAACATTGGTTTGGCGTTTAACTATGTACTGTGATGGTCAAAGAATGTAGTGTTGTTAGACATATATTATATTACTAAATAATATTCTTTGTTAAATTAAGTGATATTAATAGCAAGAACAAGCTAGTAAAAATAAAAACCCTCCAACAGTTAATATATTTCTTTTCTCTATAGTTATTATAGACACATTTTCTAGGATATTTATTTTGTGTAGAGCTAATCCATTTTCTACAATAAAAGTCGACGTTATCTTTAACACATGTAATCCAATGTTGTGGGGGAGGAAATGGGCCATATGCCTATAACAATCAGTGGTGTGAGTATGGTCGAAGTTCACATTCGCTTATCAGCTTCCGACAATAAAAACAAAGCATTGAATGGATGTAATTTGATGAAAAGAGTTTATAGTCTTAGTAGTTTTTTCTAAAAATGGCACAAAAAATAGTTTTTCTACTAAAAACACACAAAAACAAGTTTTAAAGTTCTTAACCATAGAAAGGTTGATCGAACTATATGATGATAAGGTTTTTCAATTAAAGATCTAATAAAGTACAATAAAATCATTGCCACTCAACACCCAAACAGTATTTGTAGATGAGACATTTGCGCCGGGGCTAATGAGAAAGACATGAAAATAAATATAAATAAATGTCAAAGAAGAAGACAGAAAGGGAATAAAAAAAATTACAAACTGAGTAACGACATCAACCCGTGATCGTCATGTCAGATTGATATACTTTTATAAATTGTATTTTTACTTATGTCCAAAAAACTTATGTTGTGTGTTTTAAAAATGGACTAGGTTTAATCCCCATCATATCCACAGGCACCTTTTATAATTCACATGTGAGATAATTAGTGATCACCATTTGAACTTAAGCGATTACACTATGTGCACTAAACAACTTATCATGAATATTATTCCCTTACTTTAACTTTAAAAAATTAATATTATTATACTGACACCAATAAAAAATGTCAACAACTGGGAAATTGTATGTAGCTTTTTGCAAATGAATAAATTGCTCTTTGTTAGACAATGTCTAAATTTCCATTATTTTCTTCGAAAATTATCACGTAAGAGCTCGAACACATCTTCCTCCACCGCTAATGTCAATTGCACTACTCTCTACAACAACAAACGGCATCTAAAAACGCGTCGTATCCAGTGGCGGAGCCACATGATACAAGTCGGGGACGGTCGCCCCCAATGAATTTTAAAAATTTGGTGTATTTAGTTATGCCTAATACTAATGTCTCCATTCATAAAATTCTTATTCACTTAGTTATGTTCCAGTGATAAAATTTTCTGGCTCCACCACTGGTAGTATCTATCAACATAATCAATACACAAAATATAAGGTACAAAATCTAAAGCTTATTTTGCATTGGGTAATCAGATTTCTTTTATACATTTCCGCCTAAAAGATTGCTTTCATAAAGTTCCCAAACATTTATTTATGTTTTTCCAACATACAGTAACTATGTCATAAAAGTAAGGAACTGATTTCAAATATTTTCCTCTTGGCTGACAAATAACCATTTCCCTCGAACTGGTTTTGTTACTTCGATTTATTTGATGTAGCATGATAATGATCATCTACATCTTATGCTTTACGCTTTTTTTATTTGGGATTTATGTTTTTATTACCGTTGGGGCTTAAAATAATTATATAACTCTGATTTGTTTAGCTTTTAATTTTCTTATACGCTTGTCGGTTTCTGTCTTAATCAACAAACTATATACCATGTGTTTATCTATCGTGAGAGATAAGATTTATAGACATACCCTAGTATATATATATCATTATTATCATGTAGACATGTACACCAAACTGTTTTGTGTAACTGTTAATCCAATATAATTGTGGCTCGGACAATACTGTCGTCTATTTGGCCTTAATTTTCTCTCCTTCGAATCTTATAATTCAATGGACCACTCTCGAGTCTCGACCCTTTGTTATCTCTTCTATATTCGTTTACGGTCTACATTGAAAGCGATGCGGCCTTCCTGTTTAATTTTCTATTTCAAACCCTTTTTTCCCCTTTGATTATGTTTTGGCTTCTCCCACTTCTAACATATGATTTTGTTTTATCTTTAAATTTTAGTTATTTAAAAGACTAAATAGTTTCTTTGTTAGAATAAAGAATAATTTCTTGACTAAGGAATGTTTTCGACTTTTCGATTTTCCTAAAGACTCGGTTTGTCATCTTTTAAGCTATGTGAACATTTTACACAAAAATCAAGCTCTGCAAGGTCAATTTTTCTTTATTATTAATTTTTTGTTTATTTCTTTTTGTTACTATTTAAAACTTAATAATTAAAGATGAGGATAACTGACATGTCAGTTTGGTGTCCCTTTATTTTGTCTTTGATTTATGTATATGGTTCATTACTTCATTTCACACGAACCCCTTTGTTTGTTTTGGTAAAACCTAAACTGATATCTCTTTTTTTTAACTTAGGTAGTCAATTATAAAAACATAATCACCCATATCAGATATGTACGATTGATCTTTAGTCACTATGGTCGGTAATTTATCGTTTTAATCTTTCTAGTTTCTATGGACCGCATTTTCCAAATAAAATCTCAACTGCATGATTTCTATAGTAGAGTAGAAACTAATTTTGTAACTTATTTGTTGTTTCGCATATTGGAAACCTCTTGAAGCGGTCAGTCTTTTACATTTTCTCCTGGTAAACTATGGATCAGCCAAAAAGCATACGGGTAGTAATTATTCTGTCTCCCATGGATTGCTTTTTCTTATTTCTTTTCCTGTTGAATGAGATAAATATTTTATATACGTGCAAAAATTTGACAGCTGCTCATTCACATTCTACACTGATGAATCACTGATGATTCTACACCTTCTCCCATGTCTAGTCAAAAAGCATCTTTCATCAACTCCGGCCCAACAAAATTCTCTCTCTCTCTCTCTCTCTCTCTCTCTCCCCTTCAACATCTCCGAGATTGCTCCAATACCATATAGATTTGGTGACCAGAACAACTATTACTTGCAGTGGTTCAACCTCTCTCTTTCTCTTCTCTCTCTTTCTCTCTTATGAATATACTGAGCCATAATGTCATAATTAGAGAGGGAGATACCAAGAACTGAAAAACCATGACTTCTAACAGAAGCAACCTCTTCTCATTGTTCCTCTTCCATCTTCTTCTTGTCCCCACACAACTCCAAGCTCTTAACACTGATGGTGTTCTTCTGCTCTCTTTCAAATACTCCATCCTTAGTGACCCACTCTCTGTTCTACGCAACTGGAACTACGACGATGAAACACCATGCTTGTGGACAGGTGTCACCTGTACAGAGCTTGGGAAGCCCAACACACCAGACATGTTCAGAGTCACAAGCTTGGTACTTCCCAACAAACAACTTCTTGGTTCCGTTACTCCGGACTTGTTCTCGATTCCGCACATTAGAAACTTGGATCTGTCCAGCAATTTCTTCAACGGGTCACTGCCGGACTCGGTCTTCAACGCCACTGAGCTTCGGGTTATCTCCCTTGGAAGCAACAGTCTCTCTGGTGATTTGCCTAAGAGTATCAACAGTGTAATCAGTCTCCAGCTCTTGAATCTATCAGCCAACGCATTCACCGGAAAAATTCCGCTCAGCCTCTCACTTCTGAAGAATCTAACGGTCGTTTCCTTGACAAAGAACTCGTTTTCAGGTGATGTTCCAGCTGGTTTCGAAGCAGTACAGGTTCTTGATCTTTCTTCAAATCTTCTCAACGGCACTCTTCCTCGGGATTTGGGAGGGAAAAGCTTGCTTTACTTGAACTTATCACACAACAAAGTCTTGGGCGTGATTTCTCCAGGTTTTGCAGAGAAATATCCAGCAAACGCTACAGTCGATCTCTCCTTTAACAACCTAACAGGCCCGATACCTAGTTCCCTCTCTTTACTAAACCAAAAGGCCGAGTCTTTCTCTGGTAATCCAGAGTTGTGTGGGAAGCCATTGAAGACCCTCTGTTCAATTCCTTCCACTCTCTCAAACCCTCCAAATATCCCTGAAAATACTTCACCAGCGATAGCGGTCAAGCCCAGAAGCTCGGCTCCAACAAACCCTTTAACAGAATCACCAAATCAGACAGCAAAAAGCAAGCTAAAGCCAACAACTATTGCTGTAATCACAGTTGCAAACATATCTGGTCTAGCGATCATAGCTCTATTCGTGCTCTACGTATACCAAGCCAGGAAACGCAGAAGATCCCCAGAAACCAGCACATTCAGCTACTTCACAACGTGTCTGGAGAAAAACGAAGCCAAGAAATCGATTCACCAACCGAAACCGAGCGTCGCGGAGGTCAAAGTCACAGACTCACCAGATGCAAAAACGGCATGCGGTTCGTGCATAATCTTAAACGGAGGAAGGTACGAAGAGACATCGACATCAGAGAGCGACGTAGAGAACCAGCAAACCGTTCAGGCATTCAATCGAACAGATGGTGGGCGACTGAAACAGAACGTTCAGACTCAACTGGTCACAGTCGACGGCGAGACTCGGCTTGATCTAGACACTCTGCTAAAGGCGTCTGCTTACATACTGGGAACCACCGGAACCGCAATCGTGTACAAGGCGGTGCTAGAGAACGGCACGGCATTCGCGGTGCGGCGAATCGAGACGGAGAACTGTGCGGCTGTGAAACTCAAGGAATTCGAGCGGGAGGTTCGTGCCATCGCTAAGCTTCGACACCCGAATCTCGTCAGAATTCGTGGGTTCTGCTGGGGAAACGACGAGAAGCTTCTAATCTCCGACTATGTTCCCAATGGCAGCCTCCTTTGCTCCTTCACCGCCCGTAAGTTCTCTACCTCTGTTTCCTCAGTCGCACCAAGCCACATCTAAAATACGCCCATTAACTGGCGCTGTTTAGCACCCTAAAATACGCCACTCACTTTGCTATTTAAGTTTTAACACTTTTTTTTTTGTTCCTTTACAAACAGCAAAGGCAAGCTCGAGCTCGTCGACATCATCGTTGCAAAACCCACTATGTTTCGAGGCACGGCTCAAGATAGCAAGAGGAATGGCCAGAGGACTATCTTACATCAACGAGAAGAAACATGTGCACGGTAACATCAAGCCAAATAACATTCTCTTGAACTCTGAGAATGAGCCCATCATTACCGATCTGGGCCTAGACCGCCTCAGGACATCGGTGCGTGAATCTCACACCACTGGACCAACGTCGAGCTCACCGTACCAACCACCGGAATGGTCTACGAGCCAGAAACCAAACCCTAGATGGGACGTTTATTCCTTCGGCCTCATTCTCTTAGAACTTCTCACAGGCAAAGTTTCTCAAGATTTAGATCAGTGGTCGGAATCACCCGGTTCTGAAGCGGAAGAGAAAGGTCGGTTCTTGAGGTTGATCGACGGTGCAATTAGGAGCGATGTGGCTCGGCATGAGGATGTTGCAATAGTGTGCTTTAGGTTAGGGATTGAATGTATATCTTCCTTGCCTCAGAAGCGACCGTCAATGAGAGAAGTGGTGCAGGTGTTAGAGAAAATGTGTGTTTAGTTTGATTTCTTGATAGTAGCCTAAGTCGTTGGCAATATAGAAAGTGGATTTGCTTCGTGTGTATTAGTTTTGTACTTGTGTTGCTTACTTTACTTGCTCTATATATGCAACTTCCAATGTATATATTTCTTTACGATTTTTGTACCAAACTAGTAAACACAGATGAAAGTGGAGAATTCAGGTTGGATTGACCAAAAAACCAAAACAGAGGTTTAAGACAGTTGTACACCGACCACGGTCCAAATTTCGAAACCGAACATATCTGAAATTCTGAACAAAACCAAGACAAAACCGAACCAAGTTCCAAATGTCAACGCCTAATCATCATCTTCTCCGCTCAACTCATTCAGACATTCGATTCAACTCATCTCTAAAGTGGATAAGCAATTTTAAGTAAATCCGGAAATATTAGTATAGATTTCTCTGTTCTGATAAACTCTCTACCAAAGAGATACCAAAAATGGAAGGAGGATCTACCACTACCGGCGCGGAGACAATTGAGATTCAACCACCAAATCAGATCTTCATTCTCTCCGGACAAAGCAACATGGCCGGACGCGGCGGCGTCGTCAAAGACCACCACCACCACAATCGCTGGGTATGGGATAAAATCGTTCCGCCGGAATGCGCACCAAACTCATCGATCCTCCGCCTGAGCGCAGATCTCCGATGGGAGGAAGCGCGTGAGCCACTCCACGCTGACATCGACACCGGTAAAGTGTGCGGCGTAGGTCCTGGGATGGCGTTCGCGAACGCGGTGAGGAATCGTCTGGAGACGACGGAATCGGCCGTGATCGGACTGGTGCCGTGCGCCTCCGGTGGAACGGCGATTAAAGAGTGGGCGCGTGGGAGTCACTTGTACGAGACGATGGTTAAGAGGACGGAGGAGAGCAGAAAATGCGGCGGAGAGATCAAGGCCGTGCTTTGGTACCAAGGAGAGAGTGACGTGTTGGACATCCACGACGCTGAGAGCTACGGGAGCAATATGGACCGTCTGATTAAAAACCTCCGTCATGATCTCAACCTCCCTTCTCTCCCCATTATTCAGGTCTATAATCACTTACCTTCCTTCAATTCGAAAACTTGCATGCCTAGAGAATATGTAGATTCAGTTCTAGTTTCTGTCAAGAAGTTCAGTTTTTCATTAGCTAATGTTGCTGAAAGTGATGTCTTTTTTTGAAATGTTTCATCGGTTTCCATTAGTAGTTGTGTTGGTTTGATTTGAAGCAGGTTGCAATAGCGTCGGGAGGTGGATATATAGATAAGGTGAGAGAAGCACAGTTGGGTCTGAAACTATCCAATGTGGTCTGTGTCGATGCTAAAGGATTGCCGCTAAAGCCAGACAATCTTCACTTAACCACTGAGGCTCAAGTCCAACTCGGTCTCTCCTTAGCACAAGCTTATCTTTCCAACTTCTGCTAGACAATCAAGTAAGTTTCTGTTAAGCTTTTTTAATGTACATGCTTATATGGATATCACGAGATTCGTAATAAGGGAGTGGCAAATTATTAATGTTCAGGGTTAAGACTTAAGAGTTAACAGTTTGTTCTAGCTGCTGATGGATTCTGATATCAATGGTTGTATAAGATCTTTTGGCAGCCCCATGTTTAGTCATTTGTTCATTAAGAATCTGGAGTCATTTCTATTATGAATGATCATATCATTGCATTAGAAAAAAAGATGTTGAATTTTTGAATGGATGTTCAAATTATTAATATTGTTCAGGTTATCCATGATGAAGATCGGGTCTACGTTTCATATAAGAAGATATGCGGTTTTAAGTGATGGTGCTGGTTTTCAAACTATGTAACTCTTTTACCTATAGAGAACACTATGAACATATATACTTCTCATTTGTCACTTGGAAACTAGAAATGGAGGCGGACTTGCTATTCTATTTTTAGGAAAGGCAACAATCTGTTGCACTTTGTATAATTTTTTGTTAAATAAAGTGTGTTTGATGTGGACAAGTTTTCTTTTTCGAATCAAAAGATGTGAAACGCAACCAAAATGGGTTTTGACCTCTAACGATCGCTTTCATTATTCAAGCGAGTCATTGACCAAGCTAAGTGGCTTTATTTCACAAGAGTATCCAACAGCATTTTGTCATCATGCATGAATACCCAATATCCATTTTGAGATTTTTGAAAATATATATAGGATGCTTTTACAAGGAAGGTATTATTCCGAATTTGGAAGAGCAATTTATTCCTTTGTTTTTGTTGTGATCCGTAATTTCATTCAACGAAAACTTAATAACTTTTTTATAAGAAAATCAAACAGTATATAAAAGCAAACGCGGCTGCATAGTATACGTAAGGGGTTTTCGACAGGTCGACCTACCAAAAACAATGCAACTCTAAGCAGTTGAAAAATAGATAAAAACACAAAAGCAAATCTTTCACGTGCCATAAATTATACTTACGTCACAGCTATCAGTAATTGACTAATAGAATATCCTTCCAAATATTCCCACCAAGGCAACAAGTAATACCTATTTCCTAATACTGTAAAATTTGACCACCAATATTTACTTCTTTTGATTGTAACATTCGAACAACTTGCCCTGAAAATTATCCTGGAGTCTCATAGTCCTTTTTTTTTTGCTATGGGGTATAGGAGATTCATACTTTATAAGTCCAATTCAATTCAAATTTGAAGTCTTCAACTATTTTTAAATTACTGAAATTGCAACTCTCTCTAGTGCATAGCTCGTTTACTAATTGGACCATTTCTTACAAGTTGGGTTAAAGCACTTAAAATCGCTTAGAAAATCATTAAACCCCTGTTAAAGTTTTAGTGTGTTAGCATGCCACATCTCTCCTGTAACGTTATGTTATGAATAATACATTCTTGTTAAATAAGCTAAAATCCTTGGGAATACTAAGATTTGGATCTAAATACACCATCTGAATACTAACCGCTCTATATCCAAGAATCTAAGTCATGAATTTCTGTGGAATATTTTTTCTTTGTTTCTCACACACATATTAATGGTTGTTTTAAGCTTTTTGTTCCCAACGAGATGAACATCATATTATTTGATTGAAAACAAAGGATACAGGATTAAAGAGGAAAACAAACTGCGGGCAGGCCTCGAAAAATTCATCTTAACCGGATATTCTAAAATTGATTTTTGTCATTTCAATCAACTCCTAGTAAGGAAATCTTTTCTTGTCTTTTTTTTTTTCTGTTTGCCTAAAATGTTAAAATCTTAAAAAGATACTGTATTCAAAAGTGCAGCAATGATCTGCCAGACATTACAAGACCCCACCACGTTAAGCAATAAGCACTTTAAGATCTATAATGAAGTACCAAAATCTTCGAAGTTGTATTTTATATATATAAATGAATCTTCGAAGCTGTAAATATTTTTTTCGCAGTTAGCAAATCTAAATTCTCTGTAATAAATAAACAAATTTGACTTTTCCTCGAAGTTGCTAATTTTTTTGGTTTGGGATACTTTTCCGTAAATAGATGCAACTCTATTCGCCGAAACATTTGGAAATTACAAAAACCCATTTTCACCCTGGTAAATGAAATCCCACGCGCGACACCTGGTTTTGATGCAGTGTTAATTTTTTTTTTTTTTTGATGCAGTGTTAATTTTTTTTTTTTTGATGCAGTGTTAAGAGTCTTAACATTCTAGTATATTCTGGGATAATATTTACCATTCTAATCCTAGTTTTAATCAAAATTAGGTCGTTAAATGGATTTCTAAGGCTATTATCATTTCATTTTTTGTTGTTATGTCAACTAATAGAGCATTAGAGCCTAAGATTAATGTTTAATAAGAAAAGACAGATAAAAAAGTTTTTTAAAAAATACAAGGCGCGTGAGATTCCATCGCCGTCTACAACAACAATATCATCACAATCACACCAAACCCCTGAACCGACTATAAAACCCCCAACATCGCCTCTCTAACCCTTTAGATCTCTCCCTCGTGCCACCAACATTTCCTCTACTTCACACACTCTTCACTACTCCAAATAGCGGTAGCAATGTCAGCCGCCGCGTCTTCCGCCATCTCCGTCGCCACCAATCCCCTCAAGAGCTTGACTCTCTCCTCCAGATCGCCTCTTCCCTCCGCCATCTCCGTCGCTTTCCCTTCTCGCAACCGCGATACTCCTCGGCGGCGACTCATTCTCGTGTCCTGCTCCGCCGGAGACGGATCCAAGCCTACGATCCTCGTCGCTGAGAAGCTCGGCGAGGCTGGGGTGAAGCTCTTGGAGGATTTCGCGAATGTCGACTGCTCGTACAACATGACTCCGGAGGAGCTCAACACGAAGATCTCGCTCTGTGACGCGTTGATCGTTCGCAGTGGCACAAAGGTTGGCCGTGAGGTGTTCGAATCGTCTCGCGGACGCCTCAAGGTTGTTGGACGCGCTGGTGTTGGGATCGATAACGTGGATCTGAGCGCTGCTACGGAGTTTGGCTGTCTTGTTGTAAACGCGCCGACGGCGAACACGATCGCTGCCGCTGAGCACGGAATCGCGCTTTTGGCTGCCATGGCCAGGAACGTCGCTCAAGCTGATGCCTCTGTTAAGGCTGGTCAGTAACTTTTGAAATTAAACTTTTGAAATGCTTGGTTGCTTTGGTTCTTTTGATACCTGTGATAATTGATGGGATGTCCAGTTTACAAATTTCGATTATGAGCTTTCCTTTTTCTCTGCTGTTGACGATACTTGGATAACGAATTTTCGAGTCTAGATATCATGGTGTATGAAGATAAGTGATCTTTAATTTGAGTTTGATGGATTTAGCCAAGAATTTGAGTTTTGATCTGTATGTAATGCAGGAGAGTGGAAGAGGAACAAGTATGTGGGTGTTTCACTAGTAGGAAAGACCCTTGCAGTGTTGGGATTCGGGAAAGTCGGGACGGAAGTTGCTCGTCGTGCCAAAGGTCTTGGTATGCGTGTCATTGCTCATGATCCTTATGCCCCAGCAGACCGTGCCCACGCCATTGGTGTTGACCTAGTGAGCTTCGATGAAGCCCTCGCCACCGCGGATTTCATTTCTCTTCACATGCCTCTTACGCCAGCAACATCGAAGATACTAAACGATGAAACCTTTGCTAAGATGAAGAAAGGAGTTCGCATCGTCAATGTTGCTCGTGGAGGTGTCATAGACGAAGACGCGTTAGTAAGAGCCCTTGATGCTGGCATTGTTGCTCAGGCTGCACTTGATGTTTTTACGAAAGAGCCACCGGCTAAAGACAGCAAGCTCGTGCAGCACGAGAGGGTCACTGTGACACCTCATCTTGGAGCCAGTACTATGGAGGCTCAGGTGTGCTATTCATGTTATGATTCATATGATATTTGAATCATGCTTTTTTGCTGTTTGGCTTCTGATCTTTAGTTGGTGTTCTGGCTTTGACAGGAAGGAGTTGCCATCGAAATCGCTGAAGCTGTTGTTGGAGCTCTGAATGGAGAGCTTGCAGCTACTGCAGTCAATGCACCAATGGTTTCTGCTGAGGTGAGAGCACTGTTCTGTGCTAGTTAAATACACAAACGTTGTTTTTGCTTCATTTTGAAGCGATACAAATGTCTTAGCCTCTTTTATTATAATGAGATTCTGTTAAGCTTTGAAGAAGTTCAGCTAGCCTAGGACTGAATGTAGCAGATTAGAGCTGTTCAGAGTTGGTTAGAGAGTAGTTATTGAGGGCTGGAATAAGAATAGCAGTTCCATAGCTTTGTTCTTATCAGATTCCAATAAGAATATTTCAAATATATTCCTGTTATTTGCTCAAGCTTACATCATATTTTATCCGCAGGTTCTGACCGAGCTGAAACCATATGTGATACTCGCTGAGAAACTAGGAAGACTAGCGGTACAACTGGTAGCTGGAGGAAGCGGCGTGAAAAACGTGAAAGTCTCATACACCTCGGCACGAGCCACTGACGATCTGGACACAAGACTGCTTCGGGCCATGATCACAAAAGGAATCATCGAGCCAATCTCTGACGTATATGTCAACTTGGTCAACGCCGATTTCACAGCCAAGCAGAGAGGTCTCAGACTCTCAGAGGAACGTGTGCTCTTGGATGGGTCTCCGGAGAACCCCTTGGAGACAATAACTGTTCAGCTAGGCAACGTGGAGTCGAAATTCGCGAGCTCGTTGTCTGAATCAGGAGAGGTCAAAGTGGAAGGAAGGGTTAAAGACGGAGTCCCGCATTTGACGAAGGTTGGATCTTTTGAGGTGGATGTGACTCTTGAAGGCAGTATCATACTGTGCAGGCAGGTGGATCAGCCTGGTATGATCGGGACCGTCGGGAGCATCCTTGGAGAGTCTAACGTCAATGTTAACTTCATGAGCGTTGGAAGAATCGCACCGAGGAAGCAAGCGATTATGGCGATTGGAGTAGATGATCAGCCAAGCAAGGACACTCTTAAGAAGATTGGGGAGATTCCAGCTGTGGAAGAGTTCGTTTTCCTCAAGCTTTAGTTTGGTGTCTTGTTGATTCTTGAATCTTGAATGTGAGGATTTGATGAAGGGTTTTCGTTTAGGCAATAATGTTATCTTGGATTTCTTACAGTTTTGGTAATGTTGGAGAGTAGTAGTTTCTTTGATATTCCAACTTTATGGTTCATTATTCGAGTGTTTCTTTCTTATCTGGAAACAAATTTTCCGGGAATTATTTGCTTCAAACGTCGAAGGCACTTTTGTTAAACTTGAAAATTTAAGAATTTTATTTACTTCTTCGGATTCGGTTTACAATGGTTTTACTAAATACCTTGGCCCGTAACTGAATTAACAGACGTAAGTAGTTTATTTTGCCATATGAGTGTTGTGACGACGATAAACATAGTGAGGAAAACAATAAGTTGGTGCACATTGTCAGATCTAATCATTGAGCATGTATACAAATGTTTCAAATTAAACGGAAAAATAAAACAAAATCGATTCAATTTAACCATTAACCGATCAATTTTAAATTGGTTCAGTTTGGTTTTGTTTAGATATTCGCTTCAAATGCTCGTTAAAACGCTGCCGTTTATCAACTGGTCGAACAAGATACGAACTTATTGAGTGGAGAGAAGACACGTGTCGCTCGCTCGAACAGATAATACCGCGACGCATTCACAAGGAAGACGAAGGATTGATTAGAAGAAGAAGAAGAAGAGGAAGAGTGGCGCCAACCGAAAATTTAGAGCGATAGATCACTGCATAGAAGGAACATGGCCTTATCTCAAGCCTCTGCGTCTCTCGCCTTCTCTCTTCCTAGTACTCTCTCTTTCTCTCTCGGTTACGCCTCTTCCTCTACTACTAAGTCTCTATAATGTATCTGACTAGTTTCGGGATTTTATCTTGCCAGATTCTGGCGCCATAAAGCTAGCTCGAATCACAAGCCCTAGTTCTACCTGTCGTGTTCATGTACCGCAACTTGGTGGAAGCCGATCCACCTTCGCTTCTGGTTCTCCTCTCTGTACGTCTTCCTTGTCCCTGAGCTATATTTCCCCGATTTTCTAAATTGTAATTAGGACTAGCCGATATTTTTCTGATTCGTTTTATACCGACTGGATTTGTTCATATGTGGTTTAGCTCTCTGAAATTAGGGGAAGATTTCACCTAATCTCAGATTGACTTAGTACATAGTTTCTTGCTTTATGCATTTGCTTGGTCCGAAAAGAAGAAACTTTATTTCCTTTTGTTTTGTGGTTTCTTTCTCCGAAGCAGTGCCATTGAATTTGAGCATGACTCGTGGTGGAGGAAGAAGAAGTGGAAACAGAGGAGGAGCATCAGTTTCCATCAGAAGCGAGCAAAATACAGAAGGGAGCAACGGTTTGGACATATGGCTTGGTCGTGGCGCTATGATTGGTTTTGCAGTTGCCATTACTGTTGAGATTGCCACTGGCAAAGGACTTCTTGAGGTAACATCATCAAAACTCTTCCTCCTCTTAACATCTGAATTTCGCTTATGGAAAAAAAAATGAAAACTTTCTTTAATCAAACAGCAATTTTGAGAAATGAATACCTCAAAGATTTTGATCTTAATGTGTATTGGTCTTCTTTGTTCAGAATTTTGGGGTGGCGAGTCCATTGCCTACGGTTGCTTTGGCTGTCACAGCATTGGTCGGTGTTCTAACTGCGGTTTTCATCTTCCAATCTTCTTCTAAAAACTGATAAATCCCCCACATGTGTTTATTGTGCTCCTTTTTGTTGTATCAAAGACATATCACTCTACATTTATCACAATGCAAATCCTCCTTTTCTTTTTGTTTTTGTTGGCTCTGAATGTTTACGATACATGATTGTGTCTGTACATACATTTGGTTTCATCTTCTTGCACCGACTTACCAGCTTTTATGTACAGTGTTTTACCTCTTTACTCAGAGGTACAAAAGGTTTTTGAAAATAACTTATGAAATATGAATTAGTTTGAGTTATCGTGTGAAATATGAATTAGTTTGAGTTATCGTGTGAAATATGAATTAGTTTGAGTAAACATTTTTCATAAGTTATTTTCAAAAACCTTTTGTACCTCTTTACAACCTCTGAGTAAAGAGGTAAAAACTGTACATAAAACAGAAGATCTGGTCAAACTAATGTTAAACACTGTACATAAAACAAAAGATCTGTACAAAATGTTAGTCTGTACAAAATGTTTCGTTCTTTTCTGTTTTTTTTTACAGACCAGATATCATAAGTCCGCAAAATGTTAATTTTTTTAAAAAAAATGAATATGAAGAAATAAGACGACCAACAAGAAAAGCAAAATACAACAAGGAACAGAGTCTCTGTCTTTCTCTCCCAAACCCATGGCTCCTCTGTTACTCTTCATTCTTCTTTCTTCAAGCCTATCCTTCTGTCTCTATCATCTTTTCAAAGGATAAACCTAAGAATCGGATTTGAGAATTTGGGAGCTATAAACAATTTAAACACAAATTTTTTTTTTATAATATAGGAGTCAAAAAAATTCGTAAATAACAAAAAAAAATTTAAGGGCTATTGGCAAATGTTTCATCCCTAGATCCGGCTTTGAAGATCCTCCAAGGCAACGTGTACGAAAACGGTAGGATCATCGATATCACCCACCGTATAAACGATAGTTGAAATATGAGAAAAATAGAGAGAGTCAATATAAACGGTTTTTATTCAAAAGTCAAAAAGTCAAAAGTCAAAGCTCTTTATCACTAATACGTAAATTCGGTATCCTTATAAATTTTGATAACACCAACCATATAGATTGATATAATTTTGATTGATACCCACAAGCTAACCCGAGAGACCCGAGATAATGACCCGCTCCGTCGATTTCCCTCTCCTGATCCTCGCCGTCACTGCACTCTCCCTCTCACCTCTCCTCGGCGTCGCAGGGAAATTCTCCGACGATCTCAAGCCAATCCGCCGTGAGGTTTATGGCGGAGGGAAGATATTCGACATCAGCCACCGTTACACGCCGGAGATGCCCGCTTGGGAGTCATCGGAGGGACTGGCGAGTTTCCTGAGACTGGCCGCGAGTATGAAGAATGGATCTTTTGCTAACGTGTCGGAGATGAAACTATCTGTTCACTCCGGGACCCACGTTGATGCTCCGGGCCACTTCATTGACGAGTATTACGACGCTGGTTTCGATTCCGATTCGCTTGACCTCCAAACCCTTAACGGTAATCGTCTCCGTATCTTTGTCTTCAAAAGCTGCTTCTTTTTCTTTTCTTACTTTTTTTAGTTTTTGTTTGCTGGGTTAGTGATCATTTTGAAATTGGTTTCTGTAATTTCTTTAGGTCCTGCGTTGTTGGTCGATGTTCCGAGAGATAAGAACATCACTGGTGAGTTGATAATTTGAAATTATGGATCTTTATATATATTACTAAAAAAAAGAAACATTTTTTTCAAGATGATTTTGGGTTGATTGTATAGCTGAGGTAATGGAATCACTTCATATTCCAAGGGGAGTTCGTCGTGTGCTCTTCAGAACATTGAACACTGACAGGTAAGTCTCGATATGAACAACAGAGTAATACCAAAGTCTTGATGTGAGCTCGTGGCAATAAGAGAGCAAAGCTTACTCTGCCTTTCTCTGTGTTTGAATTATCAGGCGGCTTATGTTTAAGAAAGAGTTTGATTCAAGCTTCGCTGGGTTTATGACCGATGGGGCGAAATGGTTGGTTGAGAATACAGACATCAAACTTGTTGGTAAGATTTGGATTGTTTTTTTTTTTTTTTTGGTTTCTTAGTTTCTATCTTTACACGCCGTTATCAGATCTTAAAGAGTATTTCTTAGCTCGTATTACATTTCCTGAAACCGGTTATTCTGCATTGTGAAATCCAGGGCTTGATTATCTTTCCTTTGCTGCTTTTGAGGAATCACCTGCGACGCACAAGGTTATACTTGCAGGAAGGGTGAGTATAGTATATCTTTCTCTATAAAAGTATCAACTACCTACCTAAACATTGCTTCTGTTTCTTGAAAATTTCCATTGCATTGTCATAGTTCTGAAGGAAACCTTATCTGTCTCTCTTTTATCTCTTTCAAACCATGGGATATGATATTTGCCTAGACAAGAAAGTGAATTGGTTAGTTAAGTAGGCGTAAAAGTGAGACGAGGCACATTCCTAACAATCGTGAGAGTTGGCATGATTTTGCAGGATATAATCCCTGTGGAAGCGCTGAAGCTGGATGATGTGGAGGTTGGAACGTACTCGCTTCATTGCTTACCGTTGAGATTGGTTAATGCCGAAGGAGCACCGACGAGATGCATTCTCATCAAGTGATTCTGTTCATCCTCTTCTCTGGATTGGTATACGAAACTGATAATAAAGCAGATATCTGTAAGTTGGATGAGATATACGAAACAGATAATAAAGCAGATGTCACAGATGCGATGGTCCCAGTTGTAAAAGGTAGAGCATACCTTTATGAATGTGTGTATGTATATGTATGTGTGTAATTCTCAAGGATATATGATAATAAAATTATACTGAATTGAAACAATCGACTAATATGTTGTAATCTTTGATTTCCCGTCTCGCTAGGCTAATGCAGTAGTAATTAGTAAGCAAGCAAGACTATTCAGTATTCAACAACCGATCACGAATCTTTTCCATTTTACTAGCCAATAAACCAAATATGCAACTAAAGTGAATCGAAGATGCAACCATATAATCTCATCTGCATTACTCTGAAACTCTCACATCAGTCATACAACAAACTGGCCCAAAATTGCCGTCAGTAACAATAGCATATTCCTCAAGGCCTTTTTATTTAATAAATAAATACAAAAAAACGCAGAAATTATTTAAGCATACAATAGCAGATTTTCCAGGACAAATAATAAAGAGATTTAGTCTTGGAATGTAGTATCGAAAGCAAGGAAGCAGGGGCAGGAGTTGAAGCAGGTTTTGTTTGGACTGAACAACAAATCCACATGATAAATAGGAAACACAATCTGTGTCTATTGGTTGCTTTCCATTATATAGAAAGATACATGCAAGTCCCCATCAAGCTTGCAAGAAGCTAGCGTACTTAGCACCAAGGAGAAGCCTCTGAATGCACAAGAGAGCGTTCTTGGTAACCTCAGCGTTCTCATGGTTCATCAGTTTCATCACTCTTTCTTTCGCCTTGAGGTCATTTACGATCACTCTCCCCGCTGCATGGTACTGTATGAACTGTGAGAGATCAAAGCATGCCACCGCCAATGATCTTGGATCACTTGACGTGTCCAGGATTGTGAGGAGGACCCTGAGTATCTGCATCCACAAGTTTTAACAAATGGTTAGCGTTGTTATGATGGACCAAACAGGCCCGACCTAGCCCGCTTTGAGCTCTACAAGTGGTGGTTGTTGAGGAGAGTGGGATCAAGAATTATACCTGGAAGTCATTCTCCTCAAAGCTAGTAACATTCTCACGCCAGAAATTGGCCTCTTTGTGCATTGGGTTCCAGTCAAGTTGGCCAAGAAGAACCTCTTGTTTATATTTGTCAAAGGAACTCAATTTCCTGATCTTGTCTTTTAGCCCTTCTTCTAGTTTGTTCAGTGCATCCAGCAAGTCCTTACAAATTCAGAATTAAACAGGTTTTAACCACGACCATGCTTACAATAAAGACATATGCTAAAACAACTACTTATATAGCTAGATTTTCTCACTGGTAATTAGCAGGAAGTTAAGAAATTCATGCTCCTCATAACAGCTAATAACAAGCAGTACTTAGACTTGTATTTAACTTGTCTAACCTCGTCACTCCATGCTTGTGTTTTTAGACTGTGGATGATATGTGGGAGTCCAAGCTCAACCATCTGGGCACCAAATGTACCTTTTGGAAGTAAGTTCCTGAATGTCAATATCACCACCCTGACAACCTATAAGACCAAAAAATACTGTCAGATTACATAACAAGTGCATCGCACAAAATCAATCATCCAAAAAAAAACAGAATTCATGGTATTGCACGATATATTCTGATTGATCGACCAAAATCGCGTCATATGATCTTAACAGATTGGATGATGGCAATGAGCAAGTCACACGAGAGAATATAACTCAATTTCTCCTTAGTCGAGTTCCTCACAAAATGGTATCAACTAAAGAACAAGTATTTTCTCAATTTTTTTTTCATGGCGGAAACCTGATTAATCAGTCCTAACATGAGAAAGAATCTCAACAGAGGGCAGTACTAATTGCAAGACAGTTTCCACCAGTGTACAAGGAGAAAGGTCAGATGCAATTTCCGTACAGAAGTTTTATCTTCTAAGGTTATACTTATATTGTTTTTGAGATACAAGGGAACATAGCCTCACCTTCTCCTTAGTCGAGCTCTTAACCACTTCCGTGAGCCTTTGCATTGTCCTTGATGTTGCCAAGTACTCTATTGCGGGTTCATAATAGGACAGAAGCCAGACGCAGAGGCATGTTTCATAGAGAAGCTATTGGTCGAGAGCATACAAATCACAAGAATTAGTTGCTGAGAAATTATGACAAAATGAGAAATTGAAACAGAATTATCTAATAGTTACTAATTTATCCAGCCCACAAAATTAGGGAGCAACATAAATTCACAAATTTAGTAGTCATTTAAAAATCAATACAAGTTTCACCACCCGGGTGTCTGTCTAGGCATTGCATTTCCGCCAAAGACTTTGCATGATATGGAAACTGCAATACTTCTTCACAGCTTTAATGGACATTTTTCACTAAAAACTACCCCCCAAAACATATAGTTACCTGGATAGACTGCTGAGTGGATGCTGGGGAGATCAAAGGAACAAGTAATTTCACCCCATCTGCCTGCACAAACGATGATCTGACAACAGGTTCTTTAAGCAGTGACGACAGGCAGCTGATTGCAATCGGAGCACCACGAGTAGGATGAGAAGGTTGCTTCAACTGCATTTCAAAATTAAGGATTGTGAAATCTATGATGAACATCAATCGCTTTTCGAGAATCAGTAACCCTATCAATGCAACGCCAACACAAACAGAAAGAAATCAAAGAGAAAAGAAGAAGAACCTGAGCACAAAGCCAATCCACCAACCCCTTAAGTACATCATCAATTGTAGTAATATGTTTCTTAGAACCGGAAGCTTCTCCATTAGCAATAGCACCATTACCAGCTTTTGGCCTAGCACTATATATTGAGAGAAGAGCAAGACCCGTCAAGTAAACGATGCTGAATGTCAGATACATAATTAATAAAGTAATGTTAAGCAGTATTGACCTCTACACTACCTTATTATCCAGGCAAGGATCTTGCAGCTTTTTTCTTGAATGAACCAATTTCCCTTCGACAGCAACCTGAAAGAGGACATATCTTTTAGCTTGCATACATTTGAAGATAAACAGCCAAAATCAAGCAAAAGTGTAACTGAAAGCAGTTTCTCCCAATGGAATTTTACATATGTTTCCCTTTTGCCAAGAAGATTGTAATCGAAGTAATAAACTGACTCATTGTGACTATAATCAGGGTCTCCAATAAAAAGAGCAAGTAAGAGACTGAGAAGTATTGCATAAAAGTATTGGGGGAACCAATTGTTGCCTAGACCAAATTCAGGGTCTCCAATAAAAAGAGCAAGTAAGAGACAATTGGGGGAAACAATTGTTGCCTAGACCAAATTCAGTCATAAAAGTATTGCAAAAGGACTCACCTCAAGAAAGGCTCGTAAGTATCCTCATGTGCCAAAGATTTATCATGGAATAACCGAGCTCGTGTTGGGTTTGCTGGCAAACAGTTGATGCATGAATATTAGCCGGAATCTAAGATGATGAAACGGTAAATGCAAATTTATTCATTTTTATTTACCTGAGAGCATTTCATAAATCAAAGCCAAAACATATTCCACTGTTTCTTCCTTGAAGATATCACGTAAAATGCTAACAAAGAGGTGAACATAAGCTGGACCATCCTGCAATAACGACACAACTTATCACTTCATGATGACAAGGTAAATGATTGCATGAGTCGTTATACAACTTCAACCACTAATAAAACAGAGAAATCGAGTCAAGTTTCTGTAAACTGATTGAAATGAGAAAAAGAGAGTTGTAAAAGATTTACTTCATCCAGCAACTGTGCCCTTGCACTTTCAGGTTTCTTATCATAGCGCCTTAAGAGCTGGAGACCTGTTGCTGAAATCAGCTTAGTTGTCATGTATGTCTCCCATGGAATATCCCTTTTCAATACCTGAAAGGTTAAAAAATAACAGAGATTGAATACTGGAAAAACAACAAGTAAGACTGTCACGATGTTTATAAGCTTTTTCAATACAACCACACTGAATAAAGCTGACAAAAACACATCATTAAAATTTCAGAGTAGTTAAAAGTTGCTAAGATCCAACACGACGGTTTTTCATGATCTTTTTTTAATTTGTCATTATTCATATCTTGCCAGAAATATTAAGCAGGATGTTGTATTACTCTATGCAAAATATGAAAGTCAAAATCCGTAATGGTGTAGCCTATGAATACGTAATGGGCGAAGAATAAATTTGCATAACATCATATCACCAACCTGATCCATAGTCAGTTCCGCCTGATCCATGGATAGTTGAGAAGCTTAAACACCACTTGAGATTGAGCTGATCCGAATCCCTACAAGTGTAAGCATAATCATATAAGATGAAACCACGAGTGCCCCCGAGGAAACTATAAATGATTAGGGAAAAAAGGATCTGATACGAAATTCGTTATCATCGTGTCACAATTTGACCCCTTTTTTTCAATCAACGAAACAAACACGATCTACAAGCATCTGTGAAATGTCAAGAAGAAAAAAAAAACTAAAAACAGATCAAGTATCAAACGCAATTCCAGTATGTTTCAGAATCGATTAAATCAGATGATTAAAAGAAAAGATCGGATCACACTCGAAACAAAATCGAACCACAAAATCAGAGTAAATCGTGTATTGAGGCAAAACAAACGAAGGAGGAAACATTGACCTGAAGGCTGTAAACGAGTTGATCGCGACGAGAACGGAGAAGACAAAGTGAAGGATCTCTTCTTCCGAAAAGATAAGGGACAGAGAGAAAAGAGCTTCTCTCAAACTCGGATCTGAACCGTGCAAGGAGTTAAACCAGAGTCGGGCAAAATCAGACGCTGACAGTTTTCCATTTACATGAAATTCCAGTATTACCCCTTGGACTTATATATGACAGAAATATGAGAAATGATGAAATAGTTTTTTTGGTCAGTGATTAATGATTTGAGGTCAATTTCTACATAATATTATCTTTTGTAAGAAAAGTTAATTAGGTAATTTTATATTTTCAGTTTATTTTTTGTCAAGTTAGGCAACTTTTGTTGAAGTAAATATATTAGGAAAAAATATATAATTTTGACCATATATTGATTATAATGTACATTGTTTTAACATTTGACAATGAAAGTATATCTTATTGTAATTAATAATTGTGTGTGTTCTATAACTAATTATCCTTATGACAATCTTTTTGCTTTCAAACATATATGCTAATCCTGGCAAAAGAAACTTATATGCTAAATTGAGTATTAAATAAATCAATTAAAAATGGTTTTTCATTAATCATTTTATTGTTTTACATTTTTGACACATGTGATATATACTACTAAGATATAAATTACAAATAAAAATCTAATACTTTGATTTATTATAGAAAATGATTTACAACAGTACATTTAAATGCATCAGTTTTGCCTAATGGTTACAAAGACTGAGTACTGTTTTTGGCGTTTCAAATTCAATTCTTACATTTTCTGATAACTTGACTACTATTTTTCAGTTATATTTTTTATATTATAAAATAATTACTATTTTCAGTTATATTTTTTATATTATAAAATAATTAACTCAAATTTGGTTAACTAAAATTATAATTCAAAAGTAGATTTTTCAGATACTATAATAAAGAAGACAAACTAAAACTAAGTGTATTACCCGCGAAAAATTTATTGAATTTTTTTAACTTTTTAACTAACAAAAAACTGTATTTTAAAATATAAATATAAACATAAATTATCGACTAAAAAAGCGCGGGTAAAATCTCATTTAGTTTAAAAATAATATTTTTTAATATTTTTTACTAAATAAATTTAATAATCAGCATTTTCATACCACAATTCTGAACATATAATATCTTTGTTCAAAACTCAAAGATAATAGTTAATAAATAAAGCAAAACAAAGGTAAGAGTTGTTAACACTAACATCACAAAACCAAAAAAAATCGAAACCTTTCAAAAGCATATAAATACATAGATAACTCTCTGAAGTGTTAAAACCATTGGTTTATCCATAGACACCATCTTCTCTCTGTATCTCATTAGTTTGAAAATCACCACATTTTCATAATGGATTCAGGAAGAAAATCAGATTTAATATCAAATTTACCTGATTGCCTTCTGGTTTTAATCATATCTTATCTGCCTTTAAAAGAATCTGTACGTACGAGTGCTATCTCTAAACGATGGAAGAATCTTTGTCGTGAAACGACAAACCTCGTATTCAAAGAATCTGAGTTTGTGAACCTATCTGTTCTCGATCAAGAAACCATAAAACTTAAGAGGGTTTTGTTTGTTCGTATCATGCGTCAATGGATCTCAAGATTTACCGGTGAATCTCTTGACAGTTTCGAAATATATCTCTCTGACCCGGTGGGTTTTGAGGCAGATATCGTGTCTCTAATCGAATTTGCCGCCTCCAAACAAGTCAAAAATCTAGTCATTGATTTCTCAAACCATGCCTCGAAAAATATTGGTGTAGTCGAGCATTTGCTCACGTTGATCTATTATCAAAAGAACGGATTAGATATTTCTCATCTCTTTTTCAATCTTTTATATGTCAAAAACTTAACGATATGCTCTTTTCTCCTTCAGGTAAATCATTTCTTCACTCTTTTAGTCATTTAAAAAAATAATAATTATAATATGATGGAATGAAAGTGAAGTTCACTAGATCATTTTTGCACGATTTAGCTTTGAGTCTATAAATGTCTTTTTATGTTGTTTGTTGTTTTGAAAGATGAATTATATTTCTTGTCGTTACTTGGCTAATAAATCATATTCAGAAATCTAATTTTGCAATTTTTGTAAATGTAGATCAGATAAAATTTATAAATTGACTATTGTATAAGGCAATCCTTACTAGAATCTTTTTAGAAATTCGTTGCATTTTGAAGAGAATATGGTTTTAGGGGACTAAATTGCTTTCCTTACCATTAAATATTGTGTTTAAACAACGTTTTTTTCTTGGGGGTCTATTAACGTCTCTTTTGTTTATTGGAAGAAGATGATCCAAGATTGCGACAATCCTATGGAGTTGCACGATCCGATGAAAACACAACATTTGGTGATGAAGACAAATTTGCACGCAAATGAGTTTATGGGTATTACGATATTTCTCAATAGCTGTCCGGAATTGGAGTCCCTCACATTCGACATGGGCACTACTGAACGTATCTTGGTAAATAATGTTTGTTTTTATAATTTATAATAACCTCGATTTTGGTCATTAGACATTATTACAATATACTATAGGTCTTGTTATTTGTTAAATGCTAGACGTTAATTAACTGAATTTTGCAGAGAACTTCGTCGCCATTAGATGCAAAAACGTTTTGGCTTGCTAACAAATCGTACGCATGTTTGGAAAAAACGCTTAAGATTGTGAAAGTAAAGAATTTCCGTGGCAGCTCGAACGAGTTACATGTGCTGCACTACCTGATTCGAACCGGGCGTGTGATGGAACAGCTTGACCTTTATGAGGCAAATGGATTGGACCATAAACAAAAGAGGTTGGTGCTTGCTGGAGCAGAGGAGGTTCGGCGATATTTCAAGAAAACCTCTAGGGATTTACAGATGACTCTACACAATGCTTGATTGAAGCATTTTCGAAATTTACTAAGTGGACAATGTATCCATTTAGTGATATATTCGAGTTTGCTTTATTTGATGATATTAAGGGTGGATATTTCGTTGTTATAATAGTTGGATCTGGCTCGGTTTGGTTTAATGTTTTTTTTTTTTCTAGTTTGTTTGCGTCATTTGGATCTTTAAACTAATATAATATACCCTAAGTTTTACATACAACATATCATTTGATTTCTTGTTTAATTTATTAGTTTCATCTTGGATCACGATGTTCTGTTTGAGAACAGAGAGTTGAATAGTATCGTGCTTACTTGCGTAACAAGAATCTGAAACCAATTTGACTTCAACAGTTTCATCATCCTCAGAGAATGAGTCCTCAGACGAAGAAAAATCACAGTCTTCACTGTCACATAACACACAACGCTTCTCAACTGGTACTGAATGCGATAGACATCCTCTAACAGAGACTTGTTGCTTGTTGATGTTCGTCTCTCAGAGGACAATGTAGAAAGATGATGATCACTATGGTGAACTTTGTTGGTGCTCATTTACGTGGTGGATAACAATCTTTATTAGCTCTCTTATCCATCCTCTTTTGTACTCAAGAGCGGAGGAAGAAATCTTCTTAAAACTTTTATTCTTCACATTAGCTCCATTGCTTGCTCATCTGTCCAGGTTTGACTCTCTTTGATACCAGACCAGTTTGACCCTAAGGATCTGTTAACTAGACAGCCTTCATTCAATGTAGTAGAGAAATACTCGTCAAGTTGTGTTGTTGTTTCTGTTGAGAAGACAAAAGTAACTAAAATCAGATGTCTCTATTCCTCAAACCATGCGCTAAATTAATAAGGACAGTAGCTGGCTATTAACTCACTTAGTGCCACTGCGTAAACGGGTTTGGGTTTGGCTTCAAAGCCTGCAAGGTGAGGTCCATGTTGTTGGATAAAATTTGGTTTTAAGAGAAAATTTCAGGTCGATGAGTGGCTTAACAGGATATGCTAGTGAATGCCACCACCTATTTTCCCCATACAACAACAAATAAGAGATAAATGTTTATTTATTTCTTCTTTTTATAATGTAAAAATAGGGTAAAAGTTAAAATACTAGAGATAGAAGATAAGATATGATGGGTCAATCTTAAGAGTGGTAGAGAGAAAAGATAGCCTCAAAATCTTTGTCTAAGAACAAGACATCCCTTTGCAGACTTGCACTGACCGATGAGACATGCAAACCCACTTCGTTACTTATTTCAAAATCTACAACATTTATGTATGTTCTGTTCTAACAAAATTGAAATATAGAATATCACTATTAGAAAAACTATCCCTTGCTTGCCTTTCATTTCTTTTTGTTTTGTTTTGTCAACTCTTTGAATTGACCTCGAATTTCCCATTGCCATTAATTTCTTACCAACACCTTGGTAGAACCAATTACTGACCCTCCCAACACTCCAATTGACTCAATTACTTTGTAAAGTTTGTAGAAGTACATTCAAGAATTGACTCGCTATTGTTTTCTATTTTCGTAGATGGCAAGCTTTGATTAAACCCTCTGCAAACATGTTGTGTTTTCTTATAGTTGGACCAGTTGGATTTAATATAATCCATCTAACATCTTAACTCTCTAAAAGTATAGACTGCTGTTGATGCAAAAATATATATTCCGAAACTTTCATTACATGTCTTCGTTTAATTAATTAGTTTGATAATCTATTAATTGGGTTGACTCCTCATTTAAATCTTTTATTTATTTATTAGTTTCATTTCCGTTTTGATTCTTTGAGCTTGTTCTTTCTTCTCGTTTATTTGGTCTTTTTTTCTTTTGGTCCGACCTCTTTATTTATCTAAAACAGGATTAGTACACCAACAACTGTCTTTAAAACGAGGAGTAATCATTGAGTTTGAATGGAGAGATTAGAAACTCAATTTTGTTTTTTTTTTTTCTTTCTAATAATACATACACATAGTCAACCATACTAATCATGAAGTATAGGAGCATAAATCTCTACCGACAACTATCTGGAAACATATATAATTTCTCAACATCAATCAATATATTTGCTTAGTATAATATAGTTATCTCAACTTTAAAGTTAAATTAAGAAATAATCTAAAATTCTTCCCTTTTCTATACTACAGTTTAATTTCTTTGTCTCTTGTCTACTAAAAAGTCTAAAATGTATGTAGATTTTGGATGCGTTTGCTTATTTTAAAAGGGTATATTTTATAATGCTTAGAATATTACCCTTTACTTTTGGTTTCTATAGAAGAAAAAATTAAAATGAAGGGTAAAATTCAATAAATATTTCAAGGACAAGAGTAGTGAGGTTAGGTGAAACAATAGTTGAAAACTTACAACTCATGAAGAAAAAAAATGAAAGGAAGCTCTAACTTTATTTAATATGTTGGCATAGTTTTGCTCATTCCCTTCCTCTGTCAAAATCCCGACATTTACTTGTTCAAGTAATACGTACGTACGATCCAACCGCCAATTCCATAATATGCATTATACCTACATGTCTGTGTTCTTTTTTATTTATGTACAAGAAACAATAGTACACTAGTAAATTAGATCATAGAAAAGAGAAAAGATTCTGAGTCATAGTGAATCGTTTGTCCATGAATTTGGACAACATCAACATGAAATACATATCTCGTGAATTTCATCTATCTTCTCTTATATTGTTGTACCATATGGTGATTACCTTTACTCCAATACGACAGTATGAAAATCAATATCCCAATATCGCATATATATTAAATGTCAGAATCCGAAACAAATAGATATTCACATATATTTAATTATCTTTTTTATTCGATAACATATGTTATTTCCTGGTGTAAGAGCGTCCAATAGGTTTAATCCACACTGGATCTCTCTAAATGCTACTCTAATGGTTGGAAACCAATTGATAAATCAAAGCAAAGCGATATACCGTATACGTATTACACTTCTTTAATTTCATTGTATATGATCACTTAATATATATTGTATGCGCGCATGGGAGTGTATGCGACAATAATCTATCATATTGACTACGAGTTGCTACATTCAACATATTCCACTTTCAAACAGAAACTTTTTTTGATAGGTCCTATCGATAAATTCATGCAAATAAATAAGAAAATGTTTCGAGAAGTTTTGTATGCTTCTTGATGTTTCTTTGTGAAAACGTGAGACTATATTTGGCTTCATATATAAGATCGTGACCACTAATAAATTAGACGGATACACAAATACCACATTGGATACCAGTTGGAATATATTGGGTCGCGGCATGTTTATATCAGCAAATATTTCATTGCACATTTACTCTTTTGATATAGAAAAATTATTATCAGTAGTCAATACTCATTCAAATATGCCGAACCTATGTATATATATTTTTATGTGGACCTCTTTAATTTTTACCATTACTCGCATATCCGTATTTTGTTTATATACCTTTGTCAACAAAAACATACATGATGTATTACAAATGTGTGATTTCAAAATCAATTAAATCATATTCTTGTCCACAATCTCATATTCAAAACAAGAAGGTAAACATAGAAAATCATATAGTCAACTTGTATATAGTCATAGGTAACAGTTAGGCGTATACAAATGCATATATATCTAAGAAGTGTGGAGATAAAAGCATACAATAATGTGAATCACGAAATAGAACAAGGGTTTGGGACCTATATTCTGATTTGTCTGAAGGAGAGGGCCATAGCGACAGGTCCTGCAATCGCAGCTCACACTATGCCCTTTCTTCTTTGTTCATTTTCATTTTTATATTCATACCGGTCCTACTTCATTTATACCCTTATATTTTACATTTTTATTTTGCTATCATTATTGCCATAATTGCTCAATTAATTACTAATCATTCGAACAGATCTGTACATGCATCCCATATTCCCATTTATGTCTTGTGTTGCATCTTTAATTTGTAGTTATTCTACCATTTTTATTTAAGAGCCGGTATTTAGTTTACTTAGATTTAGAATTTGATGTAGATTTTGACTGAACTCTAAATTATAACCAAAACTATATACAGTTCAGTTCGGCCGGATATGGTTTGGAAATTTAGTAAACATTTCAGTTATATATTTTCGCGGTTCACATCTAAAAAATTGATTGATACATAATTACTATTTTCATTTCATGTATAAATAATGGACAACAAGTTCTCATAGTTTAAATTTTCATTAAAATATTTATTTATGATATCCTTATCTTCGTTGAATCTTTTACTTTTGTTATTTATTTCTGTAGGTTTATGAAAACAAATTGATATTCATATACGTTTGGTTTATACAAACCAAACGATTACGCCACTATGAATTTTTGGACGCAGCTTCGTTCCATAGCAATATTGTTATATGACAAATTGACAATGGGTAGCTCTCTTCTGTTACTTTCGACTATTTCTATCTCCTCCTCTTCATCTTCTCTAATCACCATTGCAAAGGAAGTTAAAAATCGTATTTGTATATTTTTATCCTTTCCAAGTTGAGAGTAACAAAGTCCATTCAAACAAATTTCAGATTTTTGTAAATATTTTTCTTTTACTAATCAATAATCTTGACATCTCAACAAAAAATTACTTAAAACTATTTATGTTATTAAAAAGTTATGGTACATTAGATGGAGTTCTCAGCTATGCTAGTAAATCAGACATATCAGTTTTTCTATAAAAACATCTAAATAAATAATTTTAATTAAGCGTAGGTTTAATTTATCTTGATGAATTATTATTATTACATAAACAATGAAATAATAATATTATTGAATAAGTGTTAACAAATTTCTAAAAAATATATTCAAGGATATATATATATATATATATTTGTTCTTCTTGTAAAGATAATTACCATATGGTCAATATTTTTTCAACTATAAGACTAAACATAAGACTCCTTCAAAATTGCAAATCAAAGTCCAAACAGTCTGATCATACTGATATATGATATCTTTGAATGTAAGAATTTAGCCAAAATCCAGTTTGCTAAAAGAATTACTAAACCGTTTTGAAGCATATGACATTACCTCAATTCTAATCCCACATTGGCTATGATGCACTTATATATATTATATGATATGTTCATATGAGACAATATTGTGTTATATGTTTATCATATTCTTGGTTTTTTTTTTCTGCTTACACAGCATTGCACCAATGATTACATTGTTTTAACCAGACATCATAGACTTTGCAGCTGTGAGACAAAATCATAGACTACAAATATGAGAATGCAGCTCTTGTCACTTTTTGTTTTTACTTCCTTTTCATCCCACTTCCTTGTTTCGAAGCTAATCATGTCTTAATTTTTCAATGCATGCGATCTTTGTCAACAAACCTTGACTAGTAAAAAACGTCTGCGCATTTGTTATTGTAAAGGTAAAATTAGTTTATGATTCGATCAAAATCGTCAACAAGAGAATAATTCAAGTCATTACATGTATATAATTTTTTTAATTGCAATTGCTTCTAATTTGAATCTAACAAAGAAAAAACTGGATTTTTTAAAAATCTAATGGCCGAGCATATATAGCTTTAGCCATGAAGCAAATTGTGCTCTTAAAGCTAAATGCGATATTGAGAATCGTGCGGACATGTAATGTAATTACAATATGCAAAAAGTGCAGCATGGGTCGTTAAAACTATTCACTTAGCTTCTGTGAATCAAACCTATCTAGTGCAGAAACATTGATCAATGAATCAATTATTAGACTAAGTGTTTACACATGCAATTCGCTGTACTTATGATTTATCTAGACTACTAATTAATTCGAAGTTGTTGAATTACACTGCTAAGCATATGCAGTTCTAGCTATAACAAATTACAAATTTGATGCATCGGAATATTCTCCCCCGCATAACATTTTGACCATACAACCACATTCTCTTTCCGTTACCGTAAAAGAAAAAGAAGAGTGGAAGTAAAAAGGAAGAGACTTTTTTTTTTTTTTTTTGTCGTCAAAAAGGAAGAGACTAAGTCAAAAGAAGAATTATTTAAGATATAAAGGTCACAAAACCATAGAGAATGATAATATTATTCTATAATTATTGTTATGTGGGGACACATTTGACCTCTTTGCTCTTTCTTTTTGTGCAAGCTGTTTTCCTTTCCCCCGTTATTTTTTTTTTTTACCATATTTCATTTGTTTTACCTATACAAATATATTTTGGTTTATTTTTAGTAACTGAGTTTTTTATGATGGAAGCATCGATTTAACATTAACAAAATTCAAAGCTGACTAAAAAGTAAGAACAGATTCACATTTGTTTGATCTTTGATGGGATACAGAGATAGAATGGAATGGAGTAAAATGAATTAAATCGAGAAGAACATTGTATATATAAACCAAAAACAATAAGGGAGATGACAAATAATCTCTCTTTAATTCTCTGTTTATTTTATTTTTGTTTCATTGTTTCAGAATTTATAATTTATGGCAAGTCATTATATGGTTCACGAGATGCGTATGGTTACTATGGTACCATGATATTGATATTTGATAACATACCTTTAAGAGGAGAAGACCAATAGAAGAGACAAAAATAAGACAGAAAACACATTCTCCATTATTTAATTTTTATATAGAAAAAGAATAATCACAAAGATTTTGTTGGTCTCCCATTTTGAAAACCTCCCGATTTCCACATACATCCTTCCTCGTCTATCGTTGGTTCTGTGGATTTCATTTTTTGTCGACCATTGATTCTGTAGATACATGCCCTGCCCCCAATGATTCAAATTAATATCTGAAGCTTCTACTATTAATTAAAATATAGTAATATATCGGGTCGATTATAATTTTATGTCATCTCTATATAGGCAAGTGGTGATTTTAATCCTTTTTAAAAAAAAAACTAAACGTATACGTATTTTTTTTTGTTCAAAAACGTATACGTATTCTAAGATACATAAACGAAAGGAGTTGATCTGTTTTGATGACGTGTGGCTGAGCGTTAAGAAACGACATACTAAAGCAAATCGTTTTTTCTCAAAAATGAAATGAATTAGGAAAAATAAAGAAAAAAGAAAGAAAAATTCGTGTCACACGTGAAAAAAGTAGAGATTTAATACTCTTTTTTTTGAAAAAAAGTTTTAAAGAGAAAATAAAATTGGAAAAGAAAAAGTGTAAAAGAAGTAGAGAGATTTTCACCACCTAAAGCTTGACGAGAGAATACAAATGTATCATAATCATATAATTTTTTCTCGTGATACAAAAAGGGAATGGTTTATTCATATTTTCATCAAAACTGATTTTGATTACAATGTGGCTGACGTAAAACTACAGTTGTATTAAATTATTTTAATAAACAAAAAGTATTCTATTAACTAATACTCCTCATTGATTCGTTCAGGCCTCAGGGAAAAGGAAAAAGAGTTTCCTCAATCGTCATATATTGGTTTCCAAAAATAATTTAGGTTAGCGATTTTCTTGAATGCGTAGAATAGTGACGATGAATGCTTTTGGCCACGTGGCGTCATCCCAGGTGCTCAGAGTGGAAGCAGGTTGCTTTGGTTCTGGTGTTACTGCTGCACCAGATTTTATCGTCCAACACCACTCGAATATAAGGCGCGTGTTCTTCACTTTCCTACTTCTTGACTGTCTGTCTGTCTCTCGAAAATTTATCCACCGGTCAACGATTTAATATAAGACTTGATTGCTATTTGCTACTTATTATCCATTCATGGTTTATTTCTGTAGTTTGATTTCCAAAGACTATCTTACAAATCTGCCGATTGTTATATTACTATTTTAAAGTAGAGATATATTCTTTGAAGTTTGTAAGACTATACTAAAATTATGCAAAATTGATATAAATTGTTTTCTAATTATGTTATTTTCTAGAATTTACGTATACATAGTTAATCATGTTATTTTACTGCGTTAATATGTTTGGGTTAGTAGATACGCACCTAGCGCACGTAGAGCAGGTTTGATAAGACTATAAAAGAAAATCTAGAGAATTAATAGTGTTTGCATTTTCAAATTTCTTGTTTTTTTTTCTTCTCATTTTAGAAAATATAATAAGTATTTCATGTTTGAAAGCGATTATATTTAATAGACTGACCAAAAAGCAACACTTGGCTCTTCCCACCAAGTCAAAGCCTAAAGCGCTAAATCCTTCATTTTCAATCATAAACACAACAATCTCATTCCATACTAAATATTTTAACATCTCATTTAGTAAAATTTGTAACAAATGTATACATATTCTGACATCTCATTGTAAAAAAAATTGTAAAGTATAATGGGGCTGTTTTAGTTTCGATTTTAATTATTTGTAAGACAAATAAAAACTTTAGATTTCGTCACTAATTCGAATAACATCAAACCTTTCTTTATCCAAAACATTTTGTTTGTTCTTAATCCAAAAACATTTTTTTTTAAAGTTTATGTCCGTTAATTTACCTGAAGATTGTACTTAAAAAACGGAATTAAAAATCTGTTGATCAAATGAGGGTATTACTCAGAAGTCACAATTAAGACACATTAAATGTAAATAATCCCGGTGATTACGGCCCAAAGATTGCAATAGCCTCAAAACTTAAGCAAAAGGATTTATTTCGATTCTCATCATCCCATCCCATGCAGTCAAATGTCATGAATACCCTTCGCCCACACGCTGTATATAGCCATGGCAAAGTAAGGGCATTCACGACATTTCGTATATGCAACGGGGATACAAGGATTTGTTCTCAAGTTTAAAGACGGATATAAACGGAAAAAACGTAAGAGAAGAAAGCGAGCTCGATTATTATGGAGTGGCTACGATTGCCCATGGCAGATGCAAAAGCGGTTTCTCCTTCTTCGTCTCTTGAGCTCCTCTCATCTTCTTCAAGGGAGGTTGTTGCGGCGGTGATGATGGTGGATTGTACGAACTCGCTGACCACGATTCGTTTGAGCTTTCGTCGCTATTGAAAGGGTTTGAATCGATCACGCAGCTTGGGCTGCTCAACGAAGATGAATTGTGATTCTTGCGTTTGCGGCTAGATTGCGTTTCGATCTGTAAACCGATGCGATCCACTGGTACTTGGAGGATGTGATCGTAGCAAGTTTGCACCTTTTCCTGTTAAAGCACGTTAACTGTTCGTGAAAATGCTCGAGTGAAACAAGATTTTAGTAGCGAAGAAATTAGAAGAAGCTAAACCAAACCTTGGTTATGTTAAGGACACCGAGGAGCTTAGTTTGGTATAAGATAGGATCAAAGGGCTCAACTTGCTCTATAATTCGCATCATGGTCGCTGCGGCAACAACTGACGGGAGGTAGCCGACAAATCTTGAATCTGACAAAAAAACAAATGGAGGAAAAAAATACAAGAATGTAAGATTACTCAGATTTCAGTAGATGATAAACGAAATGGGCTTTTTTGCTTCTTTTTGTCGCTTACGAACCGGAGATTACAGAGAGGAGGAGACGGTGGCATCTGTTGAGGAAATCCCAGTGAGCATTGTTCTTAAGCCCCAATCTCCTGATGATGTGGTCTAGAAACGAAATTGGAGTAATGAGATGCATCTTCCATTGGAGAGTAGACAGAATCAGCAGCTCCATTCTCTGTATGGTTTTCGCCTCAAATAAGTACTTTGTCTCCTCCACCTTCAAGCGATAAAAACAGAGAGATTGAGAACAGAAGGACATAAAAAAAACTGAACTTTAAGGGAAACAATGTCAGGTATCATCATTTACTTGGAAGTCTAGAAGAAGAGGGACATGGGTTTCTTCGACTTTAGCAGCTAGTGAGAGGCAAGCGACGGAAACGAGCTGAAGCATCCATGGTTTGTCTCTCTGTAAGCTGTAGCTACAGATGAACTTGTCGAGGTAAGTTATGGCTAAAACAGCTGCAAGAGTGGAGAACCCATAATGAGCGTTGACTCTCAGAATCCAGCCCACGGCTTCTTTTCGATCTTTGGAGAGATAAACATCATCGAGACAGCCGAGTCCTTGTTCTTCTTCTTTGGAGAAGAGAGTGACCAGATCTTTGTCTTCCCAGAACAAATCTTGCTGCAGAAGAACGAATGGAGAAGAAGAAGAAGAAAAGGAAGAGTTTTCTTCAACTTCTTCAAATTCTTCTCCTTCGTCTTCCCATTTCTCTTCTTCGCAGTAGAGAGCATCAAGAAGAAACGAAGTGCTCTGTTCTTCTCGAATTTCGTCGTCCTTCCGAATCGCCATTGGTCGGATAGAATCAAGAATGAGAAGAAAGATCTTCTCTTCTCTCCTATATTGTTGGTTTTTTCTCTTTCGTTGTTGGGTTAGCTCAGAGCATTACACAGAAGAAGATAAGATGATAGAGAGAAAATCTCTCGGAGAGAGACTCATCTTCCTCTTTCTCTGTCTATCACCTCTCTGTGGAAACGTGCAGAGATTAGCTGTAGCAGGGAGCTACAAAAGAGAGACTAGAGAGAGAGAGACTAAAGTAGAGAGAGAGAGAGAGAGGAGAAAAGCTGGAAGTGGGAAGGAGAGCGAAAAGAAGGAGACTGATTTATGAGAGAAGGCGAGATGGTTTTCACGTTTGTCTTTTACTCGCGCAATATATTATTTTTTTAATGATATTAAATGTGTAATATCTTTTCCTGTTTTCCTTTTATTTGATTTTATTATATGTGTAATTTCTTTTTCTGTTTCCCGCTTTACCCACTTTTACTCAATTGGAGTAGAGATCGAGAAACCAAAGTGCAGTAAAATCTGTCGGCTAATTAACTTAATTCTACAACTTTTTGCCGATTGTCAACAACGTTATATATTTTTGTTAAAGACTTTAAATCACGGGTTAGATAATCAGACACTGACCAAATAACTTTTTCTAATTATCTGATTAAAATCTGAGATGTGCGACGTTTCGAGGCTGTAAAGCTATGAACCCCTATAATTCCAAATCTTAGTGAGTTGATAAAGACAGAAAAGAAACCAGTGCTTGTGGAATTTTGACTGAAGATGATGAACACAAAAAGAAAATGAAGGGTTCAGAGTAAATAAATTCAATAGTTTTGCGAGAGAATCTGCAATCTGGCTAATATTAAAAAGATCCAAACTTCTTAATGAGTTCACAGAATTTTTAAAAAAGAAGATAAAGAAAAATTCGTCTCTAAATTCTATACATCATAACAACCACTTTCAGTCGATTCTAAACAAGAATCGCCGGAGCATTAGTACGGAGGAGGCGGGTATTGTCCTGGATATGGACCTGGAAAACAAGAAGAAGAAAAATCAACCACAACTGAATATTGTTAGACATATTCAACAAAACACATCTAGAGATATTCTTTAGATGTAGTTTTTTTGTCCACATATTAGGTGCTCCATTAATTATTTTATGCAGATTGTAAACGCAAACGCCAAAAAGGGAGTTTCTCCTTCCGTTTACAATTAACAAAAGAATTTTGTTTGACAAGGCATATGTTGTGGGTTTCTTACGGAAAATAAACATCCAGTTATACCATCTAAACACATAAGCAAGCACAAACAATCAAAAAGCACAGAACAGAAAAAAAGAAACACATATGTACCTTGTGGGTAATGTGGCGATGGCTGAGGAGGGTATGGAGGAGGAGGGTAAGTTGAGGATGGCGGAGGAGGAGGGTAAGCTGAAGGAACCGGAGGGTAAGCCGAGGTTGAGGGAGGAGGATAGCCGGATGGCTGAGGATAGCCAGATGGCTGAGGAGGATAAGCTGAAGCTGGTGGATATGCTGATTGCGGCTGAGAGTATTGACCTTGTGGGTATAGAGATGGTCCAGAGTATGGTGCTGATGAATATGGAGATGGAGAAGGCGGTGCTGAGTAGTGAGGTACTTGAGGCGCATACGGTGGTGCTGATGGCGCAGACCCGTAGTTCTGTTTCTGCATTCAAGAAATAGATTGTATGTTTAGCCTTATACTGTCAATTAAATTAATGAAGCTGTAACACAATGTTTGCTAATTGGGACTTGACTTTACATTTGCTCCTGCATAGTGCAGTATGAGTCTTACTTCTCCGGCATATCTGCAAAATAGAAAGGTGACGCCTTTTTCAGATGATTTATAATCAAAGAACAACTCAGTTAACAAGGGGCAATCGCTGCGAATAAACTACCAAAATCTTTGCAAATTGTTGTCACTGACTATCCGGGAGTTTAAGAAAACAAAAAACGGTGTGCATAAGAGACAAATTCCAATAAGATTATAATTTGATACTACAATAAACAACGGAGCTTCATTACTCCTTTTATTTTATTTTTGGTAAACGTAACAGGAGAAACAGACATTTAGAAACTCACATAATGACTCCGATCGGTGAACAGAACCATGCTTCCATGTCAAGTGCGAACAGTGTAAATAAATGGAAAAATATTCAATCAAGTAGAAGGCATAGGGAACACGAATGTAGCAAAGCAACTGAGGAAACTATATATTCAAGCACTCTATGCTACAAACAGAACCACATCAAACGTTGCATTGATAATGACTAATGAGCAAGTACATCACCAAAATGAGCTAGACCAATGTGAACAAAGCAACTATCGATTACCAAACATAATTAGTGAAACCAATGTTATTACCTCCCAGTTTTAGTCTGGAGAGTCCAGGTGCAGTCGTCGTATCCCTGGGAAAGAGCCTTCTGCAATTGAATCCTAATTACAAGAAACAAACAGAGAGGAAAGGACTCAGTTTCCAAAATCCGAATCAGGAATTCCAAAGCGTTAAACATCAAAAATTGAAAAGTGACATACGTAGCATTCCCAATAAAGTCATCATTGGAGAGTGTGTTGCTGTTCCAGACAGCTACCTTAAGATCCCTAAGGCCTTCGAGCAAAGTGAACATAAACTTCTCTTGGAATATAGCGTTCTTTCCACCATCTGAAAAAAGAAACCCATCAACCAAATTCATATATGAGTGAGCTTTCAAACCAGATATTAACATCAAATTTAAGCAGCAAAATCTGTCTGGATCTGAACGAATCATATGAACAAAAAAAGAAGGTAATAACCTTTGCAGGTTCTGGTACGGTGCCTTGTGCCACTATACTCGAGGACGACGTATGGATCTTGCCTTGAAATCCATTCCGTGTCTTTCAATTTCTGGCACCCAACAACTGAAATCAAACGAATCCCATTAACAAACATTAATCTTTTCTGAGATCGAATCAGAAGAATATTCACCTGTTCATAACCGAAAAAAAAATACAAGAAAACTCGAAGATGAAAAGAAATAAGGGAAGTGAGAAAGAAAAAAGGCACCAACCAGTGACCTCGAGAATCTGGCCTTGTATACCCGCCATCATCGAGATTGATGGAGATGGATTGGATGGAAGAAATTCGATTGCTTAAGAAAAAAAGAGAGATTAGGGTTTGATAGAAGAAACACGAGAGAGATTGAACAACGATGAAGCTGAATCCAGAGAGAGTCCGTGTTTAAATATAAAGTATATAAATTAATCATAAGACTATGAATATCGCAGAAGCTGCTTCCAAGAGCGAGACGCGTATCGTAAGGCGTTGACCGTGACTTTGACTTCACATAAAATATACGCGTTTTTTTTTATAGTTATCTTCTCTAGTATCAATGTATCATATACTTCTCGTTTCTGGTTTAGGAATGATTGTCATCTACTATACATTTATTTATTGACATTTGCTATATTTGATGAATATTCTTCTTTAAAATGGTGAATCTTTATCCGAACATAATCGCCGGTCCCATTAAATTGACTTCTGAAACCATCATCAAATGCATTTACATCAGTTCAAGTTCAAATGGCATGATTAAATGAGTCTTTGTAGACCAATTTAATGAAGACGATAGATAATATTTTTCAAGCTTAAGAAAAGAGATTACTGTCTAACCATTTTAGGTTAATCTAGAAACTAAGAAAATTATAATACTACTATTGAGCAAATTCCCTCCAATTTGTCGTCTCGTGGAACAAGTCATATTGTGACAAAGGCAGCCAACTGGAAATAGCACTTGTTTCTTGAATTGATTGTATTGAAAGTCACATCATTTCAACTTGTTTCTTTGTAGCTAATTATAGACTTTGAAAATAGCCAAACTCATAAACTCATAAACTTATAAGCCAATTCAAGTGATATATTAACACAAGTTCATATTATTTGGTACCTCATATTATTTTCTTCTCCTTTGAGGATAACCAAGCCCTACATTCCCAGTGTTCCCCACTGCTTGTATCGGTTCAACCAAACCTTTTGTATTCTTCCCGAGCGTCTCACCCTGCATTTGCATTTCCCCCATTAAATTATAATTTACGGTGACACCACATAACATCAAAAATGATTAGATTCATGAGTTACCTCCTTCCAGCCCATGTTTCCCATAATCTTCCTTGCGTAACTTCCAGATCCAAATGAAAACTCCAATGCTTCCGCTGTAGCATCCTCTTCAGAAGCAGTATCATGCTCTTCCGTGTTAAGGCCCACCATTGTTCCCTTTTGACCTGGCCCAACACCATATCCACCATGCAAATTTCTTCTCTCCGCGGCTCTATCTCTGTATGAACAGCTTCTCTGCTGATAAACAACAAGAGCATGAGTCAAACATATCAGTTGCGACTTAGTATGGTTCTAATAATGACTAAACTACACATACTCTTAAGTAGATTCAAGTTTCTCACTCAAAAATATCTCCTACAAGATAAACTTAGGCTGTTTACATCCTTCGCAACATTTTAAGACTTAAATACAAGAATCCAACAATGACGGTGGGCTTGGGGTACCTGTTCAATTACGTTGACTTCATCTCGTGGCTTCACCGTGACTCTACAGTCGGGTTTTGGTTTCACCTTCTTAGTTTTGCGTTTTGTATCAGGATTTTGCCACGTAGTTGAAATATCAGGGAATCCCCAATCTTTTGTTGGGTTGGACGAGTCATATACTGACAAGGATGCTAGGTGTTTTGCACTAGGATTCCGCAGTTTATAGACTTGACCTGGAACACAAGATTTGAGAATTGAAATCCATAACAAAGCGCATAAGCTTACCATCTGGGGTGTCACGAGCAGCTAGAAAGTAGAAACTGGCGCTTTAACAAAAATCCATTCTAGGAAAAGTGTATACTTGTTAAGAGGAAAACAATAAACCTGTTCTTACTCGCACCAGGTTAAGCTGTGCTTCACAAACTGGTGCAGTTTTGAAAAGCGTGCCACTAGAAGCCACAGATGGATGAAGATTGGCGGACCGTCTTACTAGCCTCCCTACTAGCCTAGCCACCTGTTCATTTTCAGCTTTTCTGGATTCACAAACAAGTTTCCAATCCCACAAATCAACAGCTGAGATCTGAGGCAGGGTCTTCTCAGGGGATTCAGTGACTTGACCATATTGTGCTAGCCATAGTTCTTCCTCCCTTGACGGAGCAGCTACAAATGAAACTATGAGCATCAAAGCTACGAATATGAGCTGAAGAAAACACATCATCGAAGTAACAAGATTCCCTTAGACAACACAACCGGCTAGTGAATCAATTCATGATTTAAAATCAGCTTAAGAGAGAACAATACTATACAACATGAGGAATAAGGATTTATGTAGCTTCTTCATATATCTATAACTATAACCAAGAATATGTTGGCAGAGTTAAAACAGATGACAAGAACATAATTTAAATAACTAAAAAAAACCTTCATCAAAGTTGTCTTCCTGTGGATCAAAATCTTCTTCAGGAATCCATTCTCCCTCTTCAAGTTCCTCAGCATCATCGTCTCCTGAAGAACAAACATTTGTAGCTTCTCTCTTTAAATTCCAAACTTGAAGAGCAAATTCAGTTCAAAGCTTGCAATATAAAAAGGCTAATAAGCATTATCCCAGGCAAAGACCATTAGCTGACAACATCTTGAAGTCCTGATTATCAGCCCCAGAAGGTGTCTCATAGCTGGAATTTTTGGGCCGTTGGTTATTTCCAGCCAAATAAAGTTCAATAAGTGTATCTTCCAACCTGATCCAAAGGAAAAAAGTTCCATAAACAATATATACGAAGAAACATATATTAGTTACCATGATACTGAAATACATAACCTACCATGAGGAAGGTCGTTCCTGGTCAATTGAGCACCCTGTTGGCTCTTTCGAGCAAATAACGTATTTATCAGTTACCTATCATAGATGATAGATGTTAAGTAACAATTCACCTGAACTCTACACGTAAATTTACCTGAAGGAGTTTCATTTAATGCAACTTCATATTCATTATCTAAAACTGATAACACATTCTCAGCCTGAGCAAGGGAATTTTTTCTGGCAGAGTCATCTTCAGATAGATCACAAGTGACAACTTTTCCAGGAGGGTTCACGTTAGACTCTTCATATTCCAAGGGAACATATTCGCCATTCTCATGCTTGTAGTAACGACCATCCTTGCTACAATAGTACCAACCAGCAACTGGGTCATGATAAAACCCACTACTGCAAAATTGTCAAATCAAAAAAAAAGTTAGCATTTTAAAATGAATCAACGAACACTCAGCATCTCCCAAGGAGATTGTTCTTAGTTTTATGGAAATAAGCATCAATCTCAATAACATGCCTACTTTATTAATCATTCCTTACAGTTAAAGCTAAAATAGCAGATACAGTGCGATATCTTTTCATTGCAAATAATGTAAGCTCCTCAAGCAATCAAAATTACTAGAGATCCTCAACAATGGAAAAATTTCTACTTTTCGCTCCGATTTTCTATCAAAACTGAAGCGACCTATTGAAATTAGGTTAATATCCCTAGAGTGTGAAAGTGAAGTAGATTTGGAAAGAGACGTAGCCTGTGATGGAAGTAGAGCTGCGTATCATTGTCCCAGACGTAGGAGTCTTCTTCTTCCTTGACTTGTTCCAATTCTTTACCGTCGGGCATGAGGATTATTTTTGAGGGAATGTGTCAACGAAACCAACCAAAGATTGCTGAAATTAAAACCTGGATAATCAAATCGTACCGGATAAAAAAATTGTCAATCTAAGGAACATGCCTAAACCGGAGGGTTTCGGTTTAGGCCCATGAAGGTTTATTAGCTCAGGTTTTAGAGCTACTCAAGGAAAAGCCCAAGTCGACGTACATGATTGGTAGGTAATCAATGAATGACACTGAATTCCCCCTAACATAACCAAAAAAATTTTTTCAAAACACTATTATTTACTCTATGGTTCTGTCTTTGTTATTTGATTTAAAGTATTCCTGCAATTATTTTATGGATGATTCTTCACCCGCAATAAAAGCTAAAGAACCCTTGTTACAAACTTACAATAAAAAAAGCTATAGAGATGCAATTTATTAAATAATTTTTGAAAAAAAATCAGTAAAGACAACTGAAAGAAAAATGACGAATGCCATGACGTACGTACGTGAGTTTCAACTCCACTCCCCTCCACAAAGTTATATTACAGATTTTTAATTAGATTAGATGGAAAGTTTATTTGTAGTTTTTACATATCATTAAACAAAAGTTGGCAATGGTAACTCAAGAGCTTTTTTGCATTTTTTTTCTCTCATTTCTTCCGAAGTATTTATATTTTATTGGACTCAAGAAGACTTAAAAAAGAAATATATTGATGTTTTTAATAAACATATTCTCAAAATTCTATCGAGTCAAAAGTCAAGATTACAAGGTGATGGCTCTAAAAAGTTCGTGTTTCCATATCCACCAAGCGGTAGCTGCCAAACTTTTCTTTCTTTTTCTGCGTCTTGCTTCAGTCTCCAAAACCCAATTAGAACATACATTAATTATTTATATAGACATTCATACCTCTGGATTCTCAAACATCCAATCACATATTTTTTTTCTTTACGAAGGGAAAGTTTCTATACTTGGGTCTGCAAAACCCAGATCTTGTTTTCTCAGCAGCAAAAGATGGGAACTTCTGGCGAAGGCTCTGAGCTCCATTTCTTTCTCTTCCCTTTCATGGCTCATGGCCACATGATACCAACTCTTGACATGGCCAAGCTCTTCGCCACCAAAGGTGCTAAATCCACAATCCTCACTACACCTCTAAACTCCAATCTCTTCGAGAAACCCATCAAATCATTCAACAACGAGAACCCCAAACTCCAAGATATCTCCATCCAGATCCTCAGTTTCCCTTGCACAGAGCTCGGTTTGCCCCGAGGATGCGAGAACACCGATTTCATCTTCTCTAGCCCTGACCTAGGCAGAGGTAACTTGAATCAAAAGTTTTTACTCGCAATGACTTATTTCAAAGAGCAATTAGAGCAGCTCATCGAGACAGTGAAACCAGACTGTCTCGTCGCCAATATGTTCTTTCCTTGGGCGAGTAAAGTCGCTGAGAAGTTTGGTGTACCGAGCCTTGTGTTCCACGGCACAGGATACTTCTCTTTATGTGCTTCTCATTGCTTAAGGCTTCACAAGCCTTACAAGAAAGCAGCCTCGAGTTGTGAGCCCTTTGTGATTCCTGATCTCCCAGGAAACATTGTGATCATAGAGGAGCAGGTCATAGAGAAAGAAGAAGAGTCTGTGATGGGGAAGTTTATGAAGGAAATAAGAGACTCAGAGACAAATAGCTTTGGTGTGTTGGTGAACAGTTTCTACGAGCTTGAACCTGCTTATTCCGATTTTTTCAAGAGTTTTGTGGCGAAAAGGGCTTGGGACATAGGTCCTCTTTCTCTAGGGAACAGAGAGTTCAAGGAGAAAGCAGAGAGGGGTAAAAAAGCGAGCATCGATGAGCATGAATGTTTGAAATGGCTCGATTCCAAGAGATGTGATTCAGTGATTTACTTGTCATTTGGAACCATGTCGAGTTTCAACGACGAGCAGCTGATAGAGATTGCAGCTGGTTTAGAAATGTCAGGACATGATTTTGTCTGGGTGGTTAACAAAAATTGCAGCCAAGGTACGTATCATAGACATGATCTCTAACTATTATTTGCAACATAATCCTCTGTTTTTTCAAGAAAAAAGTAATGGTTTAGTATTCGAATTTTTCAAACGCTAACATACATACAGTAAATGTACATACAAACACAAACAAACAATTGAGAGCGGATTTGAAACTTGTTTGGTGTTTTGTGGAACAGGGGAGAAGGAAGAGTGGTTACCAGAAGGGCTTGAAGAGAGGACGAAAGGAAAAGGATTGATAATACGAGGGTGGGCACCGCAAGTGCTGATACTTGACCACCAAGCAATTGGCGCATTTTTGACGCATTGCGGTTGGAACTCGCTCCTAGAAGGCGTGGCATCGGGCCTGCCAATGGTGACGTGGCCCGTGGGAGCCGAGCAGTTCTACAACGAGAAATTGGTGACACAAGTGTTGAAAACAGGAGTGAGTGTTGGAGTGAAGAAGATGATCCAAGTTGTTGGCGATTTCATTAGCAGAGAGAAAGTGGAGAAAGCGGTAAGGGAAGTGATGGTTGGAGAGGAGAGGAGGAAACGAGCCAAGGAGTTAGCGGTTATGGCGAAAGATGCGGTGAAAGAAGGAGGATCTTCAGATATTGAGTTGGATAGGTTGATGGAAGAGCTTAAGTTGGTGAAATTGCAAAATGAAAAGGAGCAAGGAAGTTGAATGTATTGCAAGTTATAGGAACAATGTTTTTATTATTGTTGCTGGTCTTGAGTTACGTTCTTGAATCACATCAATTGCTTTATTGTTCTCTTGACTGGTGATTCTATATATGTCACACATGTTTTGCTTAATTTGAAAGAGTTTTAGAAGTATTTGTGACCTACTTTTGTTATGTGAAAAGATTGAGTATAAAAACTGAATTTGTGCTTGAGTGACCTTTTTAATTTTGTAATATTGGAAGAGGAACCTAAAGTTGGGTTTTTGAGCCATCAGGACACAAACCCACTATCACTTCCGTCTTCTGATTTTGCTCTTTATATTCAAAGTTTAAAACTAAGAACGCGAATCACAATGATTCCACTACGATGGGTACACACTACCATTACTTTCTAACGTAACAAATAAAAATATAACATAGAAATCATACATATTTATCTTCAAGCTAAGCTGCCTCACTTTCAAATTTTCCTTTAGTAAATGTGCTTTAAACATTTTTTTTGTTACAACAGTTTACGTGATTTTCATCGAACTCTCTCTAAAAGTCAGATTCCATGAAATAGCATCAGTTTTATAATTTTTTGATAAAGAATATATAGCATCAGTTTTATTCCTTATAGTTTTTGTTTACCAGAATTATGTCCTACCAATTTTTTGTTTCCTAACAAATTGTCATAAATTGTCTAGTTCAACTACAATTATATATTTTCTATTTATTTCTTGACATTTGTACTATTTGTAGGGGTTCTAGAAGACTAGACTAGAACCGTATGAAAGCTTCTTTGTTTTTTTTTTTTGTTCGATCAGTTACTTCATTATTTTCAACTATTCCATCTTTGGTCTCCAAATTATATCATAAGGCGAAAGGCCAATATGCGTTCTGTCAAGTCTGCTAAAACTTCCAAATGTGGTGGACCATCCATCAACCCTCGTGTTTTGAACTTATTGACCCACCTTTCTCTCATATAAAGACCCAAATCATTAAAAAAAAACCCATTACAAAATCATTGTGAATCGTTAATCAATGACATTAATCCGGTGATTATCGTTAGTATTAGTCTAACGTTCTCATGCTGATATTAAATTTTCGTTAGTATAACTTAAAACAGATGTTGGTACCAAAGGCTTTGAATTCTCTCTGCTACTAGACTCCAACAACTGAGACATATTGACGTATGCAAAGACGTATCCATTTACCCAAAATGAGCCCCACGATAATCCAAGCTTGCGTATGTACTTTTTACGTTACATACAGAAATACTTACTAATATTACTAATAATAACAATAATAATATATATATCAGCATGCGGAGACTCCTACAACCATTCATTTTGACGAGGAAAATTATTTCTTCTACGAGCTTCAGAATCTTCCATTTCTCAGAGCTCATCTCATTTTTTTTCTTTCTCAAACATGAGTAGTAATAATCCTCATCATCATAAGCTCCATGTTATCTTCTTCCCTTTCATGGCTTATGGCCACATAATACCAACTCTAGACATGGCTAAGCTTTTCTGTAGCAGAGGAGCCAGATCCACCATCATCACCACACCTCTCAACTCCAAGATCCTCCAAAAACCCATCGAGTTATTCAAGAACCTGAACCCGACTCTCGAAATCGACATCCACATCTTCGATTTCCCCTGCGTCGATCTCGGTTTACCGGAAGGATGCGAGAACGTCGATTTCTTCACCACAAAAAACAATGAAGACAGAGACTACATAACCTTGAAATTCTTCTTGTCGACAAGTTTTTTCAAAGACCAGCTCGAGAAATTCCTCGAGACAACGAGACCGGACTGTCTTATCGCCGACATGTTCTTCCCATGGGCTACCGAAGCTGCTGAGAAGTCCCGTGTGCCAAGACTTGTGTTTCACGGCACTGGCTACTTCTCTTTATGCGCTGGTTATTGCATCAAGGCGCATAAACCTCAGAACAGAGTAGCTTCGAGCTGTGAGCCATTTGTGATCCCTGATCTCCCTGGAGACATAGTGATAACTCAAGAACAGATCATTGACGGTGACAACGAATCCGGGATGGGGAAGTTTATGATGGACGTGAGAGAGTCGGAAGTGAAGAGCTCAGGTGTTGTTGTCAACAGCTTCTACGAGCTTGAGCCTGAGTACGCCGATTTTTACAAGAGATTCGTAAACAAGAGAGCGTGGCATATCGGTCCGCTCTCTGTTATAAACAGAGGATTTGAAGAGAAGGCTGAGAGAGGAAAGAAAGCGAGCGTTGATGAAGCTGAATGTCTCAAGTGGCTTGACTCCAAGAAACCAGATTCAGTCATTTACATTTCTTTTGGGAGCGTTGCTTTCTTCAAGAACGAGCAGCTAATAGAGATCGCTGCAGGGTTAGAAGCTTCTGGCACAAATTTCATCTGGGTTGTTAGGAAAGACGACGCAGGTATCGAAATCAAACGCTTCTTGAATTAATTATAATACCACTGGGTTGCTCTGTTTTGGTCTAAAAGATGGTTTTTTTGTAGTGCTCTGTTTTGGTCTTAAAAATGGGGTTTTTGGTATGAACAGGTGAGAAAGAAGAATGGTTACCAGAAGGGATGGAGGAGAGGACGAAAGGGAAAGGGATGATAATAAGAGGATGGGCTCCACAAGTGTTGATACTTGAGCACCAAGCAACCGGTGGGTTCGTGACGCATTGCGGCTGGAACTCGGTTCTTGAAGGTGTGGCTGCAGGGCTACCGATGGTGACGTGGCCGATTGGTGCAGAGCAGTTCTACAACGAGAAATTGGTTACACAAGTGCTCAGAACGGGAGTGAGCGTTGGAGCCACAAAGCATGTGAAGGTTATGGGAGATTTCATAATTAGCAGAGAGAATGTAGAGAAGGCGGTGAGGGAAGTGTTGGTTGGGGAAGAGGCGGAGGAGATGCGCAGACGGGCAAAGAAAATGGCGGAGATGGCTAAAGCCGCCGTGGAAGAAGGAGGGTCTTCTTTTAACGATCTAAACAAGTTCTTAGAGGAGTTTAGCTCATAATACTCCTAAATCTTTATTTTTTTAAAAAAAAATTAAGAATCCCCCAACGGAAATAAAATAAGACATAATGTAAGATATGTGGACTAATCTATTTACTTCTAAATAATTTTTTAAATTATTGATTTATTGATTTAAAGATTCAGTCTTGAGATCTAGTAGATGGAACCGTGTATGTTTAGGAACAAATTTCCAACTGTTGAATGTACGAGGCTACATTAAATGCTGGTACATGTTGTAGTCGGAACTTTATTATAGTTGTCGTAGATTCACCATCACACTGGTACAGTTTAAGACTTCCCTTAAGAAAAACATGTATCATATACCGACAAAAGTATGTAACAGTCACACACATACTTCTTGGCAAAGAATGGTGACACATATCATTTATTTTTTTTCGGTAAGAAGTTAGAGGAATCGTCAATTTCAATTAATTATATATATACATATGTATTATGTAGTTAAATCTGTAGCATAGCTTCTGCTACTGTAAATATATTATCAGACACCAATAGTTTTGAGCTCTGAGTCTGAGAAATGTTACACCTAAAAGTATAATAATTTTGCTTGTGGAAGCAGAAAATTGAGAGAGAACAAATAGAATTGCCATGACAGATTAAGGATTCTGCTCTATGTAGAGTTCTCGGCTTCCCGTTTGATCTGCAGTGCAGCGCTTACAACGTTTTCCCTTGTTAGGATCCCATTCTTGTTGCGCGCAAACAAAGCTTTTAGAAACTGAAAAGATCAGACGAAATCAATCTGAGAAAACAAAAAAGAGGAAGAAAAGAATGCGACTTTGAGATTCTCACCAGTTTCTCTGCATTTACGACTAGAGAAAATTTGTTTACAGATCTTGTGAGAAATGTTGCTTTCAGGGTCAATTTCAGAGATATTAGCCACTAAAAAAACCGGTTTGTGATCATTACTCCTAACCTTCTACCAATTAATGTTTGCAAATTTATTGAGAAAAAAATAAAGAGGAAAATACCTGACTGCATTTTCAAAATTGGCGGAATCACGGACAACCAGAGGACGAAGGCGTCATCAAGTCGCCAACAACTTTTCCATACGTCTTACTTATCAGTTTCTGATCTGCGTTAAATGTCTGGCGAAAAGAGAATTTGAAATATCATATAACTAACCTCCTTCTTGGAAGTTTCATGCAAATAAGAGAAACACTCGACCTCAAGTAAATGCAAAACTATAAAGAAACATACTTAGGTACTGTGCAGACTATGGAATTACATGTTTGTATCATTTTGGCTGCGGCCTAATACGAAAAAGACAAGAGGTTAAGTTAATTCATCAAGCTGTGCCATACAAAACCATACACGTTCTGGATAACAAAACTAGACAAGAACACTATGTACCAACAAAACTAAGATCCACCAGAATCCAGAACTGAAACCCTACAAAAATGATTGTAACTCAACTCTTTCCTAACTGATTAAAAGTTTTTATTGTATGATATAGTGATTCGTATACTTTGGTGATCATCACACAAGAGTTTTTTTTTGTCTCTCGGAAACAAAACCAACAGTAGATTCAAAAATAATTTAGTACAAAAACCTGTATACATTACCAGAGATGGAGTCAACTGCAAGCATATCGTGATCAGAAACAACACCAACCTGCAGGAGATACAACAGCAGAGGAGTAAGTAAGATATCAGATAGGTAATGGGTACTAAAGTGGCGACCATTATTCTTAATATCCAAATATCACTCATACCACACACACACACCAGCAGAAGCCACTGGTTCTTCTTCAGTGGTCGTCACTACCAATAATCCCTGCAAGAACAACTACCATCCCTAAAATGGTGGAACCGATTAGTATCTCTCACAATGATTTCCCTCTCAACCACCTTTGACGCTAACTTGATTGCTGAATGGCAATCTCCACAAACCCGGATGTTCTTCTTTATGTGTATGGTTGATTCAGGAGGGGTGTTGAGAAGTGCAAATGCCAATGCAATTTTCTCGCTATGATATTGTAAATTCACTTCCCTCTCTTGTTGATCCACATGGACTACTACATGACTGGTGTCTGGCACATATCCTATCTCCTTGATCTTTGCATAAATCTCTTCCCACTTGCGACCAATCTCCTCCCTCTGTGGGTGACATTCATCATTTGCCACAAACATGTGGATTGCGTTCTCAATCTCTACCCAACTGCACGCAGGTTCCTTCTTCACTCCAAATTCCTTCATCTTCTTTCTCACTCTTGCAGCATCGTTCCATCTGCCACCTGAGGCATAGATGTTATATAGTATTACATGGGGACCAGGGTCATCAGGGTCAAGTTCAAATACATGCTCGGCTGCATAAGCTCCCAATTCCGTATTCTTATGCATTCTACAAGCATTAAGCAGGGCTTTCCAGATGGCTGCAGTGGGTTCTATTGGCATTTCTCTGATAAATCTCAACGCCCTATCAAGAGCACCTGCCCGCCCAAGAAGATCTACAATCGTGACGTAGTGCGAAGCCTCGGGTATTATCCCATCTTTCTTCATCAATTGAAAGTAATGCCACCCTTCATCTAGAAGACCAGAATGGCTGCAAGCTGTAAGCACGGAGAGAAACGAGATTTCATTGGGAGGAATCCCGGCCCTCCTCATTTCTTCAAACAAGCACACTGCTTCTTTTCCAAATCCATGCTGGGCATAAGCAGTGAGCAGCGAGTTCCAAGACACCACATCCCTCTTAGCCAATCTATCAAATATTTTTCTCGCGTCATGGATGCTTCCTGATTTTGCATACATGTCGATAAGAGTGTTTCCAGCGAAAGCCACAAGCTTTTCACCGGATTTAATCATATACGCGTGCACCCATTTCCCTTGCTCCAAGAACCCAGTACTGGAACAAGTGCCAAAGAGGCTAGAGTATGAGAAATGAGAAGGTCTGAAACCCTCTCTAAGCATCCGTTGAAAAAGCTCAAGAGCCTTCTCCGTATCACATCTCCTAGCATAGCCAGCGATGAGCGCATTCCAAGAAACATCATTCCTGTTCTCAAGAGCATCAAAGACCAACTGTGCATCATCCATAAGACCATAGCGGGTGTACAGGTCAAGAAGAGAGCTACCAACGTGAACATTCAAATCAAAGCCACACTTGAGACAAAAGCAGTGAAGTTGGTGACCACAACATCCCCGTGGCTCAGCAGCAGCAGCTTTTACCACGCTAGACAAAGTGAACTCATTGGGACAGAATCCGTGTCTGAGCATCTGATTAAACAAGAGCAGCGCGTCACGGGGACGACCATGCTGTGAGTAACCAGAAATCAAGGTGGTCCAAGTGACAAAGTCTAATTGAGGCATTTGGTCGAACACCTTTCGAGCGTCTTCCAAGCTTCCGCATTTGGCATACATATTGAGGAGCGTGTTATTCATAACAAGATCACAGCGGAACAGAGACTTAGTAACTTGGCCATGAACGATCCTTCCCTGAGCGAGTCGCTTGGAGACGGCACATTCCTTCAGAAATATGTTGTAGATACGTCTGACCGCGGGATTACCATTGCCCTCGACGTCATGGTCATTAACACGAACGCCATTGCTACGATCATTGGATGGGAACTCTAAAGGCTCGTCTTCGAAATCATTATATGCCGGAGCCGGAACAGAACCTAGAGCCCGATGTAGTTTCAACTGAGAAAGGAGACGAGACGGGAAACGCAGGGAACTTGAGAGCATCACTGATTTAGTAAAAAAAGAAAATTGTTGGGAGATTATTATTACATATTTCTTTCGTCTTTCTGCTTCTGCTTTTCAAGATTGGGAACGTGAGAGAAGAAAGAAGAGAAAGACAGAGCAATTTGTATAGTTCGATTCTCTTTGGTCTTTGTGTTTGGTGATAAGAGTAGACTTGTGGTACAAAAAATATAATATGTATCAGATACTAAGTTGTCTTGAATCAGAGTCTGAGAAATGTTACTCCTAAAAGTAAAATTTTGACTGTGGAGGAAGAAGAAAACTGAGAGGGAATGTGTACACATATATAATCTATATATACTTATCAATGGAATAAACAGATTTTGCTATTAACTATGGCAGATTTAAGGGCTCTGCTCCATAACTTGTGCTCTCTAGCTATGTAGAGTTCTCCGTTTCCCGTTTGATCTGCAGCGCAGCCCTTACAACGTTCCCCCTTGTAAGGATCCCGATCTTTGTTGAAAGCAAACAAAGACAAGAAAAGAAAACAGAGATCAGAGAAAATCAAACTGAAAAACAAAAAGAAGAAGAAAAGATTGCGACTTTTGAATTTCTCTCACCAGTTTCCCATCTGAATCCACGACTGGTAATCTTCGGAACTTTGTTTCCAGAAGCAACCTGGAGACAAAATGGTTACAGATCTTGTAAGAAATGTTGCTTTTAGAGATAATGCCACATGGAGAAAAAAAAAGTCATATTCTCCGAGGAGGATATAGTACCTGGCTGCATCTTCTAGATTGGTAGAACCACGGACAACCAAAGGAGAAGGCGTCATCAAATCTCCAACAACTTTTCCATGTGTCTTACTTATCAGTTTCTGGAGTTCGTTAAACGTCTGCCGAAAAGACAAGTCCAAATATTATATAACTACTAGCACCAATCCCAGGAGTTTCATGCAAACGGGACCTCAAATAAATTGCGAGAAAATGGATAAGTAGAAACATACTTTCCAGGTACTGTCGACGTTAGGGAACATGTTTGCATCAGTTTGGCTGCGGCCTATAATAATAATACAAAAGACAAGAGGTTAAGTTGCTTCACTAAACTAATCCATTAACGTTCTGGACAACAAAACTTAACAAGAAACAAAAGATCTACCTATAGTATTCATTGTCTAATATAATGAAACTGAAATTGCATACTTTGGTGATCATCACACAAGGATTTTCTTTTTTCACGAAAAGAAAACCAACAGAAAATTTAAAAACTCTAGGTCAAAAAACTAGTATACATTACCAGAAATGGAGTCCAGTGCAAGCAAGTCGTAATCAGAAACAACACCAACCTGCAGGGGAAATTACAGCAGAGTAAATAAGATCTCAAAGAACATAAATACGTAATCAATCCACTAAGGCGATTTCTGTTTGTGACTATGGTTAATCACGAGCTAGATATTGAAGAATCCTTCGATACAAACGGAGGAACACAACGGCAAAAGAGAATTTTTTTACCAGATTCCAATCATCATCGATTACAGGCAATCCTGTGACTTTCTTCTCAACCAGAAGTTCCAATGCTGTTAAATTCAATTAAGATTAACCAAAAGGACAGATTTTAGATACATGGTTTGTAGAAATTAGAAGGAACGATAGTTTCATCTTTTAGCAAAATTACCATCATCAACAGAGGTTGAGGGCTTAACAACATGCAAATGCTCTCTCCGTGTCATGAAATCCCCAACGGTGTAACCCCCGTTTCTTGCCTGAACCCCACCAAAATCCACACAAATCTCACATCATCAAACAAAAAAGTTTCAATTTTTTGAGATATAAGGGTAAAACTGGAAAAGGCAGGTTTCACTCACCGGAACGGAGTTATTAACGCCGGCAGGAGCTGCGAAGACGGCAGAGGCGGCGATTAACGGTGAAAAAGTGGAGCGACGACGATTTGAGAGAGGAGAAAGTGAGAAGGATGTAGAAGTAGGAAGAAGGCATTGATTGAGTGATGTAAGTAGTGGAAGTCGCGTTATGGGCAGAGAATTGGACAAAGAGATCGAACCCATAATCGCTTATCCTCTGTAACTCACGAATCCCAATGAAAAAACAGTTCTTTTTTTGTTGGTGAAATCTGGGAAGGTATAATAAAAATTGCAAAAAGGAGAGAAAAGGTGAAGAAGAAGAAGAAGAAGGAGACGAAGAGAAGTGTTTGTGTTTTGATTGGGTGGTAAAATTCGGAGGAAAAGTAGACAAGTTGCGATAGGTGGTGGTGGTGGTGGGGTCACAGCCACATATCAATAATTTTCGTATATGGTTCGATTGGTCGGTCGCCTTATTTACGCTTCCTTTGAGTTTTTCCATTAGTCAAAAGTTTAAAAAAGTCCAATTTTGATCTAACAAGAAACCCTAATTTGAACCCTCTTTTGGTTTCAAGTGTTATTGGATTTTTATATCGTCATCGTTGACATGAGAAATAATATCTAGATGTTTAATCAAAACAAAATAATAATATCTAGAATTTTGACAACACAAACTGAGTTCACAAATATAGATTCATGAGGTGGTAAAAACTATAAACCAAAAGATGTATCAATGGTAAAGTGAAATAATGACATGAAGTGAGATCAGAGAGATCCATCATCAATCAAGAAGCAGTCGGATAAAAACTTAAATCTATTTTTCTCATTATACATGAACAGAAAATCTGTGTTTCAGTTTATAAGAACATGTTATTACAAGAACATGTTAAATCCACTAAGGTAAAAAAGAAAGAGGCTCGAAACAACAACTACAGTTTGTTCAAAAAAAAAAAAAACAACAACTACAGTCAAAATGGCAAAGAGAGGTATCATCAGCATTGGCCTTATTGATATCAAGTTCATCTTCCGTGAAAACGAGTAACCCGTCTTCGGTTCTCTTCCTGGGTCGGGTTTGCGGGTTGTTTTTGAATCCGTCAAGCTCGCTCCTTTTCCTTTTCCATTTCCTCCTTGCCATCTCTGTTTTCTTCACCGGGGTCTCTTTCTTCTCGGTGGTTCCGAGTTCTGGTTTCTTCTTCTGTCTCCCACCAAAGATATCATCAATCTCTTTCCCTAGTTTACCAGGTTTTGGAACTGGTTTGGTTTGTTGCAAGGCAGGTTTGTCTCCTGCTAAAAATAGCTTCTTCAAGAAAGAACTAGTCTTCTTCATATGCATATTATTGCATACAAATCACCTTCGAAAGCACAATCATAACTTATTTCAGTGTATATTCTGGAAAACATACAACGACTAACAAATACTGTTGCAAAAACCAAAAAATTTACAACACTAAAAAACTTCACCTTTTCACAAACCAGACACATAACATTGTCATTTGAATCAAAATATGAATGCATCATGCTTTGCTATCTAATTAAAACGAGAAATTCGAAAGGCCATAAATTTACCTGAGGTGCCACAGAGCCCCCAAAATTCGATCTTTTCTACTTGATGCAAACGATTCCACAGCTCAATTACGCTAAAACTATAACATCACAATAAATTTGGGTTCCCAGATTAATGAAGCTCAATATCTAGGTCCAGTTTCTACAGTTAAACGGAAGCAATTAAATTTGTTGATCTCTTAATTTTGAGATCGACACAAAAGGAGCAGGAGAAAACTTTTACATTTAGGAACGAAACCAGACAAAGAAGATCGAAGAAGAAGCTTCGGTTAAGAAGAATTAATCGAGAAGGAGAAGCAGAGTTACAAAACCCTCGCTCCAGTCGCTTGTGGGTTTAAATTATTTTGCTTATACCCCCATGATTATAATACTTACATCAACTAACCCTTTTTCTTAATATAGCTTTTATTACTTTTCTACACTGATAAATTTCAACCCCTCAACTTTATGCTTACATCAAAATAAACCATTCCCCTTTTTCTTAATCAAGTTGATTAAAAAAACCACATAGGGGACAAGAGAGTGATCCAATTATAGTCAGATTTCGATTTGTCACTCGTTTGTTGATCATGTTTCAGTGCTAACCGCATGTTGAGATACTACAAAGATTAATTGTGGTTAAGCAAAACAAAGCAGATACGTTTCTCCAATTTTGAATTTAAAAAAAACGTTTAAAACCACACAAAGTAGTTATGAGGAATCCAAATTCCCAGGGAGTAGAAAACGAATAAAGAGAAGAAACAACTTCACTTGTGATTGTATGGGAGAAACATAAGGCAAAGATCAAACGGAAGAAACAAGTTAGAGGTTCAAGGACGCGAGCTGCTCGGCTGCACCACCAGCAGCAACGCTCCTGAGAACATCCATAGCCTCTGCAACTTTGGCCTTGAGTGCTTCTGGTGACTCCAACAGATGGAGAACTTCAGTCTGGTCCATCTCCAAAAGCATCCCTGTCACTTTGGCTGCAGACTCTGCCTCCAGCTGCTCCACCAACGGGTACAGATTCTCACCCAGCATCTGTACACACACACACAACAGAGTTAGTCCCAACATTATAATAATCCCAAATAAAAGCAAAAACTCTCCGTTGGGCTTCTAGAGTTTCTCTCACCGTCCTCTGCTGCTCTGGAGAAGCATTAGCCAGATTTGAAGCCAAAGCTCCAATAGGCAATGGCACGTCATATGGAGGCACATCACCACCACTACCACGCCCTTGAGGATACCGGAACATCCTACCCCTTGGATGCATCTGATCACCACCCACAAAGCAAAAAAAATTCATAAGATGAACTATTATTGAAAGAGAGATGAGCAAGTAAAGCCGTTCTTATTGCAACTGAGAAAGAACCTGGTGCTGCATCATGGGAACTTGCTGCTGGGACTGTTGGATCCCTCCAGGGCGTCTTCCTCCTCCAGGACGCTGCTGCTGATTCTGAACCATTGGCATGAAGAAATTGGGTACAGGCCCCCCACCAGGTCTCATTCCAGGAACAAGCTGCTGTTGGTACCCATACCCGGGCTGTGGAATTGAAGAATCTCAGGTTAATCTTTTCCCAATAGTTTTGAAATAGAATTGGAAAGGCTGAAGTGTGAATCTAGCTAACTATGGATCTAAACACACAGAGATTATAAAAATTCTAGTATGACTTAAAAGCAGCTGGCAGCTTGTAATTCATTGTATCCAGGGTAGACGAGAAGCAAGTGAATTACCAATAGGTCGCACTCCGTACAACTTAAATGATGATTACCTGGGGAGGAATCATGTTAGGTGGGGCCTGACCATAAAACATTTGTTGTCCAACACCAGGACCACCCGGGGGAAATATTGGCATGCGAGGACCAGCAGATGGCGGCATTGCAACTGGCCTCACTTGGGCAAACTGAGCCTGTTCACATCATGCACACACTCAGCAGCCGGAGATAACAAAATAAGATAAGTATGACATATAAATACCAGAATAATTTCAAAAATAGAACAGGAAAACTCCAAAAACATGAAGAAGTGATCAACAAGGGTGATAATATAGATGGACATTAACCTGTAGTCTAACCCTTCTGTCTTCCTTCCGCTGTGCAATAGCAACATAGAGTGGCTTGCTTTCAATCATTTTACCACTCAACTGTGACATCTGTACCATATTTTACTGTTAGTAACAATGGAAGTCCTTTCCTCCCACACATACTCAACAAGATGATATAACTGACTTACAGCTTCAGTTGCTTCTTCGGGAGTTGAGAAAGCAACAAAACCCGAGCCTTTGCTAATTCCATTAGGATCCCGCATCACCTGTCATATTATATGAAAGAGCTTCTTATATAGTGAATCAAGAGAGTCAATTCACTGCAGATCAAAAGAGAGAGGATACTGAACCTTGCAAGATGTAACGGTACCAAAAGGAGAAAATATCTCTTTAAGTTTCTCGTCAGAAATGCTAGGATCCAAATTCTTCACATACAAGTTTGAACTTTGAAACTTGTCTGCAGCTTCCTTCAAATTCTGTTCATAACGGACCCTTAGTTCTGTTTCCCTCTCGGACTTCTTCTGGGCTCTACCAACATACCACTCCTTATCATCAAATTTGTGCCCATTGAGAGACTCCACAGCCCTAGCAGCATCATCAGCATTTTCAAAGTTAACAAACCCGAAGCCCTTAGACTTCCCATCTCCATCTTTCATCACCACAGCACTTGTTATCTTTCCATACTCGCTAAAAGTGTTCTTCAAATCATCATCGGTAGTACTCTCCGCCAGATTCTTCACGTACACATTGGTAAATTTCGTTTTGTTAGCAGACGAGTCTCTTTCTTGTCTCCTCAGAAAAGGACCCACATACACTTGCTTGTCATTTAGCAACATGCCGTTCAGTTTCTCTATAGCTTTCTGGGCAGAATCTTCATCAGCATATTGCACAAACCCATAGCCTTTTGATTGGCCTGAAGAATCCACAGCCACCTTGCAGGACACAATGTTCCCAAAGGTTGAAAATGTATCATGTAGTGCTTTGTGGTCGATGGACAAGTCCAAATTCTGCATATTTATAGCCAGGTTCAGCACCAGAAAGAAAGAGAGGAACCCCAATAAAACACAAATGAAGAAAACAACTACTTTTTTACAGACTCTTCAATGGGATAAAACAAGATGCAATATTTTCGTAAACATCATTACCTTGATGAAAATGTTCCCAGCGCCGCTTCGGCGAACGCTAGGGTCACGATGAGAATACATAACCCTTATAGGTTTTCCATAAAGAGGTATGTAATTGAGTTCTTGGATTGCTCTTGCAGCTGCAACAGAGAGCACGACAAAGTACCATTAGAAGATGGATGTATGCAAGAGAAAGATTAAGCAGATGGATAAATTTCACTGTAACAGAATCAAGCACATTGCATATACATAAAAACCAGAAAGGATCAACATTTCCAACATACTAATTCCAGTATTAGTACTATCGAGCAAACTCTAATCCCCTTTTCTACTTTCGATAAAATAGGAAATGGCTTCCAATTCAGGAGGCTTACCATCTTGGGGATTGGTGAAGTTAACGTATCCATAGCCGAGCGATCTGCGAGTGGCCAAATCCCTACAGACTCGAACCGAGACAACTTGACCCATTTGGCTAAACGCATCGAAAAGCTGCGAATCGGTCACATTGAAATCGAGATCCCCAACATAGAGCGACGTCGTGCCGAACTGGGTGGCCGTTGCTCCCGCTGCCGGCGCCGGCGGAGAGGTGATAGCCACACTCGAGCCATTCGCAGTCTGACCCTGAAGTTGAACCTGCGCCATTCTCTTTTTGGATTTTTGAAACTTTTTTGACTTTTTTTGGGATTTTAATAACTCTTCCCTCCCCTCTCGTTATTAGACTGAAACCAAATCGAAAACCCTATAATCGAAAGAACAGGCTATAAAAGGAAAAATGAAGCGGAAGGCAAAATCAAACAAAAGCTAAGCGAATTTTTTATCTTTTTCTGTTGATATCAGAGGAGAGGGAAGAGGAAATGGGTAAGAGCTTGCCGGCGGCGAAGCCTGCGACGGCGAGTGAGATAGAGAAAATATTGGGGCGAGAGATTCTAGGCGAAACGAAGTGCGAAAGATGAAAGAGAAGCATTACGGTTTTCTTTTCTCTGGTTTTATATTACGAAAAAAAAAAATTTTACTTCCCTAGAACCCTAGAAATGGATTTCAGGGAGATCTCAGCCGTTGGATTGAGTATGAAGTAAAACGTAAGAAGTAAGATTGATTTTTAGAGTTGGTGATAAGGTCTTCTTCGTTCTTGTCCCTTACGGAAAAATCAGACAAACGCGCGCGTGTGTGACACCTTGGCATTTTACCAATTTAATCTGATTAGTGTGACCAAGTTTAATTAGAATAGTATGAGTGATACAACCAAAAAAAAACAATTTAGTTGATCAGAATATTCAATGTCATCATTACTCTAATTATCTTCTTGCGTAAATGTCTGAATTGTAAATGAAAAATAATAGTGATAAAATTTTGATTATATGATTTGTGATGTTCCTCGATTTATAATTTAGTTTTAATGACATTCACAATCAAGATTATGATAGGATGACGGCATTAGAACAAATCAGTGGACTACCAGTCATTCGCACTTTACATCTTTCTTTGAATTAGAACTTGCTAATAAGAAATGTTAAGATAGCCTAATCTAATAAGAAATGCTAATACATAATCTTTACCACTATTCTTTGATTTCTAAGCTTCTTGTTGGATTGCAGTATCAGCATCTCCCTTACGCCCCATCAAGGCACCACCATATCTTGCATCCTCACTGCTTTAGTTTTGGTGTTGGACTTGGTTTTGGTTTCCCTGAAGTTATGGAGTCTCCGACCAATGAGATAACGTTCATCACGGATGGAGTTGTGAAGCTTGTTGAACCAGACATGGCATCTTTTTGCACAGAAGTAGAAGAGACTCACGGAGAGACAACATATCCAAGCAAATCTGTAGACCGTCGAGTTCACAACTAGCGAATATCCGAGCATCGGGAACACTCCCTTGGCCAGGAGATAGGGCACGCATAAAGCTGTTAGGAGTTTCATCAAGATCGGATATACAATCACTCTAAGTACCCATAACCCTTGAAGCCTTGAGAAACCGTCTCTTCTTACTCTCTCAAACCTTATTCTCCAGCCAATACCCACTATTGGAAGCATATGATTCAGCATTACCTGTCCATTATCGTCATTATTTTAGTGATACGATGTACCTCTTATGTGGCAAAAAATGCTAACAGGAGCAAAATACTTACCAGTCTTGTCCATATCTTCAAGAAGATGAGCCCAAGAGCCCAGTCTTGATAAAGGACGAAGACAGGGCTTTCATCTACTGGGACTCTCATTGGAACAATCACCAAAAGCTCAAACAGAAGTCCGATAAGTACCGGAATGATAAAAACCTGTTCAGTCGGCATTTTAAAAACATAGACTCCAGTGTCAAAAGAGTTTAAGAGTATCTCAAAAATCTAAAAAAAAAACAACATCACAAACCACTGACCCATATGGCTAGCAGCACCGAGCTCTTGAAGACAATCCCACACCATTTCCATATTTGGTTAAGCAAGACTGAAGTCCTCTTCGACTTGACATGCTCAATAGTATACCTGGCCCCAGATATGGTAGTCCAAAAGGCATATGTGCCAATGACGAATGCATACAGGTCTACAGATTAGGAGATTCTGTTAGTAATGTGTGAAAGTTTGAAAGATCGAGGCAGAAAATAAAAATTAACAGACATTACCATTGCATTTGATGCCATGCGTTATTGGGAGAATTGAGATGGCACTAAATAGAGCACGCCCAAGCGAAACAGCTACAACTATCAATGCTGAATTGAAGAGAAGAAGAGTGACCCATGCAACAAGTAGAAGGAGGATTATCCGGAGCACAAAGTTGTACCTGCTAAAAATTACGTTCATGTCAGGGCAAGGCCTAATTGAAAACTTGATGCATCTTGTCAACTCGATATACCAAGCAAAAATTCCAGATGAATTACTTCAAGCATGCACAAATTCTCAGCATCAAAAACATAAGCTTACTAGCTTATTCCTTAAGTACTTACTCTGAATCAGACTGTTCTTCATCATCTTCATATTCCTCCGCCGTGTTGACATTCCCAGCTGCTGGAAGGGCAGCCATGGCCCTGTCAGGTCCACCGACCTGCAATACTTGTGCTCTGTTCTGCCTTCCTGGTTCACCATTTCCATTGTCCTGACCAGTGTTGTCCTCAGGTCTTGGCAAGAGGAAGTCTGTCAAACCGAGCGCCCAACCCACACCGGTGAACCAGCATCGTAGAAGAGATTTAATAGTGGTCCGGAGTCTGAAATGCTCGATAATAAATGGTATGCATATTTGAAACAGGAGCATGTCGGCCGGAATCTCAGTGAATGGGTCGGATACACTGCATAGATGCACAAGTTAGAAAGGATCAACTCAAGCACAAAATTTCGAAAACCAAGAGGTTAGTCCATATTTCTTACGATATGTCGAGTGGGAAGATTGAAGGAGCCATCCGGATCGCAAGTTTGACTGGTAAAAATACAAGCATGACAATCAAACTCCCATACACTGCAACAGATAACAAAACCCTTCGAGCATGTTTGTGTACTGGGTCATCAATCAAATCTCGGAACGGATTGTAGTTAGGATCTGCAGGATCACGAAGGAAATATAAAACTCCAGGGCGAAGAACCTGTAATTGGCACAAAAGTGGAAAAAACAAAATATTAGGCGGAGAAGACACATGTGGCTATTATAAAATTATGACCAGGGAAAACACAGTACCCCTCGAAGAAGGCTGACGAAGATGCTTATTTGCAGCATGTACATGATTCCAACAACCCAATGAACAAGTGAGCTTGCCAGTGGAGAAACTGATAAAAAGTGTACTCTGTGGGACATTGTTTTACCAAACATCCTAACCGTACAAACATCTAGCCACCACCCACACATCAGGGGGAAGACCCCAAGCTCGATGACTAAAAGGAAGGCTACTTTAATCATAGTCATCAAATGCCTCATTGCTGCCAAGAACTGCCTAAGGAGGGATGGTACAGCTTCTACTATAGAAGCGATACCATAAAATCGCCCAATAGTCAGTGGCTCACCCTTGGCATAACGAATAAGTGCAATGATTCCTAGGTAAAGGAACACCAGAAAGACTATAAACATGTATCCAACAGTCAGAGTTGTAACATCGGATAGCTTTGATGATCCAGCAACAGAGCCTTTCAAGAGATCAGCAGCAACAGATAGAGTACTATTTGCTACATTCAATTCACTTCCATTGACTTTCATTATTTCTGTAAGCTGACCAAGCAGTCCACTTTCTTGGCCCTCATTGGTCAAATTTGAAACAGAAGTCAACGCAGTCTTCAGAGTGATATTTTCCAATGACAGTCCAGTATCTATAAACTGCATTGATGCGGCCAAGGCAGGGCCTCTAGCAGCAGCAAAAAGCCACGACACATGATACAATATAACCCGTCCCAATGTGAAGGGCACAAAGATTACAACACCAAGGAATATCATATTGCTTGCTAGAACCTGCAGAATTATGCACATCATGAAGATTTCAACGAGAGGCCAAAAGTGATCGACAAGGGAAAATAGAAAATAAATAAATCAGCAAGAGGATAAACATCTAACTTACAGTAAAGGCATTCTCAACCAAATGAAACACCGGACCCTGCATTCCAACCAGTTCGTCAAATGGAACGTCTTCTGCACCATCAGCATCGTCCAAACCATCAAACATTTGTTCGACCTGAGCCTCGAGACGGGCAGCTTGTATATCCAATCTTGCCAGAACATTTTCAGGATTCCGTCTATTGATCTGACCAGCAGCACCCTGATCTCCACCATCTTCGCCATTCCCCTCGCCAGCAAGATTCCTATTAGCCTGTCCAGCCGGTCTCCTTGCAGCACGAGCACCATTTCTCTCCCCTTCATCTTCTCTCTCTTCTTGTCCTCCCAACTCTCGCAAATGCCTAAAATAATCCCTCAATGAAGTCGCTCCAAGGAAGATGAAGACAATACTAGCCGATAGTAGGAACCCATGCAAACAATCAGTGAGAATGACTGTGGTGGAGATGTGGCTTAAGAACAACCTCTGAGCTTCACCAAAACTCCGCACGAAAGCCAATCGCCATATCCAAAATGTAATGAAAGGAATAGTGAGAAGCCAGACAGAAAGCACAAAACTCAACCGCAGAAAGAACTGCAAAACATGGTAAGCTTTCATCGCAATGCCAACTACAAACTCCTGGAAAGGGAGCCTTGTGGGAGCATTTTCAGCATACACTGGGGAGAACGAAAAAGGATGCTTGCAAACCTGGCAGATCAAATTAACAGTAAGCAATCACTCTATCGAAATTGAAATGTAGAGTTTAGGCTATTTCTGCTCACTACTGAGGGAAAAATACATAAATTGATCAAATCTATCATCAAATCGTGACAATACGAAATACATTAAGGTTACCAAAAACCAAATAAAAGCAAAGCTTTTACAAATTACTCGATGCCAAGCTCAAAACAACAGAACTCACACCAACTACAATGCGTTTGGTTAAAGATGAGAGCACAAAGATCGTATGGAATGGCCTATTCATATACACAAACCATCTAGAAGAATCAGAAAATCAATAAAACAAAAAAATTGAACCATAAGAAAATTCCATTCGAATCAAAGTTCCTCAAAGACATCCACAAGAATATAGATCTTAATAATAATCAGAAAACAGAAAATCCCTGCACATGCATCTGTCGAGAAGCCCATCAATCAATAATAAAGAGGAAAAGAAACAAAACCTCGCATTGACGAGCGTTGCTGTGATTAAGCCACTGAAGGAGGCAATCCTGGTGCACAAACTTGATGCTCCCGCTGCAAGCGCACGGATACCGTAGCGGATTATCCGTATCCCCTGGATTTCTACAGATCCTGCAAACGTCCTCCTCATCTTCGTCATCATCAACGTACCTCGACCCTGCCGCCGTCGCAACCGCGGGATCCATGGTGGATAAAGCAGTGGGAGAGGCCTGATTCGGCGACGACGTAGAAACGGACGAGGATGAAGGAGAAGATACCGAAGGTTCCGATACGACCTCAGAGGCGGCAGCGCCAGAGATGGATAGCGATTCGGCCGAGGAAATCTCCATGGAGAAATCCGGGCTATGAATTACGAAGTGCTCAGATGGTGTTACCGGCGGCGGCGGCAGGTGATGGGGGGAGACGAGTCGACTCGGTGAGTCTGGAAACGCCGAGCTCTACGAGAAAAGCGGTCGTCTATCGCGGATTATTATTATCCTCTAAAAAGGAAAAGAAAAAAAAAAAAGACGAAGGCACCGAGTAAATTGATTTGATTATATGGCTGGTCTAGACCGAACTTGTAAACCGGTATTTTGACGAGATTGACCTTCCCTCTTGTTCATTTATTGACGGTTTTTGTCGGTTACGCGTCTTTAGTACTTGGGCTTGCAACGAAGATAAAAAGAGAAGCCCAAATTTCTAAATTGACGTGTGTTTGAAGCCCAAAATTGATCAGCTCTGAGAGTATCCCCTGAGAGTAAGCAGAGAGTAAAAATGGAGGAGAGAAAAAAACAAGATAAGAGAGATAAGGAGACATGGGTTCGCTAGTGATGCACATGACTCCTTTTAATGCTCTCCCTTTGCGCCATATCAGAGCTAGCGTCTCGTGTTGCTCCTCTGGTAATCTCGTTTTCCTCTATAATATCTTCTATTCATTTAATGTGATTTGTAGGAATACAGAAATGTCGATTGTTTGAGATTATGCTTTCTCTTTGTGTTGTCAAATGAAGTGAATTTCTTTAAATTTAATCTTTGGTGTAAGTAAATTGATGTGTAATAAATCTTCAAATGCACATTGGAAATTGACTTACCAGTAGAGTTGCTGTGCAGGGCATGTATCATTCATCAAAGATGTTGCTGCCACTGAACCTCCAATGCATCTTCCTCACTTACTCAAAGTTCTTCAAACAAGAGGTTAAATTTTTCCCTTATTATGTCCAAATTCATGGTTTGGGATATAGAACGGATATGTGGCTACTAATTCATCGTTATAACAATATGTGAAATTTTTGTATTCTAGAATTATTATAATGGAAATGGGAAACTTACGGATGTTAAAACCTCAAATGTTTTCATATTACATCTGCAGGTGAAACCATCATATCTCCTGGAGCTAAGCAGGGACTGATCCCTCTTGCTATTCCGCTTTCGAAGGATTCTTCAGGTAAGACTCACGTTTGATCGATTCCATTAGGTTTCTTTTTTAGCAGCTGCTGTTTAATTTTAGCTTTCCGGTTTATTGTATAAGTAGGCTTGGTTACTGCGCTTCTGAGATGGCCTACTGCTCCACCAGGGTATGAGATTTTGATCTTTCTTGGTAACTCTTGCAATGGTAAACATATGTTTTTGGATATTCTTGATTATTAACTTTTTGTATCCAAGAACAGAATGGATATGCCGGTTGTTGAAGTTTGGAGGAGTGGAGTCCGGCTTATAGCTAGAAATGTAAAGTCATCTCATTCTAGTGTGTCATTTTTATGAGGTTTATATGTCTTGTAACCAGATTTTTATTTCGGTGAAATAGAGAAGCAATTACCAGTGTCTGATATTCAGGTAGATGAGTACATTCACCGGATTCTGGTTGAAGAAGATGCGCAAGAGTTGACAGAACTTTATCATGCTTCAGCGGAGGCAGGCGAGAAGCTTTACACAAAGGGTGCTTTTGCTGAGTCTCAGATTGAAAATCTCGATGTCTATGTCTTAAAAAAGGCAAGGCTTAAAAACCCATCACTTATAGATGAAAAGCATTATGTATACCACAATAAAGAGTTTTTAGTTTTTTTTTGTATTGTGTAGGTTGGACTGTTTCCAGATGTGTTAGAGCGAAAAGTATTAAGGCATTTCGAAGAAGGAGATCATGTAACAGTCTTTTAAGCATATAATTTCACATTCTATATCTCTGAATCTCCCTTGTGAAACTTTTTAAAGGACTTTTCTTTTTCCTGGAAGGTTTCAGCTATGGTGACAGGAGAATTCTACACAAGGAAAGACCTCTTTCCGGGATTTGGACGGCCATTTGTATATTATGCAAACATACTGCAAAAGTCTGTAACGTTACTTACATACAGCATATTTCTTTTATTTATTTTCTTGGGAGAAAGATGCAAACACTTATCTTAGGATTCTTATTTGCAGGTTAGGACGTAATTCAGAAGCAAAAGACGCGGCTAGAGTAGCATTGAAATCACCTTGGTGGACTTTAGGATGTCCTTATGAGGCATGGGTTTATGTCTCTCCTTCTTCTTTTTTCGTTTGTGCTGAGTTTTACAGCGAGGAGACATTTTCATGGTAATGGTAATGTGAAAACATGCAGGAGGTTGCTAGTATTGCGCAATGGGAAGACGAGCAAATAGAATTCATAAGGGAAAAAGTGAGTGAAGAAGGACGTTTTGAGGATCTGAAGAAAGGCAAAGACCCAATCCAAGTTGCTTTGGATGTTGCGGCTTTCCTCTTGGACTTGGCTTCGATTGAAGGAACTTGGTCTGAATCTGTAGACCATATTGCTAAATGTTATGAAGAGGCTGGGTTACACGATATATCCAAATTCGTTTTGTACACAGACCCCAAATGATAGGAAAAAAAAAGAAGAATAAAAAACATATGTTTCCTAGTATGAAAGAAGATTCATCCTACAAGTCTTTGCTAGAGTAAAATCAATAACAGAGAAACAAATCATTCGTCTCTCATGTGCTTTTCCCCTCTCTCATCAGGTGGAGTGTGTAGTCTTCGGACCAGATCCTCTGGAGTTCGGTGCTTTCGATTAAATGCTCTCATACAGACAAACCCTGCACATTATCATCATCACATTGTTACACGTACATATTTCAGATTAACAATTCACAACCAAAAAAAATTCAACATTAAACAAAGTTGGTTACCGGTCCAAAAGCATAGTCGAGTCCTTGATTCATCTAATAATCGAAAAATGGATGTCACTGATGAACCACAGTATAGTGCACGCTTCTCTAGCCCATCACACAATTCTCTGGGAAAGACAATAGGTTTCCAACTCGTCTCATGATCCGCAAAAACCTGAAAAAGAAACTTACATTTTCTTTATTAATGCTCAATGAAAAGCCATACAATTTTTTCTCAAGACAGAAAAGAAAAACACACTCGCCTCGTTGGTTTGGAAGTAGGTTCCATTGAGTGGAAAGCTCCCTCTCGTTGCTGTTCTACAAGGGATCTGTTCAATTGCATTCATCCATATTAGTTCAATTCAAGTCAACAACGTTACAATGATCAATCTTTAAATTCAATTTACCAAGATTGTTCCACGATAAACGTTGGAGCTTTGTTCCCTTATACTCCAACAATAAGAGCAAGTCTTAATATTGCAGAGGTTTGATCCGTCTGAGTTACACTTCTTTTGTGGTGGAGTAAACGAGTATGACGTTTCACCTAGAAAATATCCAATGAAAAAATTAGTTTTATCTTTATTTGAATGATGATCAAGTTAATGCTTTTGTGATATACCTGGCTGCCAAAGCGCAAGAAGGTATGGACTAGGATCATCAGGTTCTCTTTTCTCAAACTGTAATACACACCCAAAAACAAAATAAAAAGTGTTCTAAGAAATCATACAGACGAGTTGCACTTTTGGTGTTTTAAAACAGAGACATATATACTTACATCATGGAGAAGCTCATGGTTATCAGGAAGCAAATAGCTGCAAAATAAACAGTTAGATCACACATTCCCACAATATGGCTATAGAATATGATAATTGTGCAAAATACATAAAAAAAAAAAAAGACTTACACCACATGTTCAGTTCTTAGCCTACTATAATACTTTTCTTTACGGGGCAGCTTGATTGGAATGCAAGCATCTTTTGGAGTCAGAACTACTAATGCTTTTGATACCTCTTCGTTAGAACTGTTCAGCATCTTTCCACTTCTTAAAAATGCATCCACTACATTTTTGTTGAATGCATCCATGTCCATGACAATTTCAGGAATTTCAGCACAAGACCGACGAGGACTTCTGTAAGGCATATCTTCAATGTCTATTAGTTCTGGAATTTCCGGCCTTGGAGAAGAAGGAAACTCGACCACTGGTTCACAACAGTTAGTTTGATTACTGCATTCGAGAGAAACACATTCTTCTATCGAAGTTATCTTTGATGTAATGTTTACATCTCCCACATCAACATCATCAGAAGTTGAAGGCATAGAGGTATCTGACTCATGTGGCTTTTCTTTTGGACCTTCAAGAAGAACTTTGGAACTGAGAAAATAAGAAAACATGATAAGTCAACTTCACTCAAAATAATTTATACAATCTTTAAATAATTTACTCGTGTGATGCAGGTCTTTAACAGAAGTTCATGGATGATATAGCAAGACTAGCTAATGATCAATTAGAAGCACAGGATGATGGAATGACAAGACTAGCAAATGATCAAAACGAAGCAGATGCAGAGATTCCCAAATATCGAGAGGTTTGAAGATACTTCCGGAAGAAAAAGATTTGAAGATGCCAGTGTAAATGAGAATATTGTGGATTTTTTGGAATATAAGTTACTGTGTAAACTATATACCATACAAATCCTATGTTTTATTTAACCAAGTTAACGTGAGCATGATTTCATTATCTATAATTAAAAAAAAAAATTGTACCTGACATATGCACTTGCAAAATATTTGCACTCTGACTTCATCGGACATGCGTTACAATTGGGAATAACTTTTGTGCAAAAAACCTGTGGTTAACAAAATTTAGTCCAAATGAGTAATGATTTTGATTAATACGAAAAATTTTGTTGGGTGTACCTTTCCAAAGGTTATCATTTGATAATGTAACTCATACCTATAAAAATAATAGCATAAGATAATCAATATATGCTTCTATGGTATTACAAATTATTAAAATAAAAGTTAAACTTACAAAGTTTCTTGAGGGAGTTTACATAGTCGTGGCCAAATATACTTCTGAATTGAATCCATTGAAGGGTAACTAAACAAAATTAAAAAACTATCAGTTTTTACGTCTTTTGTAAACTATTGTATATATTTTTCAAAAATAAATTTGAAAAAAAAAACTTTACTGAAATAACTGATGCATTTGAACTCCATCTGGTAAAGGTTCAAGAGGAACCCAACCAAGTCTAACTGCTATACGGCCAACATTTGTGTCAACCTAAACATATACAACAAAAAGAAGGATTTAATGGTTAAGAGAAAATAAATAAATATTAAATGAAAAACCGTTATGATTTTTTTTCATACCGGGAAAGCAGAATGTTTAAGTCCTAACAACCGTACGCACTCAGCACTCTTTAACCCTATCCCTTCAATCTCCAATAAATATCTCCTGATAATAATATAATATAAAACTTTAAAAATGTTATTCAATAATGATATTTATATAATATAAGAACCCAAAATAAACATACTTCACTAGATCTGACGGAGCTTCTCGGAGCCATTCAAGATCCACAACTCCATTTTGGTTTGCTTCATTGTTGAGGAATTTCTTGAAAAAAAAAAAGATAAAACATGTTAATTTCAAACTTCTAGAACTATTTTTCAATAAAATTTATGAAAAAAAAAAAATAGTCTTACCAATATTTTTCTTGAAAGTTCATTGTGTTGCCCCCGTTTTATGATGGTGTCCGCAAGAACTTGTTGGCTAGATGACCTCACAGCATCCCAATCGACAGTGTCCACATGCATCATGTCCCGAGATCCTTTTTTTGTGTACATTTTTCTCAAATTCTTCCAATCAATTTTTTCATCCTCCATAATACCAGTTTTTTTGTTTTTCCGTTTTGCAACTTTCTCATGTTCTTCCATATTTTCTGGTAAGGAAGTAAACTCAACAGAACTTTTAGCATCAATATTTCTATCATGAGATGGTCTTTGGTCATCAAGAATGGAGTCATCTACTTCTATAGGTTCTTCAATGTAGTATGGTAGACATTCCAAACCTCTTTTTGCATCCAGAGGAAATTTTGCAGCCACACTTATGAAAGCATTGCTGTAAAAAATTATTATTAGAGCATAAAAGTTTATCTCAGGGATTTTTTAGTAGATTAAACTTAAATATTACCTTGAAAGATAGTCGGAAACATTTTGTGTCAAAAAAACTCCAACCACTGAATCAACAACTGATCCTTTCCACTGTTTAAACTTTCTATTGCCTGCAAAATAGTAACCAATAACATAATATGAGAAAAAAAATAATTAACCGTTTAATCATTACAAGACAATATATTTAAGCAAATTTTGAATATTAATACACCTTGTAAAAGATGCATTCGGTTGATGAAAAGCTTTATCCGATTTTGAAAGATTTCTCTCTCTCCATTCCACTTGGACTCTGTCTCTTCATCGGCGTATGATCTGCCTGGAAGATCATTTTCCATTAATAGCTCCCACTCCTTAATGGTTTCTAGATCAATATCAACCTTTGCAGTAACAAGCTGTAATTTTTTCTTTGTCTTGCCCAAAGTTGTTACACTTCTATTGATATTTAATCTGCTCATCTCTTTGATTAACTTGGCAATATCCTTAGTTTTTTTAATAGGATATTCTACAACAATGTAACTAAGAGATTCCATAAGGGTATCTGCAAAAAAAATATATAGATATAACATAACAATAACAAAAATAGAAAAATCCTAAAAACCAATGAAAATCTGATATTTTTAATCAAAGTCATTAGCAATTAGTGCAATAAGGTTGGGTGATAATTATAAGCTAAGCTTAACGAGGAGTAAGAGCCATTTTCAAGATTTTTTCTATGTTTTTTCCCAGAAATTTGAAAAAGAAAATGTAATTACCTTCAATGTGCAATGGAACATCTGCTAGAGATGGAAGACCATGTTCTTTTTGATAATTCAACTGTTGGATTAAATGCTCAACAATATCCTTCCTTCTTTTATTGCACGACTTTGGAGCTACAGAACTAGAAGATGTCATGTGTCTCTCTGAAAAAATACACAAATGATACAATTTGATTTAGTAGAGACAAAAAAGATAGATTTCAATGGATATGTGATAAACTATACAAAAAAAAATTACTACCTTGGATCTGAATTGGAATATCTGCCAGACATGTAAGTGCATTATTTTTCTCATGCCTTTTCTTTTTGATTTGGAGTTTGTCAACATCCTCAGTTTTTTTAAGACATTTGTTTGAAACTACACAAGATATAATAAAAGAAAAAAAAAGTCATATCAAATAGATTCATGACAAAAGAAATCTCAAGCAATCTCTTCATATTAAGGTAAAGAAAGACTTGACTATCTACAATGTGCAAAAAAATATCTACTACAGATAAAAAAACAATTACCTTTATAATGCTCCACAATACTTTTAGTTCTGTTTTTGCGTTTAGAGTGCACCATATCCAGATTTGGTCCTACATACAATAAAATTAGATATATCATCAAAGAAATTCAGATTAAATGCCTGTTAGATAAAAAAAAAATTTAGCAATCTATTGACAAGAAAAAAAAAAGAAGACTTAATTACCTTTAATCGAAAAAGAAACATCTGTTTGAACTGAATTGCCATGGTCTTTTGGATGAATTGCAACCAATGACAAGGTTTCTTCTAAGCATTCAAAAGCAATTCTAGCCCATTTGACCACATCTTTCCTACGATTAGACCTTCTTGATTGTTTTTTCCATATAGGCATAGGAAATGATATTGGTGATATCAAAATATGGAAATCAGTTCTACGAAATGTGGTCATCCTCCTTCTCCCTTTTGGAAAATTAGGCCCGGATTTTCTGCTGAACTCAAGACAAGTAGGAGCAATCTCTTCATCAAAGGTCAAAGTTCGAGATATAGTTCTATTGGCTTCCTTTTTTCTTCTCTTTGGAAAACTCTGCTTTTCTGGAGTTCCAGGCTCAACTATAGTCTCTTTTTCAATATCTTTCTCCTCCTTCCTTTTTTTCTTAGATACAGTTCTCATTCGGGTAGGATTTCTTGGTTTTTTCTCTTCTTCCATGATTCGTGGTCTGTGAAACCTCTTTTTTTTTAATATTTTTTTGGAGTTTTTCCTCTTGCCTTTGTCGTTAATATGTTGTGAATCATCTTTCACCATCATATAAAACAAACACGGAAATATAAATAACAATTGTGAATTATATATTAAAATATCCACACAAAAAAATGAAACCAAACATAAATTATATCTACGACTAGCAACTTAAGGTTTTCTAATATATAATTGTACTAAAATTGCATGTATAGTAGAAAAAGTTCGCATATAAAATATAAAATGAGCTAAATAACTTTTGTTGCAGTAAATGTAGAACTTTTTGTACTTAACTAAAAAAATTATAATTTAAACGATGAGATTTGAAAAAATAAATTTGCAAATAAGCTAAGATTGATAGAAATGTTTTCAGTCACAATGATTTACCTTGAGAATTTTTTGACTTAACATAGTTTTCTTTTTTTGAGTTTTTCTTCTCTTCTTTTTGATGAAGACCTAGTAAATCATTTTTTCAGCCCAAAAAAAATAAGATAAAAAAGAAGTCCATAATTATCGGTTATGCCTTACATATATTGAAAGGCGACAAAAAAATTAAAAAATTTTGTTACCTTTAGAAGTTTCTGACTCTTCACTCTTTTTACTGATATTGTCTATGTTGAAATCTGAAGCAGAAGCTGAATTCACCAATTCAGAAGGCTTGATCTCTTGTGGAAAAATTGCAGAATCATGGATGTCTTGTGGCTTTTTGAGAAGTTTAATAGATTTACGTCTAACATAGAATTTGAGAAACTGTCGAGGCTTAACCGGTGTTCCGATAACAACAAAACCAGGAACTTTATTTGAATCCTTTGAATCTTCCATAGTTATCTTCTCCGTCTTTGTTTTTTTTCTTTCACCTACACGACATACATTGATTAGTTAACATAACGAAATTATAGTTTCAAATTTTTTTATCAATTAGAGTCTCAAATCTTCGGGAAAAGGCCAAAATTGAATCCTTAAAGCCAAACCCAAAGAAACAAAAAAACAATGAAATTCGAAATTATTTGAAGTAAGTTTCGGATATGAAAAGAGATACTACATCAACTAGAAACGAAAAACTAATTATGTTACAGAAATTTGGAAGAACTATCGCAAGATGCATAAACAAAAACGAGAGCTAAAACAACATATAATTAAAGCTTACCAGAGTTTAAACGACTTCCGTTGCAGGGGATTTGCAGGGGATACGCAAAAGGGTTTTTGAAGGAGAATGGGTTTGAGGAAGCTCAAATTTTTAAATATCGGGTGCTTTGGTTTGGTCCTTTTCCGTTTCTTTCTTTATTTTTTTTTTATGGAAAAAATATATAGATAAAATCTTTGAAGCACGAGTAAATCTAACTGAATTAACGCTAGGTAGTTGTTTTTCCTTTTTCTTTTTGTTAAATACTAGTTATCGATTGATCGTTTTTAACTTTTAATATTAAATCAAAACATAAGTCGGCTAGATTATCGGAAACATAACTATTTTCTCTTCTTCAAATATACATAATTTGGGTTTTAAAACGAATCGATTTATAATTTTTTTCTTCTTCTGAATATCAAGAATAAAATACTTGATTATATTTTCAATGTGTTATAAGCTTATAATTAGAAAACAATCGTTAAGTGTAGTGAAATTTATATGAAAATGTAAAAGATTTACATTTAGAGGGACTTGTTTTGTCAACGTCTCTATTAGATATTTTTAGATCTTTCACTTATGAGTTTTGATAATATTAAAAGCGTTATTAAAAATTAGGATTTCTTAAAGTCTCAAGGATTTATAACCAGCTTGAAAAAAATATTTAAAATGTAAAGGAATTTTCCTATATTCTCATGGTATCTCTTTATTTTATTCGTTTAAAAATCTATCAGAATTTCAAATATTAGTTTTTTTATAATGCCATATTCTGCTGAGTCTATATCTAAAATATATGAAATTTCAATCATTAAATAATTAACTTAAGAACTGAAAAAAAAAATTAAACTTAAATTTCCCTTAAAAAATTACTTCATTCCTCGCGTATGTAACGAAAGAGTGAGATATTTGGTTGAAAATTTGCAATCAGTGTTCTTGTGCTGAAACGCCTGAAATTTAGCCATAATTTGTAAATTTCTGACGTCCTATAGTTATTTTAAATACGAGTTAGATCTGCGAAGAATATATCTATAGCATAATGCAACGTTACTTCTACGATTTCGTTCTTAAAATCTTAATGCAGCATGATGCAACGTATTTCCTTAAACTAATTTTTCTGCCCTCTCTTTTAACCAATGAAAGCTCAAAAGCAAAAAGTATATTAGTCATCTTTGTTTTAATTATTTATCTGAAACTACCTAACTGTGTTTAGTATTTCAAATAAATTTTCAAAGACTGCTGACCTAAATCTTCCTACTTCGTTATTCTCCTTCTCTCAAAAATAAATTTATTTTCTTAAATTGACAATTCCAACGACTTTCAACAGTTCAAGTGTATGATGATTGGTTGATTCAAAATACACCATTTTAGGGGAGGAAATCGTTCACATTCATGTGGAAAGGTGGTTAGAGACCTCCCAGTTTTTGTTCTTTATAGGTTTCTCAAAAGTTCAAATCTTGTAAAAGTAGTGGAGTTAGCTAATCTTATTATCTGCATTACAGCTGGTAACCATTTTTTTCGTCTATTAGTATGCATAAGTTCTTATTATTGTTTTCATATCAGTAGGTCTCTTTCAGAAAAACTTCATGATTGATATTTCTTTACCATCTGATTCTCATAGAGAAACACCCAAAAAAAAAGAGGAAGGATACATTATTTCTTTGTTCAGAAGAAAGCAAAAGAACAAGGACAATGTAGATATTACTTAAACAAAATACACAAGGGTCCATATAGTGTGGTTGGTGAAAATGCGTTTGAGAGAGAGAGGAGAGGAAAAGTAATCCAGTGCGGACAAACTCATGAGAGTAAGGGTAATCAATTGATCCGACGGCAGATGGTGATTCCATCACCAACAGGGAGCATGCAGATCTCAATCCGAGGGTCAGCAGCGAGAGCTTTGTTAAGCTCAAGAACAAAGTCTCTGTAGTAACGAACGTACTTCCTCATCGGTGCATCAGGAGCTGCCACGACTGAACCGTTCCACAGAGTGTTGTCGTAGCCGATCACTCCTCCAACTTTCACGAGATCTATCAGACGTTTATGGTAGTTGATGTAGTTGTCCTTGTCGGCGTCAACGAATATAAAGTCATATGTTCCATGGTTCTTCTCCTGCACCCAACCACATACAATAAGTTACTCCCTCTTACTAAAATCACCAAATTTTTTGATTATATGAAAAAGGAAACAAATGTGTATATACAGAAAAATCCCATCTAAAATATTTTAAAAATCAACCTAATTAAAGTAATTAGGCCAAAAGAAATCTGATATATAACTTTGTTTTATCGTTATCTTCAGTGGAATGAAAATGCTTACGTCAGCAACGAGTTGATCAAGAACGGGAAGAGCAGGGCCTTCCCTGAAATCGATCTTGTGAGCAACGCCGGCTTTCTCGATGATCGGCAAACCCAATTCGTAATTCTCTCTGTTAACGTCCATAGCCAGAATCTGATGATAAAAAAGATGAAATTTTTAATTCCAATTCCGACGAAGAAAAGAAGAAAAAAACAGAGGAAGGAGATATTTTTTACTTTGCCGTCTTCGGGGAGAGCAAGAGCGGTGGCGAGGAGAGAGTAGCCAGTGTAAACGCCGATCTCCATTGTGTTCTTGGCGTTAACGAGCTTGATGAGCATGTTCAGAAACTGCCCTTCATCTGCTGATGTTGTCATTATGTTCCTGTTTTGATTTTAGAGAATTTTTCAATTAACATTTCGATTTTCAATTTTGTAATTTTAGAATAAGGAGAAGGGTGTTTAGTGGAAACAAACCAAGGGTGTTTTGCTGTCACTTCCCTGAGTTCCTTCATTGATTCTGGTTCCCTTGGGTACACACTTGTCTCCAGAATATACTGCGTGTGTGTTGAATTTTAATTTTAAAGATTAAATTATTCAAAATTGAATCAAAATCGAGAGTTTTTGTGATGAAACCGGTTTGAGAGAGAGACAGACCTGGTAGAGATCGTCGCTCTGTAAGAGACTCTTGTGACCGACTTCTTGGTGTCGGAGATTCTGAGATTGCTTATCTTCTCCTCCATTAGTAGATGTCTTCGTTGTCTCTGTTGTTGTCGTCGCCATTTCTCTCTCTTTCTTTCTTTTGAGTATTATTATTGGTCTTGAAAATGGACGATTGTGTTTTTGGTGATTCACACAGATGGGGCATGAGACGTGTATATAAAGAGGAATAAAACATGACCGGTTCGAACCGGGTTACTTAAATCCGGTATTATGATAAAAAAAACCAGGAACGGGGGTTGGTGAAACTCTCCTAACACGCAATTGGTCGATCGCTGTCTGACGTGGGTCCCAATCACTGTGGGGCCTCAGACGCACTTAAGGCCTCGGACAATCAAATTTCCGATTATTTTTGAAACCAAACTCTGGGGAAGTTGTTATTTTTGAGTAGTATTTTTTTTTTCCAGTTTGAAAAATATTTGTGTGGTATGGTTTGTGACAAGCTGACAAATGAATTCGTTTTTTTTTTTTTTTATTGCATTTATGAGTGAGTCAATGGTTTTCTGCCAAATACAGTATTACGTAGGGTATTTACTATGTCTGGATTTTTTATCCTCGAATTAGACGACTATACAATAATTTTCCAAAGGTGTGACGTGATGAGGAATTACACTGGATATAGATGAGGCTTGTTGTATTAAATATTCTAACATTAAAAAGGAGGATATTTTGTGTATAATAAAGAAAAGAGGGAAAAAGGGGAGACTTGGTGAGTAGAGAAGGAGGGATGGGAATAAAAAGTGGATCCAACAACTCTGCTTCGGTGTTGCAAAGTGTAGCGTGTGTGGTGTGTAGTAGGTGAACGTCTTCTTGGTGGACTTCCTTAGTGACTAATCATCCTTAGACCAAAAAAAAAACGAAAATTTAATAAATTGGACATTTTCATTGTAAGATATCACATGATAACTAGTGTTGAGTTTTGGACAGGCCCAATTCGAATTTAGCCCATCCCAATCACCAAAATTGCTACTTTCTCATCTGTGTAGTACTCATTTACTCTATTAATCAATAAAGCAATCCACATTTAAGGTCCTATTTGAACAAACACTAAAGCTGTTTTAACGATGGTGCATAGCTAAAGGACCAAGGTCCTGTTTTAGCAAATTCTTGAAATATTCACACCAGTCAATAGTCAAACCCCAAAATATAGATATTATTATCAGAAAAAATAAATGTTAAAGGATTGAGTTAAATGCGTTCGGCAGAGAGTATTTCGTAGACTATAAAATTGATTTAAAAAGATGGGACACGTTTGAAATTAATATTGGTTGGAAGGAGATACATAGGAAAGGGGTTTAAAGGGGATCTGTAGGAGGAGTTGAATAGCCCAAAAAACAGAATACAAGTCAAGCCAATATGGGGCCGGCCACTAAACTGCATGAGAGCTACGTGTACAACTGTTTTAAAACATGTACCTACCATTCACGTCTTAATTCGATTTTATATTTAAACACTTGTTATCAAACTTGTCTAAGTATTTATGCGATCAAGTCTCACATTTATTACAATTCTCCCCAAAAAAAGAAGTAAAAATATAGAGGAGAGAAAAAAGTTTAAAGTACCAGCACAGCACTGATGCAAACGACGTCCTAAAAAAATCTTACATTATTAAAATCTTACAATAAATAATGGCTGCCTGATTCATTACCAAACTTATTTATTGTCACCATTATTATTAAAAAATATGATCTTATTGGAAAATTAATTACAATTACTAGATTTCTTTTTTTTCTGAAAATGTTGGAAGAGAGATATCTCATATGTAATCTATACACCTCTTAATCCTCTCTTCCTCATCCACTGGTCCCTTCTTCTTCTTCTTCTTCTTCTTCTGTTCTTTCTCCTTTTTTTTTTTTTTAATAACCCAATTTCATCTCTTTCCTTTATGCTCTTTCCATTTCGTTTTCATCCTCTATTTTCTGGGTAATTTCAACTGAAGAGACTCAGATTAAAGATAAAATGGAGGAGAGGGCAACCCCATCCATAAATTAAAGATACCGGAAATTCCAACGCTTTCTCATTTTTCTCCAAGAAGATTACTTTGGAGTTTGGAGACCCATCTTTTGCTGGTATGATTGCTTCAATCTTCTGATTTGTCTTTTTTTTTTCTCTCCCACTTTTCCTACCTTACAACGATCGGTCTTTAATCGATTTCATTTTCTGGATCGTCGTGATGTTTTTCTTTTTATTTCGTTTTAACGTTGATTCATCGCTATATCTGCACGAATCTGGATGATCGGGATTCGCCCATTTTAGGGCTTTAATTTTTCAAATTGGAACCTTGAATAGCTGTTTTTTTTCTTCTTGTGTTGAATCGAAATGTGCAATTCATGGTTATAAATATACACTCTTGCAATTAGTATCTGAACTAGAAAAAAATCTAGAAAAAGATTTTTCATTTATTTTTCTAGTGGCTGCTTGTTGCTTTAACTTCCTCGTTTTATCGACAATTTGAACGATAGACTTGTCTACTTTTGAGTTAAGACAAAATGAGTCAGTCTTTGAGATTTCCATTGTTCGCTTTAGTATCGGTAGCTACATTCTCTCTATAAACTCTATTTCCGACAAGATTTTAAGAAAATGTCGCAAGGGCGAAGATTTTATATACCTTTGAAGTTTGCCAAGTTAAACACGAGTTGTTTTAAAAATTGCTTATAAGTTAGCTGCTCTGGTTTTTTTTTTAGACAAAGATTCTACTACTGAGGTTCTTAACTTCTAAAGTCACTGTTTTGCAAACGCTTCATTTGTTTGCATAACGAAGGAGCTCTTCCACATACATGAAGTGTTTAGTGTGTTTAGCACTTCCTGATAGTATATGACAATAATACAATTGAAAATATGATGGATATTTCAGAATTGATGGTTTACTAGCTCAAGACGGATGCTACATTTTGAAGCTAGGAGCTAGATAAGAGGCTGACCCCTTGAAATTCAAAATGGTAAACCGGAAGTTTATAATTCACTCATGTTATTTCTTTCCAAACTCTCATCAATCGACTGTTTACTCGAATTTTTGTCTCTACTGCTTTTTTTCTTGTGGCTTTAGGTTTCTCCAAGAACTCTATAATTTATTCATTAGTTTCTGTCCTGGAGGGTTGTTGTGTTCTGGTCAGAGGTATAGATAAAATTCAATGCAAGGGCCACGAAGCACTGGTGATTCATCTACTGGGACAAACTACGCAGATGGAGAACCCGTTTGCAGCACCAGTTTAGAGACTAGTTCGAACAGCATGCTGAACCCAGTGGATGTTCAGTTCCCAAACAATAGTACAGGTTCTGGACGACCAATTCACGCAAGCTCGAGCTCGCATGCTGTTCGAACTCATAACTGGTGGACTCTTGGTGAATCCAGCTCTAGATTGAGGCCTTCTGATGAGGTCAATTCCATTGGTTCAAAGACAAATCGCCAGAATCCATCAGACGGCTATGGAATTGAGGAAGGACAATCAGGTTCAAATGCTATGATGATACTTGGGGGGGTTCAGATTGGCAGTCGCACCAGAAACGGGCCTTCCTTCTTGCGTGGATCAAGCTCTAATCCGATGTCAGGGCATGTAAATCTTGGCAAGGACATGGACATCAATGTTAGTGGTCTGAAGACACCGGGAGTAGCCATCCGCCATACCAACTGTGAGAGGTCACTGGGAAGCTCAAGTCAAACCGCAGAAGAGAGAAGTGGTGGTTCAGGTTCTTCGTTGGGTGGCCTAGGTTCATCCTGCAAAAGAAAGGCTCTTGAAGGAGCTCCTAGCCATTCTTTTCCTGGTGAAAGTCCTGGTTGCTTTTTTCAAACTGAGAATGGTGCTTGGAATGAGGGTCTTGCTCAATATGATGCTTCAAGTAGCTTAAGTTTATCTATGCCGAACCATAATTCTCCAAATGTTATTAATCAGTCTGATCAGCCGGAACCAAGGTTTGGAACTGGTGGTGGTAGAGCAGTTGCAGCAAGTGCTTTTCCTTCTTCTACTAGAAGCACTGAAACCTTATCTAGACCCGGCAGGCGGTTAAATCTCGGGCAGCCACAGGAGTCAGTACCCTTCAGCTTTTCACAGTCCGGTAGTTCTGTGCGTCAGCAACATCATTTACCAGCAACTTCTCCTTTTGTTGACCCTTTAGATGCAAGAGCGATGCCAACTACAGGTAGCTCAAGCAGTGGTGAGAGTCAACCAAGTATGATCCACCTTCCTGCATTGACTAGAAATATACACCAATTTGCTTGGAATGCTTCTTCGAGTTCGAGAACAGACAATACTCCTGGAGAGGGATTTGGACCACCGCGGGACGCGTCAAGAGTCAACTCAGAGCAGCCAGTCTTTACTACACCTGCAACGGAAACGAGAAATCCAGTGCAGGATCAGTTTCAGTGGAGTTTCCCTCGTGGAAACCCTAGTGCATCTGGAGATTCTCCCTTTGTTCCTCGAACAGGATCAAGTTCAGAGATCAATGCTTTGCAGCCGAGTCCCACATGGGTTACTCCCCATAATCAATCAAGGATATCAGAAGTTGCTCCTTGGTCTTTATTTCCTAGCACTGAGTCTGAATCTGCTAACCATGGTGCTTCTCTTCCATTACTACCCACAGGCCCTTCTGTTTCTTCAAACGAGGCTGCAGCGCCATCTGGATCTAGCAGTCGGAGTCATCGCTCTCGACAAAGAAGATCAGCGTTGTTACTGGAAAGGCAAAATGATCTTCTCCATTTGCGTCACTTAGGAAGAAGCTTAGCTGTTGATAACGATGGAAGGAACCGGCTGATTTCTGAGGTTTGTGTTATCTTTCATTGTTTCACATTATCCTTCAGTGCGGTTCAAAGTGAACTCTTCATTGTAATGACAGTTGGTACTGTCTTTATTGGCAGATTCGGCAGGTGTTGAGTGCCATGCGAAGAGGAGAGAATTTACGGTTTGAGGTATGATTTTGCCACAACCCTTATCAATCAATCCTTCCTAATATCAGTTAATAGTTACAGTCACATTACGCTTTTGTCTTCAAGTGTTAGTTTTAGATTTTCCGTTTAAATGAAGCAAGTTGTTATCAACAAATCTTTTAGCACTGGTATGAACGAAATGTGGTGCAAGTTCCTTCGCACTTTTTGCATTTCATTTTTGGATCATGATTTTCATTTGGTAATCTGATAGGATTATATGGTCTTCGATCCACTGATATACCATGGTATGGCTGAGATGCATGATAGGCATCGGGATATGCGCCTTGATGTTGACAACATGTCGTATGAGGTGAGTGTTCGTTATTCTCTTACCATTTTCTTACAATCTACCAATTTTTTTCCAACAAGGTTTGTTTGCGAATGTAGGAGCTATTGGCACTTGGGGAACGCATAGGAGATGTGAGCACCGGGCTGAGCGAAGAAGTGATCCTGAAAGCAATGAAACAGCACAAACATACATCTTCCGCTGCTGAATCCCACCAGGACATGGAGCCTTGCTGTGTCTGTCAGGTATATGACTTGAAATGACTCTTCTACTGAGGAAATTTCTGATGATTCATGGCTTGTGGCTATTTGTGTGCAACAAATTTACTTGTTTATCTAAGTAGTTGAGGTGCAATATGGCAAATCAAATGTAGTATCACATAGATAGATGAGTCTATACTTGCTACAATGTATCACGTTTTCTTTTGATACTCAGGTTAACTCTCAAGCTGATGTGTAAACCATGATTCGTTTTTGACAGGAAGAGTATGCAGAAGGCGATGATCTTGGAACCCTGGGATGTGGCCATGAATTCCACACGGCCTGCGTCAAGCAATGGCTCATGCTCAAGAATCTCTGCCCAATATGTAAGACAGTAGCTTTATCTACATGAAAGAACGGGTCCTTCATCACTTAGCAAACCCATTGTTACCCTTGATATGAAAGAGAAAGGAGAAGAGAGATAGCGAAGCTCGGTTCTGTCTTACCCGCATTGATATCTTGAGAAGAGTTGAAACACAAGTGTAAGGGCTCTAGCCCCATGGCGGGAGGGGAGACCGCACTAGGTCCAACTGTTATGTTCTGGCTAGAGAGAGGGGACCGATGCTAAGTGATGCAATCTTAATTAACCTGATGTCTGTTTTGAGTATTTTTTCCTTTATGTAGAGGAATACCTCCTTATGAAACACTTATCAAAGAACAATGTTTTGATTCTCTTACTTAAATCTCTATTTTCTTTCTTCTCTCGTCTCTTTTGCTCTCATCTCTAATCTCCTTCTAAGCTCGTATCACCAAAAAAAATAAAATAATCCAAGATAAATTGACACACCCGGTGGGGATCGAACCCACAATCGTCTGATTAGAAGTCAGACGCCTTATCCATTGGGCCACGGGTGCCTTCATGCACATTTATCCAGATAGTTATTTAATTATTTAACTAAAATTTGAGATTCGAACCAAAGTTTTGAAACAAACACAAGGGTGATCTGTCAACTAATATAGAAGACGATACGAAAAGCGTTGTTTTTATTTTGTTTTTCATTTATGTAATCAAATTTATTCGAAAGTGGAAATACAGTAGTTCAAAGTTGTTTACATTCTAAAGACACCAAATCGAGTATCTTCTAAAGGACGGTTTGAAGCAGCAGAGAGACAAAGTCCCAAAACCTTTCTTGTATCACAAGGATCAATCACTCCGTCATCCCAAAGCCTCGCCGTGGAGAAGTAAGGATTTGCCTCTCTCTCGTATGCATCAACCGTTTTCTTCTTGAACGCTTCTTCCTCTTCCTCTGTCCACTGCATTCCAAAAATTAAAACCGCAGATTCATCTCTGTCTCTGTCTGTCTCTCATTGATGTTGAGAAGTCAACATTGTTCAACAGCAATCGTTTTAGAGAATGTCTTATTCAGTACCTTTACTCCTTGTCTCTTCTTGGTAGCCCTTTCGATCTGACTTAAAACGCCTGCGGCCTGCAAAGTTTTTCCCCCAAGATAATCAGATTCTAAACACATTTCGATACAGTTTGGTTTCGTTTTTAACATTTTACGTTCGGTATGGTTTACCTGAGCGCCGCCCATGATTCCAATTCTGGCGTTTGGCCAAATGAACATGAAATCTGGACTGTATGCACGGCCACACATCGCATAGTTTCCAGCACCGAAGCTTGCACCCGTTATAATTGTTATCTTTGGTACCTGAAATTAGGAGCCAAGCTTTATATTCTGGCATATACGAAGAAAAAACTCTCCCAGGCTCTTTACAAGAATTAAAAAACACACCTTAGCACAGGATACTGCCATCACCATTTTCGCTCCAGATTTTGCAATTCCATTGGCCTCAGCTCTTGAACCCACCTGTAAATAAGCAAAAAGAGAGGTTGCAAAAAAAAAGAGCAAGTAAAGATAGAGAATGATTATATATTTACAAATGTTGTAACACAACAGAAACACTTTAGTTACCATAAAGCCTGTGATGTTCTGGAGGAAAACTAGAGGAATTTTACGTTGAGAACATAATTCGATGAAGTGAGCTCCTTTTAGTGCAGATTCATTGAAAAGTATGCCATTGTTCCCGATGATTCCTACCGTCTGACCATATATTTTAGCAAAACCTGTCACTAGCGTCTGCCAAAACAAAAACTCCAGTGAGAAGCCATAGTTCGGAGAAAGTGATAAGTCTCAGAAGCTAATAAATGTTCTCTCACAGTGCCGTATTGTTTCTTGAACTCGTCGAATTCACTCCCATCAACAATCCGTGCAATAATTGACCGGACATCAAATTGCTGTTTGTGATCTACTGGAGCAATGGAACGCAGTTCGTTTATGTCATAAAGCGGTTCTTTGTATTGAAGATTTGTGCTTCCAAATGTTCCTTCCATCCCTTGTTTTGCAGCCATGTGCAAATTCTTGACAATGTTTCGTCCAATAGCGAGTCCATGTAGCTCGTCTGCAATACTAGACCAACTCCTTAAGGTCTATACTCTAACAAATGATTGTTGTTTATAACTATATTGCAGAACGAGATATATATCTATACCTTGAGCAAAATAATCCGACACACCAGACACATTACAGTGAACCGTGGCGCCTCCTAAATCCTCAGCTGAGACTTCCTCTCCTGTGGCAGCCTGTTCAAAAACTTTTTCATTTAGTTTCACATGCTCAACAAACTAATTTTGACAAGAGAGGGAGAGAGTAATTTGGGAAAATCAACCTTCACAAGAGGAGGTCCTGCCAAAAATATGGTACCATTCCCTTTCACCATTACACTTTCATCAGCCATGGCAGGTATATAGGCACCACCAGCAGTGCAAGAGCCTAAAACAATGGCGATTTGTGGAATTCCTTCTGATGACATAACCGATTCGTTGTAGAAAACCCTCCCGAAATTCTCCTTGTCAGGGAAAACCTCTGCCTGTTTTGGAAGGTAAGCACCGCCACTATCAACAAGGTATATGCAAGGGAGTCTGCACCGAGCAGCAATCTCTTGTGCTCTGAGATGTTTCTTGATAGTTATGGGATAATAAGTCCCTCCTTTAACTGTAGGATCATTTGCCATAAACATACAAAGATGTCCATGGATTGGTCCTATTCCTGTGATTATGCCACCAGAAGGTAAAGGCTCCTCATACAGTTCATGTCCTGCAAGCTTCACGTATATTCATGTCCGGTAAGCAGAGACATCAACCAAGTTTTAATCAATGCCTATTCTGCAAATCGGCCAGATAGAGCCTATAAACACAAATGCTACATCTATTTCCAGCAATGATGCAGCAAGAAGTTGTGCATTTAAAACCAAGCTCTCAACTATATTTCTACGAGAAAACACTTCAACAACACACTCCACTTATACTATTCTCTGATGCAGCATAACTCAACAATAAACTAAGAATTGCAAATGCAAAGTGAATCCAAACAAGAAACAAAATTGGATGAACAAAACAAACCTGAGAGAGCTCCAAGAAGGAAGAACCCGGATCAAGAAGCCGATCGATCCTTTCTCTAGGCAAAAGCTTGTTTCTGCTTCTGTTCCTCTTCACTGCCCCCTCGCCACCTCCGGCCAAAACCTAGGAAACTCCACCGAGAAACACTTATTATTATAGAACATCTCCAAACAGTAGAAATCAATCGATAGATGTGGTAAATGGTTACCTTTTTGATGTGGGAGCGAAGCTCCGATAAGATCCCTTCCATGGCGATCGAGTTGCTAGAAAAAGCCTCCGAATTTCTGTCGACTCCGTCCGGGAGAACGCCCACGCAGAAACCCTTTTGCAGTCCCCGGAAAATTCGAAAAGGGTCGGGCCGAGAATCGGTTCCTGCTCCGGTACGCCATTGATGGATACCAGTAAGCTCTTTTGAAGCTGAAACTGCCCTTCTTCCCAAAAAGCTTAACATTTTCGTCTTGTCACTGTCTCTCAAAACCGATTTCACTTCATAAATATATACACACTGAAAGCTTACGTCTTCTGAGTGTACTTGATTGTCTGTAATTCATATCCATATTACAAATCCCATACCCCAAAAAAAAAAAAAGATAAAAAAAAGAGATAAGATCAAAGAAGCAAAAACGATATATAAATCATTTTCGCCTCACTTCCGTAGTTGAGAGTCGTGTGGGACAGATTCACCGGTGGAAAGAAAAAAACGTTTTTTTTTGTTATTTTCGATAAAATTTGGGGAAAAGCATGAAAGCAACAAGACAAAGATACGACTGCGTTTTTGTTTCGGTCTTCAAGAAGTGTTGAGTATATATGCTATGTAGATAAGACTCACTCTCCGTCTAGCTGCGGGATTCAGTCTGCTGCATTAGCAATCGTCAATGGGGTCTTTTGGATTTTCGCTTTCGATGATAGCTTCTTCGCTGAGTCCAAATTTGACAGAGTCGAGACTCATCTCTTCGATGGGTACTGTCTCGACGATTGTTGATCCGAGTTTGTCAATCTCTTTGGTTCCAAAAAGGAGGCCTAGAAATTTAGGACTCAGATCTTCGACGTCACCAAGTATAGAGACAACGCTAGATATCGATGTTGGCGTTGTGTCTTCTGCAACTTCTAAAAAGGTCTCTCCTTTTTGTTACTTACACATTTTTAAAGTTTCCAGCTTGTTTGTGTAGAGAGAAGAAATTGACGAAAAATGATAAACCATGTAGGTGCTTATTCCAATTGGATATGGTACAGAGGAAATAGAAGCTGTTGTGTTAGTTGATGTTCTACGGCGAGCTGGTGCAGAGGTCATTGTTGCCTCCGTGGAGCAGAAACTAGAGGTTGAAGCATCCTCAGGGACCAGATTGCTTGCTGATGTTCTAATCACGAAATGTGCTGATCAAGTTTTTGATCTAGTGGCTTTGCCGGTAAGTTCTGTTTTGGCTGATTCATGAACAATCAATATTGGTTTAACTGAGGACATTCTTTAAGCTTTGGTTTAATGGTTCTGTATCGTGAAAATTGCGAAGGGAGGCATGCCTGGAGCTGTTAGGTTAAGAGACTGTGGAATTCTGGAGAAGATCATGAAGAGACAAGCTGAAGATAAGCGGTTATACGGAGCTATATCCATGGCTCCAGCTATTACTCTTCTTCCATGGGGACTTTTGTCAAGAAAGAAGGTATAAATCAAAAGGTTTGGATTGTATGTCAGCTAGTAACCAATCTTTTGTCCTCCATGTTTTGATATCTAAACTTGGTGTAGTTCATCGTGCAAGACAACAGGACATCCAGCTTTTTTCGGGAAGCTTCCTACATTTTGGGCTGTTAAGACAAACATTCAGATTTCAGGGGAGCTTACTACTAGCCGTGGACCAGGCACTTCTTTTCAGTTTGCTCTTTCCTTGGCGAAACAGCTTTTTGGAGAAACCACAGCCAAGTCGGTTGAAGAGTTTCTGGTCTTTACTATCCTCCTTTTCACTCTTACTATTTCTCTTGGGCTATTTTATCTCGATATGCAACAATCTTCTCATAGCCTTCTTTTCCAAACATTTCTTCAGCTTGTACGCGATGGTTACCAGAATCCTAAGAAGGAAGAGTTTAATAGCATGGACTGGTCTCTAAACCACACACCTCGTGTAAGTCCCATGAAACTGTGACCAATGCATTTCCATGTAATCTCATGAGGATAACTGATTTTGGTTATTCTTCTTACGCTTTGATGGAGTTTCTTTGAGCCATTCCCTGAGAATGTTGGCTGATTCTTGTAGAAATGGTTTTAATGATGCAACTAAATCCAGGTTCTTATCCCGGTAGCCAACGGGTCTGAAGAGGTTGAAGTGGTCACGATTGCAGATGTTCTTAGAAGAGCCAAAGTAGATGTCACGGTTGCATCAGTTGAAAGATCTTTGCGGATTACTGCATCTCAAGGCACCAAAATTATCACCGACAAATTGATTGGTGAAGCTGCTGAGTCATCGTATGATCTAATCATTCTTCCGGTAAGATATGTAAAAGCTCTGCATGGCTCTCATTAAACTCTTACCATTCGGCTAGTCCACAACAGTTGCTTTGCTGAATTCCAACAACTTCTTAAAGTAAATAGTACATGTTTATTCCATGGTGATCAACTTTGATTTCTTTTATTTGATGGAAATTCCCTAGGGAGGGCATGCTTGCTCCGAACGTCTGAAGAAGTCCAAAATTCTCAAGAAACTGCTCAAGGAACAACAAGAAACTGGGCGAATATATGGAGCTGCTAACTCTTCATCTACCGTCCTGCTTAAACACGGTTTACTCAAGGTAAATTGGAGAAAAATGCTGTTCTTTTCTTTGTCCTAGATATGAGCAAACGCTGTACACGATTTGAATCCTATGGCAGGAGAAGAAAACAGTTGTGTATCCTTCAGACACAGACGAGCCTACAAATGACCAAATGATCGCAGGAGTAGAAGTTGTTATAGATGGAAACGTGATTACAGGTTTGGGGCTCGCAACTGTTGCCAATTTTTCCCTAGCCATTGTTAGCAAGCTGTTTGGATATGGTAGAGCAAGAAGCGTTTCAGAGGGGCTTGTGCATGAGTATCGAGGGAATTGAAAGCCGTTTTGAAGGCATCTTGATCAAGATACACAGTTAAAGATGTTCCATTGCTGATCTTAAACCGAAATCTTGTGATCTGCATTTTGGTATCAAACCGTATCAACTCCAGAGACTTTTCAACGGTATCATCTGTTCAACAGTGAGACAACTATATCCTGGATCTGGGTTGTTTCTACAAGAAATTTTGCCATTTAAGTTAGTTTTGTATCTCATTTTGTATACCGAGTAGGAGATTACAGATGATAATTAAACTAGATGTTTCCATCAATCCGTTCACTATTTCTTATACGTTGTTGATTCGGTCCCAATTTTGTTAGTTATTGGTCGTTGGAATAAGAGGTCCCCGAAAAAAAAATACAGACTACAAGATAAATACACTCTGATTGAGTCACAAAGATGTTCAAGACAATGACACGTCTTATAAAACAACATCACGATCCGTTACATCAGGAAGATAAAACCAAAAGATGCTTCAGGAAAACAGAACAAATACGTGTTGATCTATCACTGTCAAATCGGCCACACTTCATGATTTACAATCACCCCCACAGAAACACCTGCCTAAGTCACGTACAAATCTAGCTTCTACTTTCTGTGTTGTTCTATAACTTCTGCTCTTTATTGAGTTCCTTGGACGCCTTCATAAGCTCTCTACCAAGGACCCGTCAATGTCCTTCGCAAGCATTGCCTTTTACATCCCCATGGCTGGCGCTTTGGCTCCAGAAGCTGCAACAACAAATAAGCCAATTTCTGTTAAAACCATACTTGTGGGATTAGTCTTGCGAAATATCCAAATTGGAATTGTACTTAGGCAGAGTGATAAGTTAAGATGTGAAGGTATATTTCACTTCATTGTGTTGCACAGTATTCGACTAGAAGTTTAGAGTACTGTCCAGTTGCAAATCGTTTTGGGATCAGAGTTAAAAGCCTTGGCCAAACCATAAAGGATATGCAAATCAAGAATATAAGAGACGGTACCTGTTTTTTCTGCTTTTCCATGATTTCAACCTGCATGAAACATTCGGTCAATGGTCAGAACCTCAAGAAAATATGAATAATATATCCCAACTGAAAAATCTCGAGATGTGGAAGCGGGACGCACTTGTTTCCTCTGCAACTCTTCATTCATCTCTTTCAGTTGTGCAACTTCTGCTTCCAACTCCAACGTATAAGCCTGTCAGGCAGCGAAACGAAGAAGTAAATAAATACTGCCACGGTTTTAATGTTTCTCCAATCTTCAAAATACAAATGAAACACTCACTTGCTTGCGAGCGCGGGATCTTGCAGCTGATTCCCTATTCTTTATCATCCTTTTTTGCCTCCTCTCAATCACTTTCTCCAGGACTGCACCTGTTTTCCTTACTCGACCAAACATGTAAGGTACAGGTGACAAAGATGCATCCATGGCGCTCTTTGGAGTCAGATCAGGTGACATCTGGCTTCCAGGAGATACTGCAGCAACCGTAACTCCTGTTTTAAAATCAACAGCTTGCAGTAGATTTCTGTTCATAGGATGGTCCTGAATTCCAAGAATTGAAGGCTTCACTTCCTGGCACTACGAAAAAAAAAAGAGAAGCAAAAATAAGCAATGGTCAAATAACTGAAACATACTTGCAGATCCAAAACCAGCTTATTCCTCAAACATTAAAACCACATCGAATTTTGTCAGATAATTGTAGTTCATATAAATCCTACTTCTCCAGGTTATTAGTCACCTGTGTTGCAGGTTGAGAACGATTGTCCGCATCAACAGTGTTGGAAAACGTGATAGTATTCTGTTTGGCAAATGGTATCTCCGACTTCTGTATCAGTTCTTGCGGCTGATGCACCTTCTGGGGCTGCTGCATCTGAAGTGGCCGAGTTTGAGTTGTCAGCAGATCCGGTCTCACCACGGCTCCATTCCCAGAAAAATCATGAGGCTGGTTAGGACCAAACCCATTACGAGCTGAGCCGAGACCTGCATTAGTGCCAAATCCATAGAAGCCCCCATTGAAGTTATCTACCGGTTGAGATTCTTCCCTTACCACACCAGCCCTAACCAAGAACTCCTCCAAAGTCATCTCTCCCAACGTTTGTTGCCTCTGCGGGATTCCACTTGTTCCTCCATTAGCAACACCATTTCCAGTGTCATCCTCCTTCATCAGCTCCTTCCAGACATCATCAACCCTTTTCTGACTAATCGTACGAGGCAAGGTAAGTGACCCTTGTCTCTGCAAACTCCCACCTGTATAAAAACCACCACTGACTTCTCCTCCCACACCAACAGACAAACCCCCATCGTTGTTACCGCAGTTCATAACAGCGTTTCCGCTATTACCATTGTTGAAACTGGTGTTGTTGCCCATCATTGAGTGGCTTTCCTCAGCTGTCCATATGTTCTTCAAGAGCTCATCCATGTTCATCGAACCAAAATCTTTCCCAATCCCACCACCCCAGGAGTTCTGAAACTCGTCAAAGGTTAACGAGAACACCGAGTTCTGTCTCGTCAATGGAAGACTAGTCCCCATCGTTGGCTGCTTTGTGTTAGTCACTTCATCACTCACACCATCAACAAAGTTGTTGAAGTTAATTCGAGAACCCATCTCTTACTTTCTTCTCAAATCAAGCTATGACTCCAAAATTCCCTTCAAGTAGACAAACAAGCAGAGGTTATGGTTTACTAATACACAAAATTGTTGAATTCATCAGAGAGGGGAAGAAAGCAAACGAAGAATCTAAATCAGTGATAATCATCCATTTTAAAATACCAAAATTTAGGAACCCACAAGCTATTTCCATGAAAAAAAAAATCAAATTTTTTTACCAATACGAATCTAAACACCGAAGAAACAGAGCAAAAAGGGAAATCTCAAACAATTCTCCAAAACACCCAATTATATGCTTATACTGAGCGCGAAAATTCATGATTCTGATCGAATCAATGAATCTGAACAAGAGACCAATCAGTAATGGAGTACAAAAACGATTCATCAAACCAAAAGAAAATAGAAGAAAAATCAATAAAAATAGAATTTAAATGAAAATTAAGCAGCTCAGTCACACAAGCTAACAAAGAAAAGTTTTTATTTTCCTTTACCTTCAAATTTTAATTTTTTTTCTTTCTTACGGAAAATCGATATTTCCTTTTTGAGAAAAAAAAAAATACCTGAAAGGGTTAGAGAGAGAGAGAGGTGGAGATAGAGAGGGGAGAAATCGACAAGTGTCCGAGGCGTGACACTCGTCGTGATATAAAAGGTGGTCTCGTTTGTTTGGACGCGCGGATTATTTTATTCCCGATAAGGTTACAAACACCAATGTCCTCTATTTGACGTCAGATCGTGCGTGAGCCAAAGATATTGGACAACGTGGTCCAATGAGAAACGCTGCTTTTCTCAAATCATTATCGATGCATTTGCGTTTCCCACGAATAGCAATTCGCAAAGTGTAAGGATATTGGCCGTTAGATTTTCTAAACGCCGTTCGTTAATAACGAGACCGAGTACATATCGGAATATCATTTTTTTTTCAGGATAACCAATCAAATTTCAGGCCGCCGAATAATTTGCCGGATGATTTATTAGGTAGACATTATGCAAAATCAAATTTTTTATTACGTCCAAAAATTTTCGACTATAATTTTCGAACGGTGTGTGCTAAATGCTAATACTTCAAATTTACATAATCCATGTTGTTGAAAGAAAAAATAAATGTTCAACTTTTTTTACTAAATCAATATATGATGCTGAGATCTCTGTGATGTTCTATAACATCTGTATTTCAAAAAAAAATTATGAATTTCTTGATTGGTTGATTTGCAACTGTAAACGAAATTTGGGGATCTTATCAAACAGAATATAAAAAAATTGAGTACAACAGTCGGTAAAAACCTAGTCAGTTACACAATAGTTGATAAAACTATAGTGTAAAAATTTTAGAAACTTGGTTTTCAAATCAACCAGTCTGAAACAGTTGGTCACAACCATTTCTTTTTCTGAACAAGACAGAAGACACCATACTTTTTTGGAGAAAATAACTAGACACCATACTTCAATACTTATGATAAAAAAACTGGTGTATATACTTGATCGAATAGAATGGAAATTCGAAGAGAAAAACATCATTCACTACTATTACAAATATGCGTTCACAGAGTTTGAAACTACAAATATATGTATATATATGGAAAAGAAAATTAGGAAACGATACAATAAAAGGTGGAACGGGTGAACAGTCCGGAATCTTTATCACGTTTGATGCACCTACAAGGGATGGACATCTGCCACGTGGTGCACTCGACGTTCTCGTAACAATTAAAAATGAAGAAGCAACATAGGTTAAAATATTGCAATTGGTGTCCCATTACTCCATAATCCTTTGTGTTGTGTTGATCTTTCACATGTGATGTGATCTACTTCTTTAGTTAATTAATTTATGTTTGTATTTTTTAAATACTGTTTCTTCCTCATATGGACTCTTATCTTTGACTCGGTACAATACAAGCGACCCTTCGTGTTTCCCATCTTTTATTTTTATTTTCAATTATATTTAAATACTTGTTTCTTAAAGAATCTACTGGATTAGGAAAGTCTACTCTGCATAACATTATAAAATATGGAATAATGTTTGATTAAATCTTGTATATCATTCACATGGACTCCACTAGACATGTTCTTTCCTGAATTAGATTTTATTTGTTGAGGTTACTTCTTTAAGGTCGTCTAGAAACAACACAACACTTACAAACCTTCTTTAATGGTTGGGACTTGGGAGAAAGCTTTGGGTCATACCAAAATTTTGAGTGTAATAAACTATTATTCCTTAAAAGAAAAATTGACTTTCCTAGTAAATGCATGTGAAGTGAAAAAAAAAAAAGGTTTTGCACTCTTACACGCAATCCAATCATGTAGACCAAAGATATTCGCTGGTTTTTTATGGGTTAGCCCTGCTTTGAGCAAATTATGTCAGATTATGTGCTCGATAAAAGATACTTTGGCTAAAGTAAGTTCAACTGTAAATCGGATTATGGCTATATGGGTTTCCTCTTATATTCACTATTGGCTAGCAGTTAATATATACTCTAATTACGTTGAGTCGGTTATATAAAAGTCTATCAATGTTGAAGGAGAAAACATAAAATTTGTGAAATGGTATGGCTGAATTTGAAGATGTATTAGTAATAGGCCTAACTGACACTCAAAAAATAGCTGAGTGGAGGATTTTCACACACTTATATATTGTCCATAAATCTTTTTATTTGTCGATGTGGGACACTAACACACTCTCCTCACGTTCAGGATTGGAAATCTGAAGCGTGAAGTTTGTGGGACTGGACATCTACAGATGTGGTCCACCATCGAATAATTAGAACATTGGGCTTTGATATCATATTAGTAATGAGCCTAACTCACACCCAAAAGTTAGCTTAAAAGTGAAAGATTGTCACACACTTATATATTGTCCACAAATCTCTTTATTTATCGATGTGAGACACTAATAAGATATTTTTTTTTGTTTGTCAATAGCAAAAAAATGACGATTTAAAGACAGAATTTAATAATATTATTGTAATAATTTTAGCTATTCGGATCCAACAGATTTGATACACTATAATTCCAAGATATTTGATCTGTGCCTCTCCTTAATTTAAGTACATCATAAACTTTGAAGGAGCTAACTATAGTAAGTGACTAAAGAGCACCCAAAAAAAATATGAGGTCATGAAATTTAATGAGCATTTTTATTGATTATACCAAATGTAGATGCGATATAAACGATTAACAAAATAAATGACAATGGAAATACATCTGTTAAAAAATGAGAAATGATAGGTGTCAAATGTATAAAAACCACATGACTACATTGGAAACTGGTTTTAGCCACACGCAAAAAAAAAGTATACATTAGGCCCATTACTATGACCTAGTGCAAATTGTTTGCTCAAAGGTTATTTATATACTTTGGGTTCTCATTTTAGCTGTCGTATTAAGTGGGCCTGAAGTTTAATGATTACACCGCACAATAAACCGGGTTTTATTAAATACCAAATAGATGAAAAACTTAAGGGTATGCGGCGATTGCCATAGTGTAACCAAGTTCATATCGAGAATCACCGAGAGAGAGAGAGATCATTGTGAGGGATTTAAACCGGTTTCATCATTTCAAGGATGGAGTCTGTTTCTTGTGGTGATTACTGGTGATGTCAAACCGATGAGACAGATATCAATCAAACCGGTACCAATCAATTTTTGAAGTCAGAAATTCAAGCGGTTTATTTGGTTTAGAACTTGGGGTGGGAAAAAGATTCCAACTTTGCTTACGAAGGTTTCAAGTCGCTGCTTTATGCCGCCATGGCACAGCCTGTCTTATTCATGTGGACAACTTAATGATTACTTTAGCAGAAAGTCACTCGCAATGGACAGTACACGGCGATATGTGTGAAACCGTTCCTGAATGTTTGTATTATTTTACACAAAACAAGGAACTTTTTCTCCCTCTTTTCTGACCCATTTTTGTCTGAGAAGATGATGTAATCAAGTAATTTATTTCTTTTAATTCATTTGTCCGAGGTAATAATATCTTACCATTAACACACATCAAAGCTTGTAGTTCTAATGATTTTGTTTTTTATGTACTCGATTTTCTTCTTAAAATAAGAGACAACGTAATCATTATTATTAGTAGACATGAATATGACAACTCCAATTTGTGTTGATATGATATACGAAGAGCAAATCTCAATAATTATTGAGAGAGAATTAATGTGAAAACATTATTATTACAGTTTGTTAGAGACTTATTAAAATGTTACCAGCTGTGGACCGGATCTGGTTGACCAAGTTGGCTACTTTTTGTCAGAGTCGCTTTCTCAGTTTCTCTGTTAAAAACTTAAAAATTATACTGCCGTCAACGATGCCATTGTTGGATTATAACTATGTTTAAAGTTGCCAATTTGGTCCTTGTCTATTTTCTTTTTATTCAATACTACAATGACTCGGTGTCCTTCAACATATTAACAAAAGTAAAAAGTTTGGTAATGTTAGTTTCAAACACTAGAAAAAGAAGAGAATACTAATAAAATTATAAACTCTACTTTGAATAATCTCTTTGTTGGTTTACCAAAATAATTATATTGCTTCTACATTATATTTGTCGTTTGACTGACATCCATGATACAGGGTTATTGAAAACTACCTATATAATTTTTTAAGAAGGTCTTTTATCACCATATATAAACTGAATCATCTGATGTAATATGATGAATTAGCAATTGAACTATTTATGTATGATCATTAAACCAATCCACCATTAAATATATAGGCATTTGCAATTTTTTAACGATTTAATGTAATCGACGACCAAAAAACAGTAACTCCGTTCTATATTTTTGCCTATGATATTCGTAAAATTATAATGAACTAATGTAACAAGACGACTGGAACAATAATGCTGCAATAATTTTTCCTATTAACTAGAGATCATGATGATTATCTATGTAAATGTGTTGCTTGCCTTTGCTGGTAAAAGGTAAACAATTGATGAATTCACATTTAATAATAGCAATAACGAACTTATGGTAATTTATCTTGAATACATCATCATACATGATGATACAAGCTTTCAAAAAAAAAAAATCACAACAAAATTAAGGAAATATAGTATAAAGTTAGGGGCAGATTTCTAATTTAATAATTTAATAACTTTAGACATATTTAAGAAGTGCTCCGCACGCGTTTTTGCGTATGGAATTAAAACACCGAGAGGAGGGATTAAGCCCCAAAAACCAAAAAGAAACCTAGCCGCTTCCAATGTCAAAACGCATCGCACCGCCGTCGCAACCGCCGCCTAGACCGCTGATAAAACAGCACTCGTGGTCGCCGGACGCGGATCGCGAAGAGGCATGGCTTCGGAGAAAGGTTAAACAGCCATCGGGTCGAATCGGGCGGAGTAAGAGCGTCACGGACGAAGATCTGGAAGAGCTCAAAGGCTGCATCGAGCTGGGTTTCGGATTCGAGCCGGATTCGCCGGATTTGGATCCGAGACTCTCGGAAACTCTGCCAGCTCTTGGGTTATACTGCGCCGTCAACAAACAGTATAGCAGTAGATTGTCCCGGACTTCGTCTCTGTCGTCGATCGCATCGGAAGGTGAAGTAAGCAATTCGAGCACGACGATCGTCGATCAAGGTATGTGAAATTCGAATTTCCTGAGACTCTTTTTCTTTCGTAGCTTTTTTTTTTGTGTTCTGACAATGATTATTAAAAAAGGTGATGATCCGGAGACGATGAAGCTGAGGCTGAAGCAATGGGCTCAGGTGGTTGCTTGCTCGGTGCGGCAATTCTCCGGCGAACCAAATTGATGTAACAATAATGATTAATGAATGAATATCTTTTTCGATTCTTTTTTTAATTGAATTATCTCTTAAAAAATATTATTGTTTGTCCGTTCTAAGGTGATTGTACAGAGGAATGACAGTTTTGTAAAATAGCTGTGATTTTAGAAATTCAATTTAGAATCTAATGGTTAACCAAAAATCTTAATTTCATTTCTTCTTCAATGCGATTTTCAGCAATTGTTCTTCCTTTGCTTATATTTTTGTGTGTGTGTGTGTGTTGTATATGGCGAGAGCCTCCAAATTTGTTTACTAAAGTTTGCTTGGGAATTGTTCGAAAGTTATCTTAGGGATATAATCAAACCCCTGGAGACATGTGTAATTATGAAATTGAGTAACCATCATGAAGGGTTTAGGATTTACCCATCCCAATCATCCCAATTATGTTGCTAATGACCTTTTTTTTTTTTGGTAGTGACTCGGTTTTGATGTAACTAAAAGTCTAATAAAAATTGCATATGTGGACGTTTGGTTTGCTCTTTCGTGAAGTCCACAGAATGGTAGCATATGTTACCATGACTTGAGACGACATTTTGAGTCAAATCTAAAACCAAGACATTAAAAAAAAAAACAGATTATTTTCGTAATGCAAAATTTTTCGTATTTTTAAAAAATCTTATGAAATTGCATATATCGATTCTGTCGCAAATTTATTTATTAGACAATAATCAAAACTGAAGACAAAAGAGCGCGTGTACTCACACTTACAAGGAATCTACGATGACAAAAGAATGTTATGCTTACTTAGTACAAGTACATATGTACTTTTGTAGACACAAAAATGGCAAAAACTTAGTGAAAAGAAATTTCCTAGAACAATTACTCATGGTTAAGCGTTTTTTTTTTTTAACTCAATTTTATTGCTTAAACAAAATGCCAACATAGTCCCATTCGGACAAATCAAGTTCCATATAACCATAGAAACAGAAAAACAAGACAAGGTATTATACCCTACCTACATATGTATTCGGTTTTTCTTGCATTATCATCTCCTTCAGCCATCTCGGGGTGCCAAGTGGACATATGATTGGCTAAGCATTTTCAATTCTATGCATTTTTTATAATTAATGATTAAAGCTAAATACGGAACATAATTTATGGTGTTGCATGTTATGATGTTCAATTGACAAGTCTTGCAAATTTTTGTTGGGCCAAAACAGTTGTAATAGTAAAGTTTTCTACAAACAAAAAGAAGAGTATTATTTTCTCGCGAGATATTTGTTCGGTTGTCAAATAGAAGGGCAGATATTTTTTTGCTGGTAAACGAAAGAAGTGGCAGATATTTTGATGCAACCACTGCCCATGTCAGCAACTATCTCTTGACTCATGTAGCGCAAATTATCCATTTGCGAAACCAATGGCTAATTTTAGTTTTAGTTATTTTTTGGATTTATCCCATCAACTTCTAAATTCTTATAATATTCACGATTTTTTTATATCTCTGGGAAGCGTTAGTGATCTCACTCCTCATCCAAATCCAAGTGATATTTTAATGAAAGTTAATTATTTTTCTTCTAGTTGCTCGATCAGCATCCACCACTATAGAAGCAAGCATTATGTATGCTACAAATTAAACGAATATTATATATCCATCACTACTCACTATTGCAAATCTTGTTTTTTTTTTATATATAGTTTACCGTACATACAGTCTTACAAATACACATATATCACATGCATACGCATTTAGTTTTGATTTTGTATGTAATTGTACAGCTATGCTTGTAAGTTTGTAAATTTTGTAACAACACAAACAGATATCCATTCACCTTTTAAACATAATCAGAGCTACTAAACCAGCTCAAACTAAGCTCAAGCCCCATTAATATGTTTTGATCATTGGAAAGATAAAATGAGTTTACTTGTAAGTTATTTAGTTGCTTGAAGTTATTAACAAACTAGCTAACGTGTAATACCGAACCTTAGAGGGGGAGTAGCTTACGGTTTCTAAGTAATTTTAATGACACGAACGAAATTATCCACCTGAAAAAAATCGAAGTCAAAGAATTACTTCTCATTTCTTTAGGAAATCTCGGCGAAGAATTGACCCATACAAAAGTAAACTTTTCAAAGACTATATAATTAATAAGAAATCTTCATCAGATGTAGTAGATTCAAGCGTTTTTTTCTTTCTCGCTCAATACTTTATGGTGCTTTAACATAAAAGAAAAATATTAAGAGAAGATAGATGAATTTTTAAGATGGTTTATCACTTTATGTTATCTAATTCTAAAGTTTTATACAAAAATCTGATCGGATCTATTTTAAGCTAAACAATTCTAAAGTGGAAAAAAAATTGATATAACGTCATGAAGACAAGAAGCCAAACTATTTATATAATGAAAAAACTCTGACATATTTAATTGGGACGAGAGCATCAATATCTCAAGTTGACAGGGAAAAAAAAAATACAACCTCCCTCAGCTCCAAAAATATCTGGCCGATATTTGTCCGAGATATTATCGTTTCTGATGACGTGGCAGTCCCTGACACGTGTTAAAGCGACGCCAGGTGGACCTTTTCCCTCTTTCTCTCTTTTCTTTTTTTTCCCCTTCATCATCCCTTCTCCTTCCCACCTCCTCGTTCCTCTCTCTATTAAGGTCTCCTTTTAGTTTATTTTTTTTTGGAGACAGAACAATTTTTTTAATTTTCCAGAGACAAGAGATATTTTGTTTTGGTTTCTGTGGAGAGCATCGGACTATTAGAGAACACCGATGGAGAATGATTATAGGGTGAATATAGCTTCTCTCGAGATGGATCGCGATGCGGAGGCGTCGGTTGAGTCTCAGAGCGAGTCGACTCTATCGAACTCGCTCGAGTCCGGTCTTACGATTGAGAGCTTCCGTGGTGATGCGGATTCGAAACTGGTAATATAAATCTTCCGTTTGTTTGTTTATGCTATGTTTTTTTTTTTTTGTTGAGTCGTTAGAAAGAGATTTTTCGGGGTCTCTTTTGATTCTTCGTATCAGAGCTTAACTTGATTGATTTTATTTTTGCAGAAAATGAATTATTTTTCTCTATAGATTTTACCTTTTGCTTCTCCTTTCATGATTTTAGCTACCCACAAGCAAAAATGACGAGGAAATAAACCTTTCCGGTTATTTGTTTCGTCTTATCGATTTGGAAAGTTAATTATTCTAGCTTGTTATCTATGGATGGAAAGTTCAGATCTGATGCTACGATTAGGTCATACTCATTAATTCCCCCCCCAAAAAAAAAAACTAAACTTTATCGCATCTGATTCTCGAAAAGCGAAAACAGAGGTTGCAAATTGTCTTCTTCAACAAAGTTAACTGTTTTAATATGTTGTTTGCTATAATGCGATCCCTTGGGTTATCTTTTTCCTTGGTGTTTTTATTAGCAGAAGATTTCGATTGTTCAACAAGTCTTGGACGCTGAGGCAATGTGATGCCGATGTTGAGATCTATAATTAAATCCTTGATTTGTTATAGAGTCAGCAACCAACAAAACCATTCCGAATGCCAAATCGAAAAGTCCTAGCTTTAAACTTATTTGTATGTTCTTCATGAGTAATTAGTGGTTGCCATTGTTCAGGCATATCAATCTGCTTGAGAATATGATTGCTCATTGTGTTGTAATGGTTTAATTTTCTTGACAAGATTTCTTTTTGCATTCCTTTTGCGGGACGATAATCATTGTTTTTGCAGGATGAATGTGCTGGGTGGACGAATGAGAGACACAACTCATATCTTGATTATTTAGAGAACTCGTTCGTTAGGCAATTGTACTCTCTGCTTGGAGAAGAGACTCACAGACTGTCTACGCCTCGTGATGTGCAGTCTAACTCTCTCAAATCGACTGATCAGGTTTGGGGGTTTCTTACTGTTTCTTCTGTGTCTCCATTTGTGTTGAGTGAAAACTTACGAAATTCCTCATTTTGCAGTTTACGGTAGTACAAAATGGATGCTTGCAGAAGGTTAACTTTGGAAAGAAACGTCCTTATTTGGAGACGTCATCAGAGTTTAATTTTCAAGAAAACTCCAGTGATAAGGCTTTTATTGGAACATCCATGAGAAATTCTTTGGGGCATAAGTATCCAGCTCAAAGCGCTGCAGGTAACATTTTCTTCAACAGCTTAGTTCAGTTATGTTTATCATCGTCCCTTTTTGTTTTTGGTTTTTGGTCTTTGGTACTTACTTAGACTGTTCAAATTGTAAATTTCATCTAAGAACTAGGCTGATACTGTTGATTAGATCAAGGCTTAAGTTAACGCTGCATTGGCTTTTAGAAGGCTTTGCTGCAGAAACATACAGTTGATAATGACTTGGGAGGATCAAAGAAATGATTGTTGCTGCAAAAGGACATGTATGAGATCTGGTCTGATATCTAATCAACCCCTGACCTACACTTGAATTTTTTTGTTTAGAACTTGTGTGCTCATCTGCCTGATAATAAAACTATATTCGGTCTAAAGTCTTAAGTCTAAAGTATGGCCTCAATTGTTTTTTCTTGCATTTCCAGAAGCGTCAGGGCAGAACTTCAGAGAAGAAGAAGAAAAAGAAGAGAAGGGATGTACTTCAGAGGTGTCCAGAAAACGCCAAAAAGAAGCGAATTATGATGATAGTTCATTGAATGATCAGGTAAATATAGAAAAAGAACACATACCAAACAACATCACTTAGTGTTTTGCTAAAGAGGCTGCTGCGTATTCTCAGGTTGTGCCGTAAGGATGGTGAAGCTCAGAATGTGAAACGATAGAAGGGCATATAGGAAGTATAGATGAATTACTATGAATAGAGACTTAAAAAAAAAAAAAGCAAGCGTGGTTGGAGAATGAATGTGGGGGGTTTTGTTTGTTGTATATAATGAGAAAGAGGCTAAAGAGAGCCTTATAAAGGGATCGAATGGGATGAAATTATAGAATTTGGTTTTTGTTTTGTTAAATTTTGTCTATGTTAACTAGGGGGAAAAGTGTTTGCTATAACTAAGCATGATCGCCAATCCTTAGCTTTTTCAATCTTTATTCTTTTTGTCATTTTTTCCTTATAATCAATTTTCTCTTCATTTTGCTGTGATTTTATAAAATTCTTCCAATAGTAATTTTTTAATTTATATTTATTTTTGGTTGGCTCTACTAGTTAAGATAAATATTCACAAGAAACATGTACAAAACGAATGGTGCCTTGTAAAGATGACGATTTTGTACGGTGAATGGTAATGCGAATCTTAATCTGAATTGCGTTTTATGCAACTTAGTTTCAACTGTTTAGTAAGGATGCATGATCTCTATGAGCATCCATGCACCAGTGATTTAGAGGCGTATAAGTATCTTGGAACTCAGACAAGAACGATGTAGCTGATCAATGAACTTGTAAGGAAATGGAAAATATGATACTTTCCTTCCACATTGACCTTTAAAATGGATCATTGACTGAGAAATATTATATCGTTTTAAGGGATGTGAAGTCTTTAAATGGTCTTTAGAAACAATGTATTCACCATTGTTGATGATGAGAATCATGAGAAGATGGTGTCATTGCGTTAAGTTCGCTAATGAATCAACCACCACTCGTTTTCATGGCTGTGTCCTACAATAGTGACCGGTTTTTATACAAAGGCATTTTAGAGATTCTGCTTAGCTCTTTTACTTGTTTTTCTTTCTTTAACCGCAATTCCTATTCTTGATAATATATCCTCCGGATCTGAAGCAAAATCCTTAGAAACAAAAGAGTTTCCCCTAAATATAGACAAGAAATGTTAAGGAAAACTGTTGGTGATTGCAACGTTGGCTTATTAATAATACACACCTGTGTCCTCCTCGAACCCTCTCATGCCCTTCTATAAGCAGCCTTGGGCCTTTTCCAAGGTTTCTGTTTTAGCCATGGCTAAACCTCAATCCTTTGGCTGCTGCTTCTTCCTCTTGCTCTTCTTCTTCTTCTTATCCTTCTCCGTTGTCTCCTTTGCCCTAACCGATACAGAAGCTGCCTTCATCGTGCAGCGACAGCTTTTGACATTACCAGAAAACGGCGAGCTTCCTAACGACATTGAATACGAGGTTGATCTCAAGGCTACATTTGCCAACACCAGGCTCAAAAGAGCTTACATTGCTCTTCAGGCGTGGAAAAAAGCAATATTCTCAGACCCGTTTAACACCACAGGGAACTGGCATGGCCCGCACGTGTGCGGTTACACAGGTGTGGTATGTGCACCGGCTCTTGATGACTCAGAGATCACGGTTGTTGCCGGCGTTGACCTTAACGGTGCGGATATCGCAGGGCATTTGCCTGCCGAGCTTGGTTTGATGACCGACGTTGCAATGTTCCATTTGAATTCGAACCGGTTTTGCGGGATCATACCGAAAAGCTTCGAGAAGTTGAAGCTGATGCACGAGTTTGACGTTAGCAATAACCGTTTCGTTGGACCGTTCCCTAACGTCGTCCTCTCTTGGCCTGACGTTAAATATTTCGACCTTAGGTTCAACGATTTCGAAGGTCAAGTCCCTCCTGAGCTTTTCAAGAAAGAACTCGACGCCATTTTCTTGAACAACAATAGATTCACCTCGGTGATTCCCGAGTCGCTAGGTGAATCTCCAGCCTCCGTTGTGACTTTCGCTAACAATAAATTCACCGGATGTATCCCTAAGAGCATCGGAAACATGAAAAATCTCAACGAGATTGTCTTTATGGACAATGGTTTGGGCGGTTGTTTCCCGTCTGAGATCGGAAAGTTGTCGAATGTGACGGTTTTCGACGCGAGCAAGAACTCGTTCATAGGTCGTGTACCTACTAGCTTTGTCGGTTTAACGGCGGTGGAAGAATTGGATATCTCAGGGAATAAACTCACCGGATTAGTAGCGGATAACATTTGTGGTTTGCCTAATTTGGTGAATTTCACTTATTCTTACAATTACTTCAATGGACAAGGTGGTTCATGTGTTCCAGGAGGTGGTCGTAAGGAGATTGCATTGGACGACACACGTAACTGCTTGCCTCGTCGACCAAACCAACGGTCTGCTCAGGAATGTGCGGTGGTGATCAATCGTCCGGTTGATTGTACCAAGGACAAGTGCGCTGGTGGTGGTGGCTCTACTCCTTCGAGACCATCTCCGGTTCCCTCTCGACCTGTTTACAAACCATCTCCGATTCACAAACCATCGCCGGTTCATAAACCATCGCCGGTTCACAAGCCATCGCCGGTTCCAACTCCGCCGGTTCACAAGCCATCACCAGTTCCAACTCGGCCGGTTCAGAAACCACAACCACCGAAAGAGTCACCGAAACCGGATGATGATTATGATCAGTCTCCAGTGACGAAGCGGCGCAGTCCTCCTCCACCTCATCAATCCAAGCCTCCGGTGGTTTCTTCTCCTCCACCTGTTCCCGTGATCTCTCCGCCACCTCCTCCACCACTTCTTTCTCCTCCCCATCCTTTTCCACCACCACCAGTCCACTCTCCGCCACCACCACCGGTTCACTCACCGCCACCACCGGTTCACTCACCGCCGCCACCGGTTCACTCTCCTCCACCACCGGTTCACTCTCCGCCACCACCAGTCCACTCTCCTCCACCACCGGTTCACTCTCCGCCACCACCGGTTCACTCTCCACCACCGCCAGTTTACTCTCCACCACCGCCGCCGCCTGTCCACTCTCCTCCACCGCCTGTTTTTTCACCACCACCTCCCGTATATTCCCCACCACCACCACCACCAGTTCACTCACCGCCGCCACCAGTCCACTCACCACCGCCACCAGTCCACTCACCGCCGCCACCAGTCCAGTCACCACCACCAACTCCGA